TACTGACGGGGGTGGACTGGTTGGCAACTTGACCAGACTTCGCTCATCAGGGACTAAAAAATGAAAACAGATAGATTCTCAACGTGAGACGAAGTGGTCTACATATCTAAAACACTTTGTAAATTTAAGGAAGTCCCAAGGGAATCTTCCCCTTCCCCTTATGCCATTTAACTAGTTAAGAAACTGAAAAACATGGAAACGCCGATTCAAAAGCTAACAAAAGTTCTCTTGACAATTTATCAACACCGCAAATGGTGGCCCTGTTCTTTAATTTAAAATGCACCGTGTAATAATCTTGGCTTTCCAATTACAGGCTGGAAATGCGAACAAAACGTAAGCCAAAACTTCGATGCGACTTTGAAGACAATTCTTAAACGTAACAGGCTTTTTAAAACGGAAAAATTCGAAGAACATTTAAAATTCTTTCTTTTCTTTTCGTAATAACTCAAATTTGCTCAATACAGTCTTTTACATCTCGAGTATAACGAGTGAATATTTGATACGGAATTTTTATAGTTGCATTGTACATATGTTAATTTTGCGTACAGTGTTGCGCGCCGTACTCTGGAGCTGTTTTACAAAAAAATAAATAAATAAAACGAGTGCGGCAAAGGTTCAAGGAAACAAATTTTATTCAAGAAAATTATATCGAAACAAGTTGTTGCAGATGTTCATAAACTGACGGAAAAAATTAGACTTGGCGAGTTAACCATAAAATGTGAGGTCATTTTGCGCCGCAGGTCAAAGAAAGGATATTATTTATAATGGAGAAAATTATCACCTAAAGCCTGTTTATTTTTTAACAAGGTTACTTCATTTACCGATTTCAGAGTGAAAGGTATAAAGGTATAAAGGAAATATTTTGAAAACACGGCAGTTTTGATTCGCGCAACAAAATGCATGTGCTCTTCGAGCTAGAACTGTTTTTCAAGACTTCTTGAATGATAAATACAACTTGAAATAATTTTTTGCGCAGAATAAAATTACAACACTGTTTCTTAATAAAATATAACAATGGAACGTTGCTTACCATCAAATATTCTAACTTCCAGCTTCCCAGCGGTGTTTGCAAAGCGTGTCGCAGCAACTTGAAGATGAGAGTTTCGAGCTTAAATGTTTATCATTTCCTGTTGAATATTCTGCAATCAAAAATAAAGTTAGATTAATTTTGTAAAGGGGAACTAATTTTGAATAAATATTTGGAGATAGAGAGGTTTTAGGAGGGGAAAAATGATTTTTCTTCTGTATGAATTGAAACCACGTGTTTTTGCCGAGTGTATACCGGGCAAACATTAATGCAACTTTTCTAACGTTACAAGACTTGGCAAACAGAGAATACACTCACTTGCTTGTTTCAGTTGGTTTCGGCCATTCTTGTAATGCTGTTGCGGCTCGTTCCGTCGTTAAACAAGTTGACGGGGAATAAAAATGATGAGCTTCTCTGTAAAAATGCTTTGAGCTTAAGGAATTGTTTGAAGAATGGGACGATTTGAAAACCGCGCCTGGTTTTGCGTCATCCCACGTGGGCTTATACTCTTCTCTCATTGGTTCGTTGTTGCAGGGGTTTCCGTCTTTTCGCGCCCTTTCTTGTCCAAATCTCCCGCAGGCTGCAGCATAGGAACTTTGAGTGTACTAAAATAGTTCTTTCAAATAGGTAACAGTGAGCTCTTTGCAACTTTTTTTTTTAATTTTTCTTTTACACCATACCATCAGTTTTTTGTCAAGAGCTGTCCCTTTGAATGAATAAATTCCGTGAGCTAGTTAATTTGATTAGGGACCTTTCGATCCATTGAACCAAAAACTCCGGAACTCTAGAAACGGAGACAAATGGTATGGAAATTTCCTCGGAAAGTTGCTGGAAAATAGAAGATTGTCCTCTTTTCCGGAAATTCCGCAAAGAGCTGCTCCATTCGCTACTGGAATTTTCCGGAAATGCAAAACAGTATTTGAGGTCGAATGGAAAGCGTCTTGGGTTTCCTGTTGATATTTTTTCTGGCGTTTTCTGTGGAGTGGATCTCTTAAGACCTACTTCTTGTAAACACTTACTTTAAAAACAAAATCCAAAGCCAAGGCATTAGATTTTAGTTTTTAAAGCTACCCCCATTCACCTTGTCACACAATTAGTAATCGCGAATTAGACTAGTGTAGCGTAGAAAGCCTTGGATATGCGATGAAAGAGTGAAAAGAGCGAGCTACTTGTATTTCACAAATAAGAGTATATACCTTATTATGGGAAATTAACGATGCACGTTATTATTGACGCGATTTTAAAAAAATCGCGTTAATTTAATGCCTCTTAATTTACGTTCGATGTTAATTTAAATCACACTATTTTACACCATTGTCGTTTTACAGCACCTTTACTTCAATAACAAAATCTCATCTGCTCATTGCTCCACTATCAATGCCTCGGAGTCACTATCTGACAGTTCCTCGTTAAGAATTGAGTTCAAAATGTCTTTCGACTGGTCTTCGTATTTTTTCCTTTAGATATGTATGTTGAGAAGTTTGTATTGCGGGGAATTTGAGTAAAATAAAGTTAGGCGCACATTGTTTTCGAAACTTTCGCGTTAATTTGATGTATGTAAACCTAACTTTTGGAAAATTCGCGTTAATTTTGTGTAACGTAAATTTTCTTTGCGTTGTCAACGTGCATCGTTAATTTCTCATAATAAGGTATACTTAGTTTCCCACTCACTGTGAAATGTTTGCGGGAACGTTGATGTCCAATGTACGGATATTTAATTCAATATGAAAGGAAAGTGAAGGTATGGCAAAGAATCGTCTCTTTGTTTTCTTGAGGAGAAAAAAAATACAACCCACAGGGCTCAAAGTTTATTTTTGGCTTTGGGAGCACTTGTGCGACCAGGTGTAAATTTTTAGGTAAAATCTAGTCGCATATGCGACCAGTTGGTCGTTAACTTTGAGCCCTGACCCACTACCACCACTGCTCCCGCCCCCGAGACAAAGTAAAGTTGAAGTTCCTAAACCACACCTAAACGTCTTTAAACGTTGTAAAAACGAATGATTCTCGTACTGAGGAACAAACTGAATGGATATGTAGGTGCCGTTAGAGGATTCTTTTAGCACCCCTCCACTCGGGAGCTAAAATTTCTTTTCAAGGGATAGTGTGGTGCCAACAACTTGCGCACAACAAAGTTTTTAATTAATCGCAATAAGGAAAACATTGTAATGAAAAGTAAATGTTGGAGTTGGTGGCGGCAAGGGCTCTCGAATAAATAGAAAACCAAGCTTAGTAACATTGTTCCCTTGGTGCGCAAACGAGAAACATTTGTTAAAAGAGCAAAATGTTTGTGCGGGGTTGGACCTTGTATTTAACAACTTGAGCCATACCATATTTGTAGAGCACGGTTTAATGGCTCATATACCATTTAATTATTGTACTTATTTCGCGCGTTATTTGGACGATATTCGCTGCAGTTGAATAATGATCTCCTGGTATAGGCACGGCAAATGCACAAGGAGAGGGCTAAACAAGCGCACAAAACACGCGCACACGGTTCTTCACCCTTTCAAGGACTTTTAAGTTTCTTTTTCTTCTCTTTAAATATCCCCCGCACATACTTAAGAAAAATCTTGATTATGACTCACGAGCATAAAACAAAATTAAACTTCAAGAATACATATATAAAACTGTTTTAATTATTATCTAGTCCATCAACAAAATACAAAATTTTAGTCAGCGCTGGTCACATTCAATTTTCGTGTTGTGCCCCAGTTAACATTTGTATCTCAAATGGGAACACGGTTCAAGATTATTGTTTTCAAGGCATGAAACGATATAATATAATTAACAACTAACTTTGTTACTTGAAATGTAAAAAACTGTGTAACGATCCTTTATGTACAACAGTATCCACGAGGTCTGAAGTATACTATAATTTGCAGAATTACTCTTTTTTTGAAAGGAATTCCTCCGAAAAACGTTGATCGACTGTAGCAGTTTACATATAAAATCACGACTTCAACACCAGGACAGCTAACATCACACCAGGCCAGTTGGAGGGAAGCTGCATTCTTCTATCAATGTACTTTCCCATCAGGATCCACTTGGAGAAATTGCTTTATTCCTTAGAAGGAAGAGGAGCGAAAAACACGTTAAGAGCAAAGCCGGCCCGCACTTTCAAATTACTGCTCACCAGTGTCTTCACCCAAGGAAGGGAAGCAGATCGCCTTGCCCGGAAAACGATTTGCCTGGACCAGCTTGCCCAGATTAAAAGTCCAATTTTTTTTTATACCAGTTGAAAAAGATAAACTTACGGGCATTATGAAACAAAATACAGGAATGAAGTACTGTGCGAGCGTTAGTTTTACTGACAAAAATTTTCGAGCAGTCTTGGAATATCGTCTTCAGGGCAAAACGACCTTCGTTCTAGAGAAGACATAAATCAGTTACTAAAACCGAAAAAGAATCTAGATGCGGGTTGCAGGGAACAAGGGGAATATATATTTTCCTAGCAATGTCTCCTAGTTCAGGATTTTTCGTTTATCTCCTTTCTAGTTTGCTAGATGGTCTACTGAAATCATACAGAGAGAACAAATGCAAAGCAATCTATTACTTAAGTAAAATCTCATCCATAAGTTAACCAATAACCTCTTACTAACCGAGCACAAAGGTGATACTGGGGATATTGGCTAGATGTCGTGACAGTAAGGACCAAGCAGAGTGACGTCCGTACAAAAAACGATCAAGGACCAATATTCCCTAGTACAGCTTGAGCAAGCTAGGTTAGCGAGTACTTTATTGTATGGCACTTGCTGGCTTTCGAGAACAAAAAGTGCACAGTCTGAATACGAGCCAAGTGGTCCACCAGGCCGGAGCTTATCCCAGTTTCTGTAACATGAAGTGAATAGGAGTATTTCTACTCCCCCCTGGATGGGATACTAGTCCATGACAGGGTTACCCCCCAGCATTGAGTTCACTGGTACCTTTTTATACACCTGGGTAGAGAGAGGGACTGTGAGCGTAAAGCGCCTTGCTCAAAAACACAACGCAGTGTCTCTGGCCAGGGCTCGAACCCGAACCATTTGATCCAGACAGCAGCACACTAACTATGAGGCCACCACGCCTTCCCCCTCAAAAAAAACAGCCTAGGGCAAAATCCCAACCAAAAAAGAACCAATCAGAACATTCGGATTTACCTTAAGACTATCTTGCCATAAGACTCAATAATGTAAAATAAATGTTAAGTTACCCTGAAGTTTGTCTTCAAGAACTTCCCTCTTCTTGTTTGACATCTGCAACTCATCTGTCAAAGATCAAAGGTATCCTTAATCAAATACATAAAACAAAAATTGTGTATATCAACTCTGCATAAAAGTTCAACCCAGATGACTGCAGCCTTCCCTATACCAGTGCTTTGATAGAATTGCTGGGTGTAGCTGGAGATAGTGAATCATAGACAAAAAACCCAAGCTGGGGCAGATACTGGATTTTAGAGAATGGGATTCAAGATATTGACTGCTGAAGGTGGTCCCCTTTAGGGGGTCTGTGGGCATCCTCCCCTAGAAAAGTTTTAAAATTGAGGTTTTCAGAAATGGGATTTCTGGCATTCTGGGACCAAGGCAGTGTGTCATATGTCTTATTTTTTTTTAATTTAGGGGCCTCCCCCTGGATCTGCCCCAGCCTAGAATTTTAAGAACTGGGTTTGCAAGAGGACTCCTGTTTAAATATAGGTCTGCAGTGCATTAATGTGACTATTCACTAAAACCACTTGTGTAATGATGCAATGATGTCATAGGCCCTTCGGGCTTGTGCAGTAGAATGAGATGTACCCCGGATGTAGTTGTTGTTGTATTACGGCTAGTAATGGTGGGCTTTTATGACCTTTATTAAAACCGTTGTGTTATCATCGTTTGGTCTCATTTAGACTACACTACAACTTGCAAGCAAAAATCACTGTTATGCTGGTCAATTTGAATATGCTTGTGTTCAGTCACTCGTATTAAAAGAGACCTTTGTAGGCACTGTGGACCTGTTCATTGATTTAACAAAATTTAAAATCAAAGTATGTTACTATGAGTACTTTTCAAATACTCTTCAACATTTTACTATATATTCTATTTTGTGAACAAGAAACTGGCTGAATCACCTTGAAGAGCTCTAACTTCTTCTTCTTTGGCTTTCCTGAGTTCCTGTTCTTCTTGAAGTTGCTGTTTGAATCGATCTTGTGGAAACAAGTGAACAAATTATATCAATGTTAATAAATTATTAATAATANTCGGAGTAACAGCAAATCTTGCCTCTTCGTTATTACTCATATAATAATATTATTATTATTACAACCCAGGGTTCATAAAAAAATTAATCCCAGCTTGACCCTGGGACAAGTAGCTCTCAAATTTTGCTTGCCCTGGGCAAGTCTTAGTTTACTCTTTTAATGATTTAGTTGGTAGACAACTTACAGGATCCCTTGCCCATAAGGCACTTTTTTTTCATGAAAGTCAAAATCATGGACTACAAGCAAACCTACTCGAGTAACCACAGCAGCTTCACAAAAGAGTGTCTTTCTGGATGGGGGGATACTTCTTCAAAAATGCTGTAAAATATGGCTTTTCTTAGGCCGTGGATTCCAAAATGTTCCAGGGGCATGCCCCAAGATCCTTTTAGAAGCACCTGTAGCACCTGTGCTTGGATAGCTTAGTATGCCTTTGCCACAAGCTGATATGGCCAAATGCCATTTCTGATCAGCCCTGTACTTCAAAACAGAATGACTCCTGAAGAGTCAATCATACTGACCTTCAAGCTCTTTTAATTTTTCTTCAGCACTCTTCCTAGACTGCTGCTCCTCTTCAAGCTGTTTCAGGATCCTCTCTGAGTGAAATATGAAAACAGTGACTAAAATAAGAATAGTCGCAAAGTAGCTGGCAATTACCATACAATCTAATCAAAAGTGCATCGTGCATTGCAAACTGAAAAGTGAACGACAACCACATTATAATGTGAAGCCTTAATTTTGCAGTTAAGTTCAAGGATTTGACTGTTTTTGAGAAAAGGAAAGTTCTTATCAGTAATAATAATAGTAACTTTATTTACGTGTCAATGAGATGTCAACTTGTGAAACTGAACTGGAGTTGCTCTAGGCATATAATTAGTCAACTCTATATCCTTTCTTTGTGTTCTCCTAGCTACCTAACTACTGAGCATGGAAAATAAATTTCTCTTTTTACTTTTTTTCTTAGATATAAAATGAAAAATAATTATCCTGCCAAAGATAATACCAGCCATTTACAATGTTAATATTGCAAAATGATTAGCGAAAATTTTAACAAAACATCTTTAACATTAACATAACTCTTTGCTCTCTGACATTAACAGTCACTTTCTCGAGATCATACATAGTTCTAGATAAAGTGACAACCTTCACGAAAACAGAGCGGACTTATAAGCTGCAGGCAAGTATTTCTTCTCCTGCGGAGCAAATTTTTAGGATCAACTTAAGGCTGGTTTTCACTAGTGTCGTAGTCGGAGTCATAATCAGAAGCATAGAGTGATACAATCTAGTGAAAATCAAACCGACGGAGTTGGATGCAAAACACCGATTCTGCTCATAACTCCGTCGCTTACGATCTAGTGAAAACTAGATTGTTGGAGTCAGAAGCAAAAGCGGAAGAATAAACCAATCACAATGCTTGATTCCGGGCCTTGTGATTGGTTGGTTTTTCCGCTTCTGCTTCCAACTCTGACAATCTAGTTTTACTGGATCATAAGTGATCGAGTCATAATCAGAATTGGGAGAAATGGAAATGCTCTGATTCTTCCAACTCCAATTCTGTCAAGCTTATGACTCCGCTTAAGACTCTGATTTTTGATTTTCACCAGTTTATAAGCTCTCTTGTGACTCCGACTCCAACTACATTGCTAGTGAAAACCAGTCTTAAACAAACTACAAGGCTTTATCAGTTCAATACCTTTATCACACTGCTTCTTGCCTACAAATGCCTTTGTGAAAGTAACAATTGACTGCAGGAAAATTTCATCTGTGTGGGGGCAGCAGTCTCCTAAGTGAGACAAAACGATATCAAATAAGTTGATTATTCATGTTATTTGGAAAACTTACCATGGGAAAATGATATTTATTGGTTCTAAAGAGTTACTCAATATTATGTCAGTTTTGATTATCTGGATGTTCACCTTTCCAGACTGTCATTTCAAGTGCAAATGAAGACAGATAAAATAGTGAGGTTTGGCTATAAATTGACCAACCTAGGAAATTTGATAGCCAGCTATAAAGTTTACCTGGGAAATGTAACAAGAAAGGGCAAAAAATCTGGCTCTGTCTGATTTGTCTGAAAATTTGCAGTCACAATAATCAGATTTTTCTATTCAGAGGATGTTAACACCAAACTGAGGGTTTGACTGGAATCAGAGCCCATCTGATGGCAAAGGGAGCAATAAATCAGGACCCTAAAGGATGACAAAATCTAAAATAATAATCACCATTTGAGTTATCAAGTTATCCGGTATTAGACTGAAATATAGGGAACCATGTGTTTCTTTGAAACTTATTTTGATTTGAAATTTTTTCTTTAAAAAGCATCCCTGTCATTTAATTTGAATTTAATTATTAGTACCTCTTATAATCTTACATGTAGGAGAGAAAAGGAATCTAACGAACACCGGACTCCCTGGGTTAATCAGTTGATTTAAGGACGGTGCCTACTAAATACAAATGTTTTTGTGCCAGGTTAGGGCCGTGCAGAAAAAGTAGTTCTTTGCAAGGGCTATTGGAATCTACAAAGAAAAAAGGGGGTAGCCACACATTTTTTTGAGATAATTAGTATTGAATCTCAACAAAAATGCTGACATCAGCATTTTTCTGAAAATAGAAGGAGAGGATATTTCTTCACAGCTTTCTTTAGAATTCGCCTTTACATACAGAAGAGCAAACACATTTAAAAAGATCTAAAACCTACATTGTAAATGGTGACATAAAAAATCATTTTTGGTATATTTTTAATAACAAAATTGTTGCAACAGCACTTTTAGTGTCTCTCACAGCCTTCCTCTGTTTCAGCTAAAATACAGTCTAAATATCTTTTGCTCACAACCCGAAACTAATCATTTGCTGAATAGGCTTGCCACTTTTATTTCATAACATAAAATATAGGGGTAACCACGTGTTTTTTAAAGTTATTGATCCTTTTTGAAACCTTTTGCGGTGCCCATTACATTTTTTCCTGTCACCTCCCCAGTAAGCAAAACATTTGCACATCTCACACTTATTTTGCGTGCGTACTACGCCATCTGTAGGTACATGTTTACAATTGGATTTCAGTATAATTTTTGACAGATAACAGCTATTTCTTCGGTTGGAGGACGTTAACAGTTAGTGGTTAGCGATATGCTGCTGTTCTGGTGTCCCTGGTTTAAGTACAGGTTCATTAAACTTGATTTGGTCACAGTGGGAAAATTTTGCTTTCAACTTAGTCATGTACTTGGTAGCGTAGTTGATTGCGTCAATGTCAACCCAGCGCGCACATGGCGCTTAAACCATGCCTTGCGTAATGCCCATAACGTGTGCGCACTAACAAAAGTAGGCACCGTCCTTAAGGCCGGGGCGGGGGAGGGACACCGATATGAAAAGGTTGGGGATGCTCGTCATCTTGCTAAGAAGTGTAAATCAAGGATTTTGGTCTGACATAGCTTGTTTAGGACAAAATGCCTCTATTTTTAGCAGTAGAAGTATTTTATAGGGTGTACTCAAAGAAATGTCAAAATAGTCCACTGCCATTTTCGTTCCAAGTGGCTTGAGCCACTCCCAGAGTGGTCGGTGTCCATTACGGTTTCGACGAGCATCCCCGACCTTTTCCCATGGGAATCCCTGCCCCGCGATTTAAGACTCAAGAGCTCACCTGGATTTCCACTCGCCTTCCTTTTCTTTCTGCTGTCTTCGCTCCCTCCGGCACAGTCTAGCAACTCTACTACTGCTCTTTCTCCTCTTTTTAAGCTCCGCAGTTTCGCACTTTTGTCATTGACCTCCGGTGATTTCTCACAAGTCTTGCAATCATCCCCAACCGGTTCTGCTGATCCATCGTCGTCTGCATGCGGTTCGATCGTTATTGTGTCAGTACTGGGATTGCCATTATCTATTAACACCGGGTTAAAAGTGCGGAGCAGGACTTGTACAGGCTTCATCAAATATTGCGCGATGAACTGCGCGGCATCGTTGAACGGCACTAACTTCATGAGTTCTTTCGCGATCGTATTGTTTTTAATAAATTCTTCTTCGCTAATCGATAACTGATACCCCACCTGGCTCCACAAGGTGATAAAAGCGTTCATGGGGAAGGAATAATAGCCTTTTAGGAGGCCCTTGTCTTCAACTCGAACGACATCTCCTAACAGAACCAACAGCTCTCCACGTCGTTTGAAGCACGTCCATTCTCCAAGCAATGGAGTGGTATGATTTGGTCGTTTTCTGAGAAAAGGTGACCTCGATATCGTTCCGCTCATCTTGCTAAAAGTTAATTTCGCTCAAATGTAGCTTAATCAACGATGCTTTCAGTGAATTTCACTGTAGTCTTGCGTGATATTGGAAAACAGCTCCACAATGTCAGCTTGCTTGCGCGCGAAAAGAACCTTTACGCAAAGGTTAATCATTAAGCTTTTGGTCACTTTTTGGCGGGAAACCGTGAATCCGACATTCAACGTCAGGCACTTTTGCCAGTTTTGCGGGAACTTTAAAACCCATTTGAAGGCCATTGAAACATTGTGAAGTGAGACTGTTTTGAATTCTTTTCAAAAAATTTTCAAATTAATGTTTTATCACCTTGGGTTTAACCAGATCTAGAATAACCTGAATTTTGGGAACGGCTTTTTGAACCGGTAGAAATTACGATCTTAAAATTACTTTTTCTTTTACTTGTCTTAGTTTAGTTCCGTTATTGAGAAAGAAAAGAAACCAAAAGATAATCTGGGACCACGGTACTGTTTTTTCGCTTTTGAACTTAGATTTCTTTTTGTTTTTGTTTTCTTTCTTTGGTTGTCCAATCTGTGCAGTCATTTGTGTACGCTTAAACACCGTACTAGTTGAAATGTGGATTATCCGCTGACTAAGTTTATCATAGACTCTTTCAGCTGGGAGAAGCCTGCTAGATTTTGCCACGTTGAGTTCAACGTGTTTCGTCTAGTTTAAAAGTTACAGCTGGTGTTGTTTTCCTTTCGTTATTCGCAGCCACAAGAAGTCCATTCACCTCTTGTCTTTTACGGACGTAAACATGAACGGGGTACTGTATGTTGCGCTCTGTGCACTTCTCATAAACAGCTGTATTTATGCAGCCACCACCGGCAAGGAAAGGCCTAAACCGCACGAAGATCTGACTCTGTCGGAGAAGGAGCACACAGTGGATGGAGAGCATAACCCGGAATACGACCACGAGGCCTTCTTAGGTGACATGAAAGACGAATACGATGAGCTTCCACCAGAAGAAGCTTCCAGGCGCCTGAAGGTTTTAGTGAAGAAAGTGGATTCCGATAAAGATGGGTTTGTCACCGAAGAAGAGTTGACGAACTGGGTTAGGGACGTTTTCAGCAAACGCCTCTTGGAGGGAATAGACGAAGATGTGAAGGGAAAAGATACGAACAGTGACGGCAAGATAACCTGGGATGAGTACACGAAGGCGACTTACGGTCCGGAAGAGCTCGAAGATGACACGGACGAGGAAACAAAACAGCTGCTACGAACAGATAAAAGACGGTTTGACACGGCCGACAAAGATAAAGATGGAGCTTTGTCTAAAGAGGAGTTTGTACACTTCATGCACCCTGAATCATCGGCAGAGATGGGAGATGTCCATGTTTTGGAAACTATTGAAGGTAAATTAAAAAGTGTCTAAAAAGAATTGGAAAAAGTTGTTTGTAGAATTTCAATCTTTCTTGTCGATCACAAGCTTGTACTTTCATAGAAAAACACGTTTATTGTTCAAAAAATATAAATTTTGGTTTTACTTTTCAATACCTCTAATTAATTGCAAGATTCAATTAAATAAGGTTACCCGAATTTATCCGATTTGAACTTTTTTGGTAGCTTTATATTTAACACTTCACTTGCTCTCTTCTTTAAAATTTATGGGAAGAACATTTTCTTGTTGTTAAGGACTTTTTGCTTTGCTTTGTTCTTGTTTTCTCTGGAGAAGGTTTTTTAAGTCATTCAAGCCTTTGTCTGTTTTTATGATAATTAAGCAAAATATGTTTGCATGATTTGTCTTTTAATAAAAAATAATATTTTCAAGGCACACAAAGTGAACATTGAATTCTACACAATAAATTATTGTTGTTGCCATGGAGAATTTTTGGACAAAGAAACAATGAAGAACAACCTCTGATCATTGAACTGAAAATAATCAGAATCAGTGAGGCAGATAAAGGGGAAAAAGCCATATTACCAAGGCTTTTCAAATCAATTTTGCAGATACTTAAGGAAATTGTGGTAGCATTATTTGTCTTTTAATGAAGAATAATATTTTCAATGCACACAAAGTAAATATTGAGGTGTGCACAATAAGTTGTTTTTTCGATAATGGAACATTTTTGGATTTCTTAAAGAAGAACAACTTTTGATGATGGTGGTGAAAAAAATATTACCACTAAGGGAGATAATTTAGTGAAAAAACCTCTGATAATGTCTATTGATGATTAGTCCACTAAAATCAATTTCACAGATAATGTTAAAGGTAAACTGTAATTTTGAAACTTTGGAATAACTAGCGTTCATTTTGTAAAAAAAAAAATTCTGTTTTTCCCTGTAGCTCCTTGATGTAGGTTTTGGTACCCTTAGTTTTAGGTACCCAGGAACACATTTATGCACTAAATATTTTTTAACTTGGGGGAGATTGTTTCTTATGCTCTTATTTGAAATATTTACATGACAACCAGCAATTACTGGTACTTTTGAATGCTGTTAGTTGAGGCTCTTTGAGCTAAAATATTCATTGCATGTGTTGCTTTTTCTTGTAACAATGGAATCCAAGCAAATCCATATTGGACCTACTGACTAAAATGAGGAAATATTTCTCAGAATCTGGGGCTTTTAAAGTCTTATCCTTATAATGCTTTCATCTTGTCAGACATTTTCATTTGTAGACAGCACTGTCAATAAAAAAGCAGGTTAAACCATTAGGCAGCTAAATGTCTTAACAACAATGGCCTGAAACATTGATGGTATATTTTGAGGTCATTGAAAGTCAAATTGGGTGGTCTTTTGGCTGGAACATCAGTGAATTGGAACTGAAACTTGCAAGTTGCACTGAGCTGACTATCAATGAATAATGAATAATGGAACATTACACAGTTCCAGAAAATATCCATTCCTACCTCAAGGAGGGTTATTGGAAATTCTGAGGGGGATAGGTGTTTTTTGCCAAAATGTTCAAATGAAAGCTGGAATTTTCAGAGGAGTCGGAGGGTTCAAACCAAAGCCTTCTGTGGGAGGGGTATGGATATTTTGTAGAACAACACATTGAGAGCTGCAACATTCCAGATTTTCCATCGAAAGCACATCCAGTTTGACCGTAAAGTGATAAAAACTTTTATTGTTTTAAAAGCTTTTTGCTTAACCAATGTATATGTCAAATATGACAATAAAACGGTCTACTGGTATGTACAGTGTAAAACAAGAGAACACCGGTATATAGAGAACCAAATCAAAAGACAAACATTGCCCTGTGTTTTCCATTACTATATCTACAAATGGTATGCAAAAAAAATGGGTATCTGGTGGCATCTTCTAGTTTTATTTGGACAATAATGTGTTCTTTCCCAAGGTCACACAGACTAAATGTAGAACAAACCTGTAATGTATTTTTTTCCCTTAAGATATTGATCGTAACAAAGATGGTGTCGTAAGCTTGGATGAATTCCTGGGAGACTACCGTGACCCAGATGACAAGGAAGCAGAAGAACCAGAGTGGGTGAAGGAGGAAACCAAAAGGTTCAATGAGGAATATGATAAAAATCATGATGGCAAACTTGATAAGGAGGAGGCAAGTTTCACTTTGGCTCTTTTGTTTTCAGGAGTACCTCTAATAATGTACAAAATAAGATGTGTAGTACAAATATCCTACTGTATTTGTACTTGAGGTGACCAGCTGAAAAGGTTTTTTTGTTGATCTTTTATTTTTTCTGACTCTGTAAGAGCAACCAACACAGGATTTTGGTGAAGGAAAACATTGGATAATGAATCTCCTATTAAACATTTCAGTGGTTAATAATGCTCAACATTCTTCTTGTCAGTTTGACTTGGCCTGCAGACTCAACAAAATACTGCAAAACTCAAACAGAAATGTAAAGCAACACAACACACATCATTCCAAATAAGATTAAGATATATGAACATTTCCTTTATTTTGTGCCATGGACTTAGAAGCAGTAGCACAATATATGAAATGTATGAAATGCATGAAGCCTGTGATGAAATCCTGCATGTGATAGCAGTATTTTTCCATGAAAGTAGTGCAGTTCATTGGTCAAAAAATGTACTCAAAGTACAAATTTAAGAGAATTAGTATTTTGGCATGCATAGGAGTGATTCTAAGCTTGCATCTCATTATTTTGATAGGTGAAACTTTGGATTCTTCCTGAAACTGATCACATGGTGGCCCAAGAGGAAGCACGCCATCTGGTATCAACTGCAGATGAGAACAGTGATGGCAAACTGAGTGAGGAGGAGATTGTGAAAAACCACGAAACTTTTGTTGGCAGTGAAGCCACAGACTACGGCCGTGCTTTACCAAAGCATGAAGAACTATAAGTTTACCTGTTGGTTTTGGTACTTTTGGATAAAAAAATGTTTTTGACAGAAATTAGCATTTTAAAGAAGGGTTTGATCCTTCAGCTAGTCAGAACCCTTCCTATGGAAACATATTTAGTTCAAAGGACCTTCAATTTTTCACTAGCCTGTAATTCAAACAACTGTGTGACTTGCTTCACTATTTCTTGAATTAGTTGACAAATGGATCAAAGTCACAAAATTGTTTCTTTGTTGGCTACTCAGTCACATCTGTTTGTTGGGTGTACTGTAGTTTAGAATGCAGATTTGTAACTTCATTCAAGCCGTTTATATACTTTTACAAGAAAAGAGAGGCCACTTTGCCACTTTTTAAAGTTATTATCATAAACAATCAAAAACTGAGAGGGGAAAATACATTAATTTTGTCACAGGTGATTTAAGGGTGACCAATTAGAGAGGATTTGATTAATTCAATAAAGTTTTAAAGATTTTATTTAAAACTTGGGCTGAGTTCCTTTCTCTGTAACCTCCACCAATGTAGGACAACAATGAAAATACTGTAAACTTCCGCTTACAAGCCGTCTAAGCCCCGCTGGTCATAGACCCATCTACCTGTAAACAAAATGTTACTTCCGATCATAAGTCCCCATCTAGTTAAAAATAACATGAATTTGATTTATGATGATGTTTTAAACATCAGTGTGTGAAAAACGTCTTTCGATCAACACTGTTGTAGCTCATTTTATTTCGCTTATAAGCCCTTCCGCCTACAAACCCATTCAAAACCCCTGACAAAGTTGTATAAACCCAGGGCTTACAAGCGGCAGTTTACGGTATGTCAATCTGTCCAGCAATACTTCCATTTCTGGATTTTCTTTATTCTCAACACACGTGCTAGATAATGAGGAGAACTGACACAGTGATCCAGCTCTTGACCAGTTCCAGGCTCCTCTCACGTTGTGAGAATGACGAAAAGGCGGTGCGCCAGCAGTAAAAGGATCGAGAAGAGCGGTTATCGGCTGTAATCGTGTTTTCTCGTCGTTCACGCCTTACCTTCCTATTCCACAACAGTTTGGTAGTGCCAGGGTGAAGCTACCTGGTGAGGGGTCAACCACCCTGCAAAGGGGATTCCTTGTGGGGCATAAAGTGAAAAAAACACTGGAAAAGCTGGGCGCGTCCTCGCGTTCGTCTTACCTCGCCCTGCAGCCCACTCAGGGAAGCTTGTTCACGGGCTAGAGCGACCTGTAAAGCATATACTCTAAACCCCGCAAACCAAAGCAAAACGAATTGATCAACTGTCACTTTAGCATAAGCGTCCCCTTGACCACTAAACTCCGTTTAATTTAGCAATGATCAATTTATCTCAACATCGCGAACTTACAGGTATTTGTACCTTTCCTGTTCAACACTAACGCTGCCCAAACAGGTGGCAGTTTCGCCTTTAACTAACCCCTTAATTTTCGCGTGACGACCCTTAAAAATTGTATCAAAATCAATTACCATCAAAGAGGCTTTTTACTGAAACTCTGGGTGGAGATAAAAATGGGTCGGGAGATTGTCATACCATTACTTAGCTTTGGAAGTTAGACGTTAAACCGTTGGAAGTTTAATTCAAAAGAAGGTGAAACGATAGTTGGCTGACTCGTACAGTTGTCAGAGAAAATCCCCGGTTCCAATTTGAATAAACATTCAAAAGTATATAATTCCTTCATGAAATAAACTGGTGAAATAATTTTTTTCTTTGTCTTGTTTAAACCATCATACTCTAGGTAAAGGCCTGTTAATTTGAACTTGAAAAGCTATTGAAGTATTGAAATAAAAAGAAACTCGATGGTCACGCTCCGCAAAACTTTTTCGAGACCAACTATGCTGTATACATGCCGTTAAAATGTCTGAAGTGATCAACAACTGGTTTCTCTATGCAATATCAATAGAGCATCAAGCCGACACGGGTGATAAGATTATACAAACTTATCAACCCGGGGAAATTGCCTTCAGGTACGAACGAATTCTCAGAACTAATTTCGACATAAATATATGACAATTGGTAAGGAGAATTTTAAATACTTTGAGCTTGAAGACAGAAATTAGCGAACAAAAACTGAGGAAATTTGTTTTACATGTTGTAGTGTTCTTTAGCAGCTGTGCTGACAGAGGTCATGAAAAGATGTTTTTACGAGACAAATACTTCTAATGAGATAAGATTTGTTCGAACTGTTCTGATAAAAATGCAAAAGAAGGTAAGAAAGAATTGGATATAATACAGCTTGCAAATGAATTGTATGAATTATTCTAGCTGCCCAGTGGGACGAAAAGTTATGTTCGTCCGTGTGGGAGCGGAAGCTCGACTTCGCGCTGAGTACAGTGCTAGGGAAAGCGGCAACGACATACTGTAATTCCATGGGTTAACTGAATAAATCTAAATTTACGAAGGCAAAAACTACAGAAAAAACTATTTCCTTGAAAAAAAGTAATGATACAAGTCTTAAACGCTGAGCGAGCCACTTTGTTGCTTTTCAGTAACGGTGGAAAGCCGAAATAACCGTCGTAATTGTAACGGTAGAAGTCGCAATATGGAGAAAAAGCTTTTTTTTTGTTAAAACAATGGAGTCATTTACGTAAAATAAATAAAAGGTAAGTAATAAAAATACAGTGAAACACAGACTTCTATTGAACGAAAACGATGAATTCTTACCACAGACCATGACCCAGTTACGATTTGCAATTTTTCAGTGAAGAGTTGACACGTCAGTCGTTCAATACTTAGTAATTAATGATGTGTCTAAGCTGTGAATCTAACAGTCATGATTAAAATGCGTAATGCTTTGATTGCTCAGCTGTGATAAACTGGACTCATGGCAGAAATTGATTGGTTTTATCACAGCTGCCCAATAGCATTTTACCTCGTAAATTTAAACACTGCGATTGAGAAAGCTCTTAAAGATTTCTCCAAGCTTTCTTGAGAGTATTCAAGAGTTTGTAGCTCTCTGCGACGTTTGTTACAATCTTCAATCTAAGACCGTTAAATTCACCTGTTACTTTTTAATGAACAATGCATGCTTTTAATATCGTTTTCTTGTGCGTTCTAGCATTTTCAGCGCTATTAATATACAGTGTTTTCGCCGAAGTTGAACCTCACAAAGACAATTTTCATAAACACGAACACTTTGGTGAAAATCAGGAACATGACGTGCGGTACGACCACGAAGCCTTTCTTGGTCCTGAAGCCGAGGAATTTGAGCACTTGACGCCAGAAGAATCCAAGAAAAGACTGCGAGTTATTGTGACTAAATTGATCGACACCAACAGAGACGGGCTTGTTTCTTATGAGGAGCTGTCCGTGTGGATTGAGAAACAGAGGAAGGCGTTCATGTACGAAGACGTGGATAAAAGAATCAAGGATGAAGACAAAGATGGCGACAGGGAAATTACTTGGGAAGAATATAAAAAAGGACGCTTTGGAGAATGGGATAATATAGAACTCCCAAAAGACCATGTAAGTCTGGAAACATTTGTTCAACACCTAACTCTCTTTATCTATGTCTGAATTCTGTTAAAAATGTTATTTTAATTTCCGCTGACGTAGTCTGATAAACGCTGAATAGATCTAACTGAAGTAATAGTACTCCTAAGTTTTCTTTAAAAAGTCACTTTTTAATCAATTTCACTTGTCGTTCGCTAATTAAAAAATTTGAAATTGAATACCCCTGTGCTACGAAAAAAGAAACTTGGAGTACGTCGACGTGAAAGAGAATCCCTTCACGAGACCTGACAATTGAATACACGCGAGAAAACGCGCGTGAACATGACCCCAACTCGTGCCAATAAATCCTGTAAATCTAAAGAAATATCGTGCTAATATAAAGAAAATTCGTCCTTTTTTTCAAAGTCGCAGTTAGACATTGCAATCGCTGATAGCATTTCTTTTAATTCCCAATTCAACAGAATTTGCGCCGTCAAATTCGTAAAGCAGAGTACAAGTTCAACATGGCGGATGCAGACAAAAATGGCAAAATGAACCGGGACGAGTACGTGGACTTTGAACATCCAGAGGAAAACAAACTGATGGAGGAAATTGCGTTAGATGAAGTGATTGAAGACGTGGATCAAAACGGAGACGGGTAAGGCAAATAAGACTGATTGAAATACATTTTCTCCCCACAACATCAATACACTGGTAAATAGACGGGTGAAAAGAATTTAGAAAATATTCAACTGGCACGATCTTGTCTTGATTTACAACCAAATTCTCAGATTTAAGATCTTAAGAAATGCATGAACAAGAGGGGAGAAATAACAGTTCGATCTTGGTACTGACAGGATTAAAACATTTTTGAACCTGAGGCTGACTAAATACGTGGTAAGGAGAGGAAAAAAATCCACTCTTGTTAGAGTTTAACCGCTCGACCCTCTGTTGTCCGGCTGAGGCGCTGGAATTGAAAAAGCGAGAAAAGAAGAGAAATTCTCAATTAATTTTCAGTTAACGAGATTGTAATGCAAATTACTCAGGGTCATCAGCGTTGCTGAATTTCTTGGCCAGTACCAGGACGAAAACGGCCCACCCGCCTGGGTAGTGCGTCAACGACGAGACTTCCACAAAAAATTCGACAAGAACGGTGATGGCAGAATGGACCGAGAAGAAGCGAGGCAATGGGTTCTACCCGAGAACACTGACTCCCATGACGAAACAGCGCATCTGATTGACGGCACAGATGAGAATGCCGATGGCTTCCTGTCTGTAGATGAGATTCTACTTCACTGGAATCTGTTTGTGGGCAGCCAAGCTACTGATCATGGCCGCACTTTAAGAAAAGTCCGACATACAGAACTCTAGGTTATTGTCTGTAATAGAATATGCTAGAAAGACTAGGTTAGATTAACCCTAAGTCCCGATAAGTCATATTTATATTAAGCCTGGTAAACACCGTCATTCTTTCCGGTAAAAAATCCCAACGTGGTTCTTTTCAGTCTCTTCCGTGTATTACAACTTTTCCTTTAAAACAAATACGCCGTGAATTTTCTGGCCATTGGCCACATGGAAATAAGCGTTCACTGAAATGCTTCTTTTGAAGTTTTTTTCTTTTTACCCCGCTTGCCAGTGAATCATTTTGTAGTATAGCTTTTTCATTTGGGATAACTATCTTCTAGTTTTGATCTTGGGCTGGTTTAGTTACGTAAACTGCGATACAGGAATATTTTTTACAATCGTCATTTTAGTACTGCATAAAAATTGTAACATCTTCGTTCCACGTAGTGATTTTTAAGAAATAAAGTGTCTTGAGTTTAAATTGTCCTCGTGAAGGGAGATACATGTGGCACATTTTTGCGTCGATCGTTTTTTCTCTTTGTTCCGCAAACTGACATCAAGGTTACCATTACAACGGCGGTTGAATCGACGACCTTAACGACTCGGTCGGTTTTTCGGAGAAAGTCTGGGAAAAAAAAATGCAGCGATTTCCAGTCACTCCATCAATTCTCAGAGCCGTGCAAGCATCTATCTTAGTGGACAACTGACTGAGCCAGCGGTTTGTATGATAAGCGGTGCCATGTTGACATGACAATGTAGGAAATGAACGATTGTTCAAACTGTTTTCTAATTGGAGTTAGAAACACCTCGGGGACTCCGAAGATTTGCCGACACTTTTCGAAACATCGAAACAACGGGAGAGAGATAAAAAGCAAAACTGTCAATCACACTTTTATTGTTTCTATTTTCTATCATGAATTGAATTTGAAAGAGTTCGAAGTATCAACAACACATAACGTTTTGTTTATAAATAACCAGTTTGCATAGCAACTGTAATGAAGGTAAACAAACACATTCCATAAAGAACCCGAAGTTTTTTATCCATGATCCTCAATCTGAGACATGAACAGCTGTCGGACCTTATGTCGCTTGTGCATGGCAATATCGTCAAACCGCTGAGCATAAATTCTGTAGATCTCGTTTCGCCTCTCTCTGGTGTCATTGATTGACAGCCTTAGCTCCTCCCCTATGGGCTTTCGGTTGCAAGACGGTGTCATGCCGGCCAGCACCTTCACTTTTCCCGCCTTTTGCGCGGTTCGCGCTTTTTCCGAAGCCTCGTTCGGAGTCTTGCCGCCAATTACTGGAAGTTTTGAACCGGGAGCAGACTGTAAAAGAGTAGAAAGACGAAATGATAAACAAGTGTTTATGTTTGGCTCATCGATTTCTCCACATGCTCTTCATTATGAAGACTGGCCCTGCCCTCACTCAGCTAACACTGGACATATTTTCTGTTATGCTAATGACTACCTGTATAAGCAGAATAATAATTTCGAGCAGTTTTTGATACGTATATTACTCGTAACGGCATAAAGGAGTGAAAGCCTTTCACCAACAAAGATAAATTTAAAAATTTGGAATGAAGCCAATCTCAAAACTCACATCAAAGAGGTATACCATTACCTCTACACCTCGTTCAACGCTAAAATATGCTTTATATTGTGTTAATCACTGTTCTTGGCGGGAACAGAGGATGACATGATGATCAGAGTTTTACCTGAGCCCGCAGTAACTGAGCATGCCAGTAATTCGATCTTGTCGCATGACCAGCGAACTCTTTATTGATTCCTTCCAATCTGTAAAGAAGTTTCATAATCACTAATTTAATTATAATTCCAAGAGCTATTCTCAAAAACAGATCAGGGTATTTTATGACTTCAGTCACAGAGCGAAACGCGCCAAATTTACTGGTGAAATTTTCCCCCGTACCTTTAATCCTAACCTGCGATCAGGTGTTCTTTTTTGACAGCAGGGGGAAGAAAAAAAAGAAGCTGATCACAGGTACATTAATCCGAGCTCGCGCCTCTTTTCCTCTTGTATGCTGTTCGCGTCGGGTTCTGGACGTCGCAGACATTTTTTCTCGCGACGCTAAGAGCGGTTTTCGCAGTTCGACCTTCGCCTTGTGGGCAATTCTAGGATTAAGGTTTTTTTGTCACGTAATCAAATAGGGTGATTATTATATATCAATAACGTTCCCAAGGTTTTCTGGCTGTCAAAAGTAAGATCCTCTACAGTTAGCCCCTGTAGTGTGTAGTGTGTTCATTTTTCGAAAAAAAACGTCTGTAGCAATTAACTTACTCTCTTGCAAGACCCATCTTTAACTCATTCTCACTGCTACCCGCTCTTGTTGACATCCATGGTGTCTCCATTACGATCTGCGTACAACAAAACGACTCGTCTATTGAGATCACAAGCACTTTATATGAATAAATATGCTACGTTTATCAATCAAAGTCATTTCCCAGCAACAGTCTTACGAAAGTCACAATTCAGCTGTTTGTAAGTAACTATCCAGGATCTTTTTCACGCCATTCCCTGATACATGGCATCGTTCTTCATTCTTACAGCAATATAGATGCTACGATACACAAATATATGAAACAACTAAATACTGGCTACCAATACAACACTGACCTGTTTGGATGGGGTGAGCTGGGGCGAGAGAGAAGCTAGTTTGACAGACCGTCCGCCTGAAGATCGAGACTGCAATGAAACAACAAGGTTAGGTGCTCCATGGCTCAAACTTATATTTCCTGGGACATTCGCCAATACAAGCTACGATAGCTACGGGAATTGAAGGAATAAAAGCATCTCACTAGCACAAGTAAAACATCGAGGTTAAGGCATGCCTGATTTTGTATTGAACAAAAGCTTTCCTGCCGATCATTGTAAGAACTGGATAAATGAGGGTGAATTTCACGCTAACTATATGTTGTGGGTGAAAACCAGGCACTGGAACCGTCAGTCTTGTCTAAATTAGTAAATAACTAAAACATTTTCAGTACCTCACGTAGGGAAGAACGTGTCCGTGTATTTCCTTTCCCGATGTAATCTACAAAAAGAGATAAGTCGGATTATTTTTCCTGTGGATTTGCCCAAATATGTCTTATATTATTCTGGTAAACCATTTTTAAAAACAGCAATGGTCAAACGACCTATCCAGTAACTGGTCAAACCACAGAGATGTACTGTGCGACGGCTGCTTTTAAATGGTTTAAATTTTGTTTGTTGCATGGAGAATTACTAACAACTTACCTAGCATCGATGAGACTACGACCAGAGTGGACCTCAGTAAGATCTGGTTTCCTTCAGTCTTGTTAAACAGCAGTGACTGTCCTACTTCATAGAAACCCAGTGAGGCGAGAAAGCGTTGTAGCTCAGAACAGTACCACAGAGAACGAAGTACAAAGTCACTGGTCTTCATGATCCGCTCCGGATAACGGCTACTGAGGCTTAACTGAAAGGGTATACCATTGTCGGTAATTAGTATAATGTGAACCACAAGGAGCTGGAATGGCGTATTTGCGCCGTGTGATCGGTACATTGAACGGTGGGCTACCCGCGGGCAGGGGGTTACTCCCTATAATAGCCTATATGGGGAAGCTCCATCAGAAAAGGGTTACCTTTTTCAGGCTTTGGGTATATAAAAGGCCCTATATATTAGTCTCCCCGGGGAGGCTTGTCGTCAGTGCACTGGACTCCTAGGACATGGTCTCTTTGTGTTCTTGGGAAAAATATTTTCTCCCCAAATTGTCACAATCCAACCAATCCATAGAAGGTACAAGGAATTGTTGTTGTTGTACAGAGCGGCCAAGAAAACTTCTCACAGCAACCTGCGAATACTCTATCGTGAAGTTAGGCACGCACCTTCACGAAACAGTTAACTGTAGCCAGTGTACATATTCCTTCCCATCAAAAGAGTATTTTTCCTGTTTTTTTTTTTAAGGGAGTAGTCGGGATGTACTCAGGCTACTTCACTGCCCTACAACATACAAAGTACAAACCAAATAAACTTACAAATTCTCTGAGTTTCTCCATGGTGTTTTTCTTCAAGGTGTTTGTTATCCTCGCTAAGGTGTAACCTCCGCTCGAAGACACCTTTAGAATATCTGGAAGGTGAATCACAATGATCGAATCAACACGAGCATATCACATTCAAATTTGACATGACGTTGATGTTTTTTGTGTGACATTGTTGACTGAGTGGGTAGTGGTAGTCGTAGCCCTTACAGGGATAGTAACGCACACAACGCTTCTCTAGTTCAAGGTTTAAAGAAGTGTGAACACCATCCCAGGAAAAAAATAATCCCAGTTTAACTTTACCACAAATAGCTTGTAGAACTTGTGACGTCATGGCCAGAGTCCCGTCAGGGTCCCAATGGGGAAACACAACAAATGGATCTTTGTCATGCGCGCCATCTTTTTGGAAGTCGAATCCTAGGAACGCCATGAACTCTTTGACATAAGAGGCCTCTAAGACACAGGAGCTGAGCTGTGCACACATGGTAAAGTCCTCCGTCAAAAGGAGCTCAGGATGCTGATACGATAACAGCATTTGATGCGCCAACTGTACCTAGTTTGATTTGTTTAGAAAACGAGTGAACAGTCAGAACAGTGTAAAAAGTAGATTATCACGGGAGGATGCAAAGTCGTTTTAAGCATACAATGTTTATGTATTGAAAGATAAGTAAATGAGAGTGCCACAACTCTTAAAATCTTTCAAGTATTACCATGATGTAGGATGTATTTGTAGTTCTTTTGTAAAAAAAAACCGTGATGGCTTCTTGATTTGAAGCAACTTCTTTATTCCTATTCGATTTTATGAAACGATATCGTCAACCAGCTGTTATGATGGTGTTTTGTCAATCGAAGAGGAATGTCTCTAATGCTGCAGACCAATCAGGGATGTCGATAAGACGCATGACAGTCACACATGTGAATGTCATCGAATTTTTCGACCTTCAGAGTCAGTGTTGTTACGCTCAGGCTCTCTTCAGGCCTTCAGTTAGTCCGGGTGCAGAGCAAAAACGCCTGGAAAAGGCTATGCTACGTAACTGGCTCCCGAACAAAAACAGGGCGTGAGTTGCAGCGCTGCGACACGCGCGGCTTGTCTACTTCTCGCACGTATTCTCGCTCTTGCGCAACGTCCCAACTCGCTGAAACCTGCTACGCAGCCTATTACTAAACGAGGGTGGTTCAGTCTATAAGCACTCATACACTCGCGCTCATAGTCTCATAGTACACTCATGTTACAGCATGGAAATAATAGATGTGAGATTAACTGAGCTGCTTACCACATCCTTGAGAGCTGGCAGCACATGAGACAGAGCACTGTGTTGCTGCAGGAGCTGTGTAAGTAATTCCTGGAATCTCCTCATTTTAACCATAACTGAAGGAACTGTAGACGTAAAAGAAAGTCTGGTGTTTAAGGCATACAGAAGCAGAAATAACCTCGGCCGAATGCAAAATACTTTGAAATAAGCTTGACACACTTAAAATTGGACGATGCCTCATTTTGTTGTGCAAACTTTCAATCTCGCATTTCCAATCGCTATCTAATTTTTCTTGTCCTGGTTTTCACCCTCGAGCTCAAGGTATCCGAGAATGACAAGGCCCGCTTGTGAGGGTAATATCGTTGTAGGTGACGGAGAACTGGAATGACGCCCGATTTACGTTTGAAGCGCCGGTGCCCAAGGTGAGCCATCCTTCCACCTTGCTCAGTGTCCTTCACTGTGCTCTTTTATAAAATAACTGAGTTACTACGCGCGCTCTCATTGGTCGATAGGTGCGTTTAGATGAGAGTATGTAAACACGGTTGTGACGTTTTAGATTCGCGCGTATTTTTGAGGATTATTTTACAAAAGCAATAGAGCACTTTTTCCGTGTTTACATAGCCTCATCTAAACACGAGGGGATTGGGAGAGTTCTTGAACGTTTGCAAACTCTCGACTACGTCTCGTGTTTGCAATAACTGTCTCGAATTCTCCCAACCCACCTCGACAGTCTGTGTGTTGCTCGTCGAATTTAGAAACAAAAGTTGCTTCCCTTCGAAAATAAAATCCTGGAAATTTGATTGGCACAGTGGTCTTATAGTTAGTGCGTTTCACTCCTCTAGTGGTGTGGGATCGAGGTAGAGTCATGGTGTTTTGTTCATGAGATAGATCTGGGAAAGGTACCTAATTCTCAAATATGTTCAGAGAGGGAGGGTTGGGCTTAAACCTTCGACAAATAGTAGTAGAAGAAGAAGTAGAAATACTCTCAGTAACCAAGGGCCCGTTTCTCGAAGGTCCCGAAAAGTTTTTGCACCCGAAAAGCCGTAGCAAAATCTCATACCTTATGGCTACAGAGCTGTTTTATGCACATATTCTTAATGTGACCAGAGGTTCTCTTCATACAAGAAGTTTCAGGCGTATACATCTCTCTGTCTTTAAATACTAATTAACTAAAAATGCCTTTGCGGGCCCAAAAACTTTCCAGGGCTTTCGAGAAACAAGCCCCTGGTGTCTCTTGTACCTGACTGTTGAAACATCTACCTATGAAAAGGTATTTCTTGTTAGTTTTTAGATTTACCTTTGCTGTCCAGTGTTTCTGCCGTGACAAGAGGAAACCTCTCGGGTGAAGAACTTTTCACCACTCGATCCAGTACCCCATCAAACAGCTGATGTCTCAAATTCATTAAATTGACTGGAGTGTCAAATCCAACATGGACAAATGACGCCCAGGAGTATGGGGATGACATGTGCTCTACACTTCTCACTTGGGTCCAGGCCTCCTTCAAAGATTTGCTGATAGTCTTACCCTGAGGACAAAGTTTGGGAAGAAGTTAAAACTGCTAGCCAGAGTTATCCTTCAAACTTACATACTTTGCAATCAACAGTTACTGTAGCAAATTAACCACTAGGGAACCACAATAACTGTATTTACGCACACCCATCTAAACCCATCATGTTATACTACCTTATCTAGGCATAACCCTAACCTAAACTATATCAAGAATTAATCTGGAAATGAAAAAAATAAAAAACTACCAGTATATTTCCTAAATGTACATGTAATTGGTGGTTTGTGAAATAAAAAGTCTAACGTGTAACTGCTTCTATCTCTACATTTATTATTTCATGTTTAAAACATACCATTTCCAAACCAGAGTAAAACTGGTAAAACAGGTTTAAGAGTGAGGACTGAGGGGCAGACCATAATGGCATCACCACAGACTGTATGCCTGCTGCCAGGAGAGCTGTCGCAAAATGGAGGCTTGCATGCTTTAACTGGCAATACTGATGGCTGCATCCACAACATGCATTCAGCACAACAACCTTGGCTGACAGTTTTAACAGAGCAATGTCTGACAGTGTAACCAAGAATGACTCTTCTGATGGAGGGTTGCCATGGTGATGGGAATCAGGAGACAGAGCAATGCACGCATCTGGCCAGCTTCCATATGTCACTAAGTGAACGACAGATGCTTCAGGCAACATCTTCAAGAAGTGTTCCTTGGTTGCTTGGCAACCACTAATTGGATCCACCCCTAACAGTGAAGCAATTGTGTTCACCTCTTCTTCTGCCAGATCTGATTGTTTCTTGGGACTCCAGATTTTTCCGTTTAAATCTACACTTGCAATCTCTGGATTTCCTTGCACAAGGATCTTTGGGGAATCTGGCACTTGGTTTCCATCATGGGACGACTGAGTAGTGGCTTTGGTTTCCTGTGACATTGCTCTAATGCAAGGTAGAATGCGGACATTGAATTCTTCATGCAAGTACTTTCCTTCTTGGTCTTGCAAACAAGGAAAAGGAACTGAATTGACTTCCAGATCTGGAATAATCACAAGTTCATAGACACCACCTCCAAGCTCAGTCTTCAGCTCATTGTCAACAGGACTCAAAAGCAAATGATGCAACTTTTGAAGAGGTGTTAGTTTAGAAGAGTGAAGGAACTCACACAAGTAGCAGGATTTCTTGCTCTTCTCTTCATCTGATGACGCACTGAGTTTTCCTGACATGACTGCATCTGGTAGTGCCCGATGGTCACAATTGTAGCTTTCCTTGCAGGTGCTGTGAAGCTCTTCAATGCACAATTTAATTTTGTTTTCAAAGCTGGAATGATCACAGCTCCTATGCCAGTGACATTTCACGATGCCCTTCCCAGGGGATAGCATCCACAAGAGAAAACCAGAAGGAATTGTAGAAAAAAGTAACAATGTTGCTTTTTGAGAGTTAACAATGCTCATGATATCCTTTGCTGAGTATGGTGTGACAAGTGGTTCAGACGAAGGTGAAGAAGTCGACGACTCCGCCCTAGCTAGAATAATCTTATGTCTTAAAATGTTAACAAGAACTCTTGACCTACAATGTTCAGCAATTTCTAATGATTCCTCAACTAAATTCATTTCAATTAAGGCCTCTTGCAAGTCCTTGTGACACTGATCCAGTTTTTCAATGAGAGGGTCCTTGTAAATTAAACTCCTTCCATACTTTGACAGCAACTTGTCTTCCAAGACTGGAATAGCCTTGTTGAAGTAATGCTGAGAGCTTTCAAAATTTCTCATGGATTTCGTTATCTGTGCAAGAGCAAGACTGTACTCCAACTCTTCTTCTAAATCATTGTACTCCACAGCCAACTTCAAACACATTTCATAGTAATACTGAGAATGGTGAAACTGATGCAGTTCTCTGTAGCATGAGGCAACCAGGCTGATTGCCTTGTACTCAAGTTCTTCCATCTTGTTTACTCTGGCCAAGTGTAGGTGCTGCTCAAAATAGCCAAGAGCTTTAGTATGATTGCCAATAAGTTTATACAACAATCCAAAATCCCTAAATGCCAAAAGTTCTGAAACTTTATCATTCAAATTCTGTGCAAGCTTCAGATGCTGCTCGTGATTGATAGCCGCCAATTTAAAGCTCCCCATGTTTGCATACACTGTGCCAATATTACCATAGGCATAAGCTGCACCATGGCGATCATCAAACTTCTTACAAAGTTGCAGTTCAATTTTGTGGCATTCCAAAGACTTTTCGTAGTTACCTTGCAAGAGTTCCAGATCACCAAGGTTTGAATATGCTGTAGTTAGGTTCTCCTGCTCAACAAACTTCAACACTTCCATGTACTCCTGTGCATGTTCCAATGCTTTCTTATAGTCCCCCATGAGTTTGTAGGCTGCAGATAAATTCCACACTGCTCTTCTTTCAACATCACTGTTCCAGTATTCCTGGTACTTTTCCCTATCCTCATTGCTGTTTTGCAGATCTCTCCCAACGGCTAACAACTTCCCATTGTAAGACACCGCTTGGACATACTGTGCCAGTCTGTGATAGATATTTGCAAGTTTCACATATGACTTGATTTCATATTCTTTGTCCTTGAGATATAAAGCTATGGAAAGACACCTTCTAGAGACTGAAAGGGCCTTGCTGTAATGGTACAGGCAGTAATGACATTCACTCATGATAAGTAGTGCCAACATCACTGTTCTGCCATTCTGTGATGAAAGTCCCTCATTCTCCACACTTTCTCTCTCGTCTTCATATTCATGGTTACCAGTTGGAAGATATATAGATGAAAACCCAGCAGCTGGATTGGGAAGTGTCGATTGTAAGTCATCAGCGACATGGCTGTAACTTGCAGCATCCTCGTCTGTCTCCTTCAGAACTGTGTTGCCAAGCAGGTTTGTTATGCTTGCATGTGAATACAATAGCTGCTCATTCCAGCCATAATGTGCTTGCAAAGCTGTTGCAATGACACTGATGGAAATCTTGTAATTTCCTGTTTCATGCAACCGTTTTCCAAGTTGAACAAAGCTCTCAAATTTATGAAAACCTGCAGTACCTAAAATTGGTCAGGAAAAAAATGCCATTATAATTGTATTATCAGTGACAGCTACATTTTGCATGCCACCATACATTTTATGTCTTGTGTAAATGACATTACAAAAACTGAGTGACTGAGATCATGGAAAATAATGGTTTAACAAGTATTTAGCCAAAAGAAAATCTCCATTGCATCTTGGAAAGCTAAATATATTATAATTTGCCTGTATTATAGTCTGGGTAGTGCATTCACATGGAAGATCAGGGCCAGGTCTACATGTAAATTATGACATCTCTGCAAGTCTCTGTTATCTGTCATCATGCTTGACCTTTTTAATTTTGGCTCATTCATGAATTATGCAAACATCATTTTACCACAGGTGCAAAATACTATATATAAGTTAAGAGCATGTCACGTTATTTCCTTTCACATATTGTTGTTGGCAAGTGTCTCAATCCCAAATAAGAAAAAAACAAATTAACTTTCAAAAAAGATTAATGCATCTGTTCTTATCCCACTGTACTTATTCAATCTTCAGTTAATTGAATTTGAATGGATTTAAACTTGTTATATCAAAGGAAAAGGTAAGTTGAACTGCAAAGAATGACAGTAATAACAAGAAAAGATTATCCATAACCAATTTCAAAATTTCCATTACTATCTAATGTACAAAATTATATCATCACACAGTGTTTAGTGTTACGTGAGTCACATTTATTTCTGTTTCTTAGTTACATGTAATGAATAAAGACCGATTAGAACCACCACATGGTGGTTCTAAGTTTCACTAAGTTTGGAGTTATAAGCACACAATGGATCATGTGATGGAATTAATAGTCTTCCTTTATCGTCTTTTCCTTTGTATTTTGCATCTCTTGGAGTCGAACAGCATGGGTAACTGTGATTTTCATTGTCTTCTTATTTTATTTCCTCCAATTCCTACCGTATTTTAACCCTAGTTTTCAACCTTGCTGTTGTAGTTTTTCCCACCACATGCAATGAAGGTAAATGCAATAAAGAAGTGATTGATAAATCATGGCATTGGGGTTTCAATGGCAGTTCTCAGCCAATCACACATTGCATTTGGGGCCCCGACATTTAGTTTTGTCTGATACTACATGAAAAATGTTGTCTTGTATTTTTCCAATTTGACAATAATTATTTTTCTTTCATTTTAATTGACCTGCCCAGGGATCACAGATCTTACCTTGGTCTGAGAGAGTTAGCTCCTCTGTCTCTGACATTTGACATATGCATCCAACAGCTCCAATAATATGTAACAGCAGCTCAGTGGGGTGTGCTGTGTCCAGTTCATAAGCCTTGAGGTACGACTTTAAACATTCCTTGTAGTTTCCAAGGTTTTCAAGTGAGACAGCTCTCAAAAAGTGCCCCTGCATACCAAAAGTATACGAGTCTAGTTATTTTATCATGATTATTTCTAAACTGGACCTACTTCTGGTAAAAACACAACCAACCTCTAAAAAACAGCACTTATAAACTATGTCTTATAATCCAAAACCAGAAGGCAAAAGCCACAATCTATGAGCTAACATTGACTGAGTGAAAAGTAACAATTTCATCTGTTAAAAATAGCAAAAAAGCTGAATTTCCCCAAAGAATGTTAACAAGATCATCTATTCAGTGTAGTCATTAACTTTTGATTCACCTGTTCCCTTGATCTTCACACCTGCAACAAACATGTAACTTTTTGGGTGAATTGTATCAACTCCAGGCAGGTTCACCGGAAACATCAAGGGCCCATCAAACATACTCAACAGGTGTTATGGGTTACAGCCCCTATTGACAGCCCTGTCTATGAGGGTCCCCAATAGGTTTGGCGGGATGCGAGATTTGGCTTTTTTTCGCTGTGATATTTGGGATTTGAGCTTAAAACAGGGGGCGGGAAGCAGGAATTACAATTACGAGCAGGAGCGGGATTTCATGTTTTTATGGGGTTGGGATGTGGGGTTCACAAGGGGAACAGAGCGGGATTCGGGATTTCAATTCTTACGTGACCTCATAAATTGACCAGCGCAAAAGCCGCAAGTTGGGCAGAAATGAACCTTTAGTGCGTACAGCTGTGTTAGGTTTCAAGTAATGAGTATCAACGACTCTGTACCCTGTCAGGTTTGGTCAAATGCATCCATTATCACTTGACTAAGTTAGTATCATGGGACTGTATGAAGTCTTTGAGTCCTATTGCAATCCTCTGACATGAATGCCATCTATCCATTTCCCACATCTTCAACGCTTGCGAATGTAATCTTGACCTCCCCTCCCGCCTCCGGTCCTTTCTAGTTTTTCTAGTCTTTCAACCTTTTCTAGAGGGCTCGTCTTGACCAGGATGGCACATTGGGTGGCAGTGATAGTGATTTACCGAACAAAGTATGAGACATTATAAATTGCATCGCCATATATTACGAAAAGTATGAGAGAGCGGGAATGCCTTCATTCGGAAAGAAAAGTTCTGATCCCAGATTTCAAGGAAAGTGAAGACACTGAAAGCTTTGAAAGAAACTGTCAGGTGTGTTTACGGGCCATCCCTTGAATATGGTAATGAAAAATCATTTTCTGTCACTGATATGTAGACAAGAGAAAACAAAACAGTAAACAGTTTACAGAAAGAAACGTTATAATCATTTGTGCTTACTTATCTGCTACCTATTGAATCTCTTTGTGATCTTTTATGCGATATCTATTTTTAAAAAGTTTCTTTGTTAATAATTAAATTAATTACTAATTTAAAACATTAATAATTAATGCAGAAACGTCTTTGAAAAGTAGGCGGGATCAGGATTTCCAGGAAAAAAGGGCGGGATGGCAGGATTAACATTGAAAAATGGGCAGGAAAGTGGGATTTGAGAACCCTATTGTGGACCCTCTGTCTATTGCATATACCACTTTTACCTTTGGCTTTTGAGGAATAATAGTTATGAGACTTTCTGCATCTTTCTTGGATTCATTGAACATGCCTAACTTGGCATACACTGCTGATCTGCAGCCAAGAACATCTTCATCGTTGGGCGAAAAGGACAAGGCATCTGAGTAGAAACTGATAGCTTGAAGGAACTGGTCATTTTTAAACGCTCTGTCACCCTTGGTGCAAAGCACTTTAAACTGCAAAATAATTATACAAAAACAAATGATTGCATGTAACTACCACATCAAGTTTTAGTATAGTAAAGACCATCTAAGTTCAGTAGCAAACTGAATTTAATTGAAAGTATGATGGTTAGACAAAGTTCTACGGAGATCTGTATGCAAATGAACCTATGAGAGATCATATATTTGGACTGCAGAGAAAGAAGATGTAAGACATGAATGATCATCTACACTAAAACCCTTAATTAGTTCAGAAAGTACTTGTAAAACTATGCATGAAATACTAGCCAGCCTTATACTGCAAATTAGGTTAGGTTTACAAAAACTCACTTACCTTTTCCATAATTCTTGAAAATGACTTTTGTTGGAAAGTTACACTATCACGCAATTCAACAAGTCAACTATTTTTGAGACAACAATGAAAGCCATTTGTGGAGAAAAGTTGACGGAAAAAAAAAACTAGATGAGATTTTTCAACTTATTAAGCTTAAATTCTGATAATTCATTGAATAAAACGCCAACGTTATCGCCGATAATGACACAAACTCGACATAAATTGCCCTGTTTACAAGTAGCACGACCTCTCCGCCATCTTAGTTTGCTTAGCAACCAAACATACTCGGGCCAAGTCTCCCCCTTACAAGCGAAAACAAAAACGCCTTGCAAGTATTAGCCACTTGCCTGCTTGCGACTGCTAAATTTTTAATGAGACATTTTCCTTTTGATTTTAAACCTTTTCACTTGAGAGAGATTTTCATTCGCTCAAGCTACATTGCATTCTACTTCTGGTAGATTTCAAAAATCTTTCTCAAAACTATCCAAAGACTTCCCGTCAACGGAACTCGAACAATGACAACTAAACGGATTGCAGCAACCATCCTTGTTTTGTCTCTTGATTTCTTTTACTTTCTCAAAAGCGAGCACGTAACGACAGATGGCGACTTGGATGACTTCCAAAAATGGTTTCAAGATCATGGTGGAAGATGCCGTTGCAGATTCATGAAAAACAAAGACCAAAAGTTGACCGCTGTGGCTGATCGAGAGATTGTAGACAAAGAATCAGTATTGATGGTTCCTCAATCCCTACATGTTAACTCTGCCACTGTTGAAAGGTACTTTAACACAATTCCTTGAGATCATAGATTGCTACTTTTATACAAAATTACTTTTCTCCTTTTTCCGATTCACCCAAAAGTGGATCACAACAAGCCCTATATATAGACGTTAGTTTGTGGTGAAGCTGCAAACTTGCCATAACTAGAACTTTCTTGTACTGATAGTCACTGATCACGTGTGACGGCATATCTTTGACATGGTTGCTTAACAAGTACCACAGGCACAGGTACAACGGATGACCAGGTAGCACCATCCACCAATGTGTGTCCAGTCAGAAAAAGAAAGAGAAAAAAATATGCTACAAAATGCCAGCTTTGCTGGAACAAAAGTTTATCGGTTGACCACAAATATATACCCTGCAAATTATTTAACTGATTTCAAATTAGTAGTACATTCACAAACTGTTTTCTAATTTCAGGTCAATGATAGGGCCAACCCTTGAGCAGTTATTGCTTGCGGAACATCAAATTCTTAACCGTCCAGATTACATGGAGCGACGTGTGATGCACTTGATGCAGGTGGCTGTATTTGTTCTCTATTCCATTCACACTAGAGATGAACAGTGGCTTCCTTACTTCAAGATTCTTTCAAAACATGAATGTGATACACTGTGGATGTGGAGTGAAGGAGAGCTGAAGGAGCTTCAAGATGACAAATTGGTTAAAAAAGCTGTTAAGTGGAAAGACATGGTTTCCATGCTCGCAGCTAATCTCACACCAAAGCTGAATAGCTTTGGCATGTTTGCTGGAAAAGATCTTGATCCTGACACTTTGGTACGATTTCAATAAGAGCTTTATTGCAATTAATTCATCACAATTAAGTTCTAGCAGTAAGGACACCTCCCTAGCGCTAAGATTGGCTAGTGTTTCTTGTACACGTAGTAAAAACATCCCTTGCCAAGAGTGAGGAACTCAAACTTGCACTTGTTGAGATTTACTTTGTTTTTGTGGTTGATAACATCAGGAAGAGGGGTTAAGTTTCAAAGAGGGCTTAAAATTATACTTTAACTTGTCATAGAGGGTCTAAATGGGGTGAGATAGCTTAGGATTGCAATGAAGATTTGAACTGCCTGCTGAGAATTCAGAAATGACAGCATGACCACTTTTTTTGCTGATAGCTAAGACCTGAGATGTGCAAAATTTACTAATAACTGAGAAAGGGGCTGAAATTTAAACTGATAGCCGAGAAATTGCCAAAAAATTAATTCATATCTGAATAATGGTAAGCTTAGGGTCAGCAATAATAGGTGGTTTACTTTTAGTCTTTGTCAGCAAGGTGTCGTATTTTCAGTAGAAGAGTAGTCTTATGTAGTAAATGAATGTAAGTGAATGTAAAGAAAAACTTAACTCTGCATACATATAGCCAAAGACATATTAATCTCTAGATAACTTTCTGTGATGTTTCAGGTAAAAGCAGTTTGTGCAGTCCAGTCAAACAGTTTTAATGTGACAAGTAACACAGGACGCCCAGTCAGGACTTTGGTGCCTGTAAGTTGTGCCCTCTTTTGGCACCTTGTAGCTTTTATAGGTACATTTAACTTACTTGATAAGAATTACCTCTTACCCTGATGTGCAACTGTGAAGCCAAGCAATCAACGCTTATGATTTTGTTGCAAACCATTTCAGCGCTTGCTCTGGACCTTTTGTTTGAAGACTGTACAAGGTCAAAAAAAGTTATGACTGTTTTGAAGTCTACATGCCCTGACACCACTAAATTTGTCTAGTAAAGTTGTCTGAGAGAATGTAGCATGAGGTACTTGCTAAACCGTTATGGACGAGGCTTGTGGTCCATGGCTTGTATTTAACGATAAGCTTGCACAAAGACACTCCTGCATGTATTGGTACACAGGCTAATTGACCATAAGACATCAAATTTTTCTGTAGCTAAACTTAGCAGAATTAACCCCCATTACCAATGCACACTTTGTGTTCGTTATAAGATTCTCGAAACGTTTAACGTTAGTCTTCAAAACCCTCGCGTTTAAATAAGATACGATCGTGTTGGCTTTACAGGGCTTAAACATGTTCACATATCGGCCCAATGCTGGGGGAACATGGTGGACGAAGGGTGGTGCGTTACGATACAGACATGTCAACGCCACGGTGCAAGAAGGTGATGCTATCTTCATTGATGTTAACCCGATGGGTGACAGCATTCAAACACTTTTGGAATATGGCGTGTTCGTTCCCGAAGGAAGCAAATTCTTTAGTCCTTTACCAGAACAAAACAGTCGAATGCGAAGAAGATTTGTGGAAATGTTGAAACTCAAGAAGAGGGTAAAATACAGCGAGAAGTTTACTTTCAAAGCAGCTGGTCTTCCAAATTTCAGAGTTCAAGCGCTTTCGGACAAACAGGTAGACGACCTGGTGCGAGAAGGAAGCAATCCAAGCAAATTGTCCGAGCTAAAGAAAATATTCAATAGCCCTTCGCTTCATGTGGAAAGCAACTCGTTGTACTCTTGCAAAGACGAAGTAGTCGCGTTAAATTTGTTGTCGTTACATCTGCGCGATGAGATGTCTGGTAGAACTACAGGAATGCCACAAGATGAAGACATCTTGACAAAGGACATTCCTGCAAGACTGCGCACTGCTGTGGAGTTTAGACTGAAGTTTAAGAAACTTGTTACGAATTATCTTGATATTACTAGTGCCAGGGCGATAGAGACGAAAAGAGAATGTCTATCTAGGAAAAGAGACGAACTGTAAGATTGTTTTTACTGTGCAAAGGGGATATTCGAAAAAAAAAGAACTTGATAAAACGAGGTACAGAATAACCTCGCAGTGTTCCAACATTTAAATTCAACGGAACTTCACGTGTGTCTGAGTTCTCTTTCTTTCTTTCTTTGTGAAGTGAAAACTAGGTCTGGCATCCTCAGTGTTGGTTGCATGAATATGCATAGGATCAGAAAAAGAGAATATCTCATAGCTATTTATATAGAGGGCGAATTCTAGTATTTGAATAAATATATTTAAAAAGTTATTATAAGTGTTCCAACCTTGCAATTTGCCACTTTTTACCATTTCCCACGCGCCGGTGACGCTCGCGAAGCTTTAATAGTTTTGTATTACCTTCCTTATGTTGTAGGAATGAATACATGGAATATCTAACATCATCCTTAACCTGTAAAGTCCAGGTAGAGAATAAAGAAAGCACTTAGCAGGCAGGTTTTCAGCAATCTATACTATCCAGACGAGTCCCAATAGAGATTTCGGGAGACAAACGAATACAAAATATCAGAACTGGAGAGAAAACAGCCTTTATTCCTACTTCGCTATGCCAGCCTCGACGTGCATTTGACAGTATTTGGAATATCAAGACTTGCATCTTAGTCGAGATATATTGAATAACAGGTTAAGACTCATCTAGCGAGTGGAAAATGCTATCAGTGATGAAATTACATCCTCTTTAAATTACGAGTTATTACTTTCGTTCTAGTTTTGCTTGTGATAATCACAAGGAGTTTATGGTAGTTTATGTACGGAATTAATCGCCAATGACCTGTCGACCAAGCTAGAGACCTTATTTTAGGCATTTCATACGTTCTGCATGTTTTGCACTCATCGAGTCCCTCTTGACTGCTGATAAGAAGCCATAATTTTACTGGCAGCTGCCATCTTATTTGACGTTTCTGTAACAGTTGATCCCCAACCGTATATGCTACCGAAGTTTATTTATTTTTTGATAAAGGGGGGTCTTTAAAAACAATCATTTCAATTTCGATCGGTCCATCAGTTTCGGCCGACAGACCTCCAGGATTTACTGGAACAAGTTTGATTTGTAGTTCCGTGTTACTGTAATCCGGGGGTACGTCATCCAATTCTTCTTCATCGCTAATAAAACCAGACGATTCATCTGCTCCCCTGCTGCTTCCGCGTCGGTTTGCACTGAAAATCTTGTCTATGCTACTTTGGAATCGCTTCAGTTTCCGGTCAGGGTCACGTGAGAGTCTAAGGTGGACGAGAACCCGTTCCAGACCTCGTCTAACTGCTCGTCGAATCCTTGAGGGAAGTTTCCGAATCCTGTTGAACAAATCATTCAAGCGGAGGGTTATGAGAATGCACGCGAACTTTGATTAAATCCGCAGCTAACTCCTCGGATATTTCTCTTTTAGGGCCCGGCGGGAAATTTTCTGATTGCCAATCTATCTTCTAAATGTAATCTTTAGAGATGATACAGCTAACTAGATCACAAAATATAGCGCACTGTTTTAAGAAAATATAAAAGGAGGCAAGTGCAATGGGATGCTGCATCATATGCTTGAAAGGCTTGAAACCTTCCCTAAAGTGCGATAGATCTCTGGTCACAGCTACGTTGAGACTTGAGTTTAATCGGCCATTCACCCCATACTCCCGAACACTGATTGTGTTTTATTTGGCCAGCAAGAAGAATTAAAATTGAAATAATATTAAAAGTTCCACTTACTGTTTTCCTATGATGAGCAGATTCCGGCGCAACCTGGGAAGGGCAACGTCCATTTTGATCAGAAAAGCTGATCCCTGACAGTAAAGATGATTTACACAGTAAACAATATAAAAAATGAAAAACATCAGTTATTGCACTTTCTACATTCTAATAGTTGGCTTCAAATTTAAAACTAAGATTTAGACCACTGGACGTGTATTCAGCTAAGCATTTTAAATTTTAACCATTAAAATTACCTTTAAAATTGACACCCTTTGTCCTGAAATGCATTTCGAAGCGCACTTCCAAGAGTAACTTTAGTTTTCAAAAGCCAAATTGTCATTTTTCGTTGGGTAAGACTTCTCTTGGTGTAAGTTGCAATAAGATCATCAATCGAATTTGACGTCACAATTACGTGCGAGAGGAAAACTAATTAGTGAGATCATATTTATCAAGTAAATTTGTTTAATATTTTTCCAAAATGGCTTTCCTATCTACGTTGTTAGACATATTTAGTTTAAGACAAGCGCGTTCTTTTTAACACGGGTGTTCTTTAGCTCACGCACAGTGACACGATCTTGCAAGGGAATCCCCCTTCCACGCGCGCTGGCCTATCCTTGTCTAGCGATAGGCGTTTTGAACCACTGAACAATAACTATTTAATAAGTACAGTGTGGCTCTTTGATGTCAAGTCTTGGGTATACCGCGACCGTAGACGTTGATTTCAGCTTTTTAACAAACCCCACGCGTGGTATGCGCGTGATCCCACGCAGACACCCACGCGAAATTGACATTGAGCTCAGCGGCTGAGTACAGGGAGATGTGCGCGTGAGCTTGTAAGATGGCGGACGGACTGAAAATCTCAGTTCAGTTTAGGTACTTTCTTTGTGTTTCTTTTTGCTGTGGGTGAAATTCACGAAAAACGTTTTGATCATTGAGATAGTGTTAACCGTATATTGTTTAATTCTTCAGCGGCGGGGCCGAACTTCTATTCAATAAAGTGAAGGAACACGACGTTGTTTTACCCAAGGATCAAGATTCATGTGAGTTACTTCTCCTTACATAGTTTCTTTAATTTCCCGTTATACTAGTTCTAAGAATTTGGCATCATATCATCACATATGCTCCAGATGATGATCGTGTTTTGTTTTTTTTTTTCATCACCCTGGCTATTTTTGTTGTTGTATAAAGGAGAAAATATATTACATTTATCAAACAAAATTTAATTTTTATAATTAATCCTTCAAGCTAGAGTTTATTTTATTCCTAGAGAAATGAAAATAATGTAGTTACAAAACATATGTTTTTTAAGCTAAATTGCTAGTTCGATACAGATCTTATTTGTTTGATGTTTATTGTGATGAATATTTTAAATTGGAATTGTTTTTCTCCTCCAGGGACTATTAGAAGATTACTAACATGGATCAAAGATAATTTATTAAAACAAAGACCAGAACTGTTTATTCAAGGGGAATCAGTGTAAGAAACATATATTTTTGTTCTTTGTAAGATTGGTTGTCTTGAAATAATTATTATGAAAGTTACCAAGAGCCATCACTAGGAAACAGATGATCATAAGATTTGAGTCAGGTGGTAAGTATACAGTGGAACTTCTAATGTCCTTATAACACACAGGCCATTATCAGCCTACCACTTCTCATTTCTTTCATACATCTTGGGACTTTGCAGACGTTAGGGTGGTTCATTATGCATGCACACAATGTGGCAACAACATCCTTTTATTTTACCCTTCTTACAAACTGAAAAACAAAGAAACCTAACCTGTGTATTACACTGTGATAAAACATGACAGGCATTTGAGAACACAGGGGAAATGTAGAAAACACAAGCTGCAGGTGAGTATTTTCCACATTTCTTGAGTGTTCTCAAATGTCTGTAGTGTTTTATCACAGTGTAATACACGGCTTAGGCTTCCCCATTTGCTTTATGATATCGATTTTACATGCTTTGAGTGGAAACAGCAAAGCACACAGATCGACAAACTGACACAATTAAATACCACAAAAGTGCTACATGCAAACATCAGCAAATGTCTGATCACAAATTTCTTCAAAGAAAATGTTTTTCACTCTCTCTAACACAAATGTTGACTAGAGTTAATGTGGCCAAAAACAATAAAACACACTTTTTCTGTTTTATACCAATAAAACATGGCTTTTTGACCAATCATAGCGTGTGCAGGGTCCTATCTAAATTAAATAAGGGTACTGGCAACCTGAAATAACCAGACTGCCAGCAACTTGCATAAGAAGGCAGAAAAATTTGATTGTCTTAATTTAAAGCTGAAGAAAATTAAATTAATAATCATGGTGGTCAATATTTTGGGCCTTGAATCTGAGTTGATTATTTTCAGCTACCATTTGCCATGCATTGTTGTGATAATGAGTTTTACTTCCTATTAGACGGCCTGGAATATTGGTGTTAATAAATGAAGCTGACTGGGAGCTGATGGTATGGACATGATTTAATAACCTTTTAGTTCTAAGTTTGATGTACTTGATTCTCACTGTGATTGTCTTGAATTGTGTTGAGAGGTGCAGGGGTCTCATGGTTAGTGCGCTTGTCTTCAGATCGAGCAATCCTCGTTTGAACATTCCAGGTTCGAGACCTGCCCAGGGTCAATGTCAATCCTAGCGCACGTGGCGGTTAGACCATGCCTTGCGTGATGTACAGAACATGTGTGCACTAACAAAAGTAGGCACCGTCCTTAATTTGAATAGCTGTTATAGCAGTTATCAGCAGCTTGACACACAAATGAGGTGAAAGGGTCCATTGTATTGACCCTTTCGCCTCGTTTGCATGCCTTTCAAAACAAAAGAATATTTGACCACAGACTCAACTGCAATCAGCTATTGTGTTTGTCTTACAGGGTGAATTGGATTATGAGCTACAAGAAAATGACAGCATCGTGTTTATATCAACTCTTCATGGTGGATAGCATTTATGCAAAGAGGACCTGGAGTTGGAGAAGCATGCTACTTCTTAGAAAGAATGTCACATTTTTTAATTGTGCTAAGCAGTGTTAGACTGGGTAACAAGAACAGTGCTGACTTTTTGGGTTCCTTGTTCACACCCTAACGCAAGAAGCGCTGAAAGATCAGTAGAGGATTTGTAAAACAAACACAGCAACACAAGTTTAACTGCTGAATGCAAATCATCTTTGAAAGCATTCCAAGGAAACGTAAGCAATAAGTTATTTGCCCATGGATTCCACCATGAAAATGATCATTTATCAGACACTGTTTACTTTCCTGAGTCATTGTCATCAAACATGAGATAATGTTTACACCTATGAACAACACAATTGTCTTAAGTATTGAAGCCTGCGAATGCAGGCTTATTTCCGGCTGTGGCTTGTCTCCACCGTTATTTATGGCGGAGACAAGTGACAGCCACAAAGATGTCTGCATTTGCAGGCTATTAGTATTGTAACCCAAAAAGATAGTTTTTCTACCAATGTCTTGAAAATAGAAAAAGTATAGAATCTGTTATAGTTTTCTGAAACATATACATTTCTAGGTATGGGTCAGACTGCAAACTTTAAATCTTCTGTTAGGTGCAGTCTTCAAGGGTTACACAAAATTTTGTAAGCTAAATAAAAAAAAAATAACTAGTTATTTTCAGGAGTCATTAGCCTGAATTTCAACCATCTTCCAAGAAAATAGCTACTTGAGAAGACAGGTGGCTCTGACTTCCATAAGTGGCCAATTTTTGTCAATTTGCAACTTAACCAACACCTGGCATTTAAAATTAAGTGTAAATTTGAAAATTTTGATCAAGATGTCTAATGGAAACAATAAAACTAGAACAAACAACTGCAGGAAACATAGGAATAAATGTATGTCTAATGGAAGCAATAAAAGTGGAAGAAATAAATGCAGGAAATGCAGGAATAAACAACATGGAATCTGAGATTGTTCTTCCTTTCATTTTAACCATAACACTCAAAGGTGTTATAGTCTAGATGTACTACCTATTTATTCCAAATAGACATTGTTCAAGTATGCAACACAATATTATTTTGTCCATTGCAATGTTCACTATCGAATGGGAGGCACATTGGCCTAATGGTCGAACTGGACCTGGGATTGGTTGGTCTGTGGTCAAACTCTGGCTGAGGTCTTCATTAAAGTATTTTAGCAGCATAATGACTCTATCTCATTGCTGGCGGGTAATCCTGCGACAGACTTGCATCTCATTTAAGGAAAATACTAGAAAAGTAAGCTGCAGCAGTGTTGAACACTTTGCAAAACATAGACATTACCATGATCACCTCAGTCTCTGGATATTTCTAGGCAAATTTGAGGCAGCATAGTTTTCAAGTGCAAGAAAGGGCCTTTATTTCCCAAATTTACGAGTGAGTGTTTCAAGATAAATATGTAGAATGCAGAATCTCTCTACTGACTTCTCTGTACCCTGCGAGACAGAGATTCTCTTCTGTTTCTGCTCGGTGAGACATGGGAGGTAACCTCTGCTTGTAACTGCTTGATTGCTTAATCAGCCACCGTCCACAGTCGGGAACTTTTTGACAAGTTTTAACCAGTTTAAAACTTATGCATGAGAAATAAGATACAAATGGCCTGCAAGCATGCTCTCATCATTGACAGCAATAAGCAAAGCCATCAGCAAGCAAAGTGAGCTGGTAAGAAAGTTGGCAAGCGTTGGCGAGCGAAGTGAGCCGATGAGGGCAAGTGTACAACTCGGTGAGCGGATTGTCTGCTAACAATATCCACTGCCCTGTAATTGGTAGCTTGAAATGTTAGTTATCTCCAGCCCTCAGCTAAGGGCAGCAGATGACTGACAGCCCTGCAGGTTACATCAACTCCCTCCAATGTAGAAACCTTCCTTAGAAAGACACTTCACATTTGGTGTATTTCCTGGCAACCTGGCAACATCTACCTTGAAGAGTTGATTGTATGTGGTGTAATGGAGACAGGGTGGTAGCCAGACCAAATTCTTACCAGGGCAATACAGAGAAAGCATGCTTTTTTTGTGTTTACATGATGCCTCTAAAAAAATGTGAAATAAACAAATAAATTCAAAATAGTTACCACAGCAAGTGCCTGACTGTTGCTAGCCACAGCCCCAAAAGGAAGGAAGGAAAATGACTCGGTACCACTGAGAAATAAATTCGCAGAGAAACGTTTATCTACACAAGGTATTTATTGACAGACATTTTTGAGTTACTCTTTTACAGCATATTTCCTCAATGAGAAGTGTGTGAGCTTCTTCTGCTGCTTCTTGGTCTTAAGGGAAGCCTCATGCTTGGTGAGGGCACGTCTCATGGCTCGGGTCTTCTTTGGCCTAAGGTCAAGGGGTTTAAATTTCTTTGTCTTGTAGAACTTGCGCAGGTTCTCACGCTGGGTCTGGCTAATAACAGTCAAAACTCGGGCAATGGACTTTCGCACAAGTTTGCTGCAAAAGAAGAAAAATCACTTGTTAGGATTGATAAATTAGCCCAATGCAGTACTTTCTGTGGGACATGTTTACATCTGCTTTCAGTGTTAAGTGCATAGCAACTATCTTTCAACATGCCATCTCTCAACATGCTATGAAACCTGCCAGTTTCACAGTTAAATGGTCTTTCAGCCACTTACATAGCATGTCGAAAGATGTCACCCATGCACGTAACACTGAAAGTGGCTGTAAAACACAAAACGGAAAATGATGAAAATGAAACTACAAGTAAAAGTCACTGTGGGATATGGGTGTCTGCCAACTGTAGTGTCAATAGACCATTTTACAGTTGTCTGCTCGGTGACCTGGCCTTTGAATGAAATTAAACAGGTAAGTGACATGAAAGGAAACAAGCATGCCAAATTACTATGTCAAGATATCTTAAGGACATTCGTGCGAAAATTTTCCATTTTTTTAAAATTTTTACTGCAGTCAGGTAATGAGTTACTTATATCAGAAATGCAAAAAAAATCGGTGGTCACCGACTTTGTTTCAGAGATAAAGTGTGTGGAAAACTTCCCTGATTTTGAAAATTGCGCATGTAATTCAGCATGGTCTGCAGGGGTTTATAGTTAAAAATATATTGAAGGTGAGGGAACGGAGGCAAACAATCTTAGTCATATTTAGTAGAAGTGGGTCTGTTGCGTAAATAATTCCAAATGTTGCCAATGTTTTAACAAAACTGAACCCTTCAAAAGGCATTTGAAACCACCACACAGATAAACAAAGAGCTAACCAGAACAGAATTCAATGGTGCATTTTGCAAAAAATTCAAACTTCTAATTGATAGATTTTCTTAATTTTTTCACTAAATGTAGAAACTTGGTAGAGAAAATGATCCATCAAAAGAAAAATAGGGGTCACTGAACGTCCAAGGTTGTTAAATCCAGGTAAAGTAGTAGCAATAGCCATCTGCTCTATCATTGCTTATCGTTGCACGCTTATGCATAATGTGGCGTGTGAATTTGTGTGTGCAGTAAGGATGCGCAAAAACAATTCGTGTGAGCGCCCTTGAGTAATTCTTTATGGACAAAACTGTCTTTGAATAGTTATACTATTCACGTTTTCAAATTACCGGCATTCGCTTTCCTACCCACGCACTTCCACACCAGTTATCATTTTTTTGTTGTTGTAGCCTGTGCATTTATAATTTCACTGTAGGTGATGTATTTGTAATCATCTTGTACAGCCCCCCACTCCCACGGGCCTCTGTAGGATTTCAATAAGCTGCCTGATCTGAAACACATGGTTCAAGAGTGAGTTTCTGTCTTTCATTGTATAAAAGATCCTAAAGACAGTATGTGCACCACAACCAAGTTCGAGAGCTCTCAAGTTGATTTGTTGGCAAAGAGTGAGATCTGCTAGGGGGATCTGGGGACATGCTACCCTAGTAAATTTTGAAAAATGGAAGTAGTTAAGACGTGTCTTCCTTCATTCTGAGCAGAAATGTGATGCTTTAAAAGCAACTGTTTACATCTCAGAATTTTCTTTTTATTGGACCAATATCAACTCTTTCTTAACATTCTGACTTACATGTGTCTAGAAGTAAAAATAACATGTTATAATGCTTGTTCTACATGCTGTCAGTCTGATCACTGACCGAACAAGGATGAAATTATGTCATAAAAGATAGTTTATTATGAAGGAACTTCACTAAGGCAGCAAGGAATCTTAAATACGTGAGAAATAATAGTTTCAGCGTGAGAGCATAAGATTGAATTTGTTTGTGCGAGTCTCACGCTCAATGCGTGAGACTTGAGAGCTCTAAAGTTCCCATTCCCCCTTCCACAGTCCCAGCGTACCTGGGAAATTGAGGACTGCAATCAAACAGTAGCAGTTTACATCACAAGAGAGTTTTGAGGTTTAGAGTAACATGTTAATTTCTACTTACATTTTAGAGAGTTTAGAAGCAGCACCACCAGTCACCTTAGCAACTTCCAACTGAGACAACTCATTCTTGAGTTCATCCAGCTGCTTCAGAAGTTCTTCCTTCTTCTTCCCACGAAGCTCGTGAGCTTTTACCTTCACCTACAATGCCATTAATCAAATTGATACCATGAATAAAACCCTATGACCTAGCCAACTCTTTTCTTCATCAGTAAAGTTTGAATGTTGTGTACATAACCTCTACACAAATATTCCTCGTTCTTACAAGAGTACCGTTGCCCACATATAAGATTGTCTTAAAGTGGCTATGTTTTAAAACTGAAGAAGATTGGGTTTGAATGACAAAGGTGAAGAGCAAAGTTTACACTGGCCGAAACTTTATAGCTCTTTCCTGGTCTACATAAGCTCAACTACCCAATGTTTATCAATATGCGATGTTTGCACCACATGAGAAATAACACAGATGCTTTTATTGCAATTATTCGTAATATTATCCAGAGCAACTTTAGCGATATCTTAAAATACAGCAGCTGATTTCTACAATCAGCGAGTAAGACAAGAAATTCACGAGTGTTATTTTCGTTCGATTTCTTTTTCAGCTATAGAAGAATTTTTAGCGAGATAGAGAAACCAGGAAAAAGAAGGATGTTCGGTAGTTTCTACGAGAAAAGAAATGGCTATATAAAGACATACAAAGATGCGATGGAAAGGGATTTCTACAGCATATGCATTCTCGAAAACCCACCATTTTGATGTTGGCTTAGAGAGAAAGGTACAAGGAAGCTCGCATGGACTTATGGGTGATAACACCGCCTTAGGTTTGGGTTAAGATCGCGGGCTCAGTGCTTCGCTGGCGCAACCTCGTCCCCAGGGCCTTCTCCTCGACGATTTTCATGTTGATAAGTGGAGAAGGCCCTGGGGACGAGGTTGAGAACTTTTGCATTTTGCATGGTAAATTGCATATTCCCTACGGGCGGGAAAATCATCGCCAAAGAACAGTGACTGTTGATTTCCGCAATTATGAGCAGTAGAAGTGAAATAAATTTTCAAGTATGAAATCATAAACACAAAGTTAGGTATAGACAAAGTCCTAGCTCAAATTCCCTCTAGTTGAGGTAGTAAAGGAAATGTTAAGGATTACGTATTGTCTGGCTCAAGCATTCAATAAATGCAGAGTTATTCAAAACGTTTTTTCTCCCCGAGGTTACTTGCAGCAAAATTTGCGACGGTCCGGGTCAGATATCAGATCGAATAGCGCATGACGTAACACAGTCCCATTGTTGAGACATATAATTGAGTGGAAGAGCTCCACAGTTTGCAGGCTGCACCAAGGTATTGATGAGTTCAGGAAAAGGCAGGTTCAAACTTTATCTTACGTCAATCGTACTTTTTTCCATCACTGTGCGTTCTCATCTCATGGCAGATGTTACAGGACTAACTAAGTGAGTATTTGTGAGACATCAGACTGGTTGATCGCGCGCGCTCGCGCTAGGCTAAGGATGAGACTACGCCAATCTATGTTTAGGTTTTCTTTGAAAAGAAACCAAGTTCGAGCGTATGTAAAACAATACATGACTGCATTGTAACATTATCTCTTTTAGATTATTCTCACAATGATTGAAAGCGATCTTCTTTTTCCGTGGCTGAATCCAAACCTTCACGCCATGAGAGATCAGTTGAAAGACTTAAACAACTGCCAAGCTATGAGTAAAGCCAGGAAACTCAAGCAAATGATTCAAAGACACCCGGTGGCTTCAGTCTTCCTCGGGACGTTCATCATTACTGGTTTTCTCCCCTTCTTTTTATTCCTAGCCTTCGTGGCCGGGTCTTCTGTATTCGTCCTGTTCTCTCTCCTTCTCTTTCAGGGTGGTGTTCTTGCATTGGGAATGCTATGTCTCTTAGGGATGTTTGTGCCGATCGTGTTATTTGGAACCAAAGTAACCGCCTTTGTGTTTATCATCTACCTCATCATTACAACGGTTCTCCGCGTGGCCCATGTCCTGACAGACATCATTGTGTGGTTGCCATCCACAATTCTGAAGAAGGCCAGCCAAAAATGTCACGATTTACTTCCGTGTCTTGGCGAAGGAGTTAGAGTGGAATTCTATCGCCGTCGTAGTTCATTTTTTGGATTATGATTTATATCAGGAAAAGCGGTGGACACAAATGGAAAGAATACGAAAGACTGTGCAAGAATGTACTGCAAACTTACGGGGAATTTCAGGGACAAATTGAAAGCTGTAAACTCCAGGACTTATTAAACTCAACTGTAATAGGTATAATATGTAGTACGCCAATAATTTGTGAAGCAGCAGACTGCATTTTGTTGCAAACAAGTGACTGATCTGAAACACTATAATTTTTGCTCTCAGTCAGGACAACTCGGATTAATATTAATCGAATTAATATTAATCCTAATGATTATTATAATCCAGTAATAGATTATTATAATCCTTTACTGAGGTTTGAGCTATGCCTTAATCAATAAGGATCAATATTAATCTTAGATTAATATTAATCTGATTAATATTAATCTGATTAATATTAGTCCTTCATAGGATTCCTATTAATCCTATGTAGCATTAATATTATTCCTACCTATGATTAATCATTGTCCAAAATTTCCGAAGATTGACATTTTTTAACGATCTTAGGCATGAACGTTAAACACCACACGTACTCTGGGAGCTCTTCCTGGTCGACCCGAATCTCCCCTACTCTACTTTGCATCTTCAAACGCTAAGCTAGGAATAAATACAAAGCTATGATCTATGATGTCCCACCATGATTAATTGTTTGAAACAGCTGAAATAGTTTTTTCGTGAACTTTACATCATATACAATATGCTTACCATGTCAGTTCCCAGATAATGTTTTCATCCACAAAAGGCGCCAAGAGAAGGGAGAAATTCAGGTTCATAGTTGCCATCGTGATTTGACGGCTCCGAACCTCGAAACAGTTAATGTCTTTGGGATTGCCGCAATTCCTACGCAGCTGGTAGTTATCGCCTTTCTCAAGGTCCCCTTTTTTGTAAAAGCACATGCCCACGGCACGGATTTGCTGGCCCAGAGGCGCTTGTTCCTTTTCATTTACTTCTAGGGTCAACATCGTGGTACCTACCAGCTCCAGCACATGCAAGTGATCGTCATGTGACTGATATGATCAGTTTTATGTCCCGTCAGTCCCGTGTTATGTCTGCAGTGTGTCTGTCATATGGATCTGTTATATATATCCGAACATTCACGGAAATTTTATCTGGATTATAATAGAGATTAATGTTAACCCGGATAATATTATTAATAATAATCTATCCTTCCAATTTTTTGTCGTGCCTTAATCTATTACTGAATTATAATAATCTATCACTGGATTATAATAATCTATTGCTGGATTATAATAATTTATTACTTAGCTCTTATTAATCGAGCAGGAGGTCTGTATGGGAGAATCTTGACCGAGGTCGTGGGTACAGACCGAACGCAGTGAGGTCTGTACACACGACCGAGGTCAAGATTCTCCCATACAGACCGACTAAGCTCGGTTAATAAGATGTTTATTATATGGCAAACAAGAACAATTTAATTCGTTTAATGTAACTGGTTTGTACTAACTGAAATTTTGCTCACGAACGGCGGTGAAGAGAACTTAATTCTGCCAAAGTTTGCTCTTTACTTTTTTCTCATTAGGCTTTTTGGCACTTCCATAAATAAACATTGTTAGAAGAAAATAGTCAATATTTTTGCATTTTAGTTTGCAACTTTTTCACCGCAAAATGTAACCGGTCTAGATGCCGGTCTCGTTGGGAAAATCTAGGCCGCTCTCAATATCGATTTCAGCCAATCAAATTCGTGAATTCACTAGTTCCCAGTCCTTGTGAGACAGCCATATAATAATGGATTATAATAGCCCTATTGCAATCTATTATTATTATAATCCACGGATTAATATTAATCCGAGTTGTCCTGTTCAGTGGAAGGAACGCAGTTACCTTGGTAACAGAGGTTTAAAAAATGACTTTCGGTCAGTCAGAAGGTGTGGCTTAAAACAGAGAAAATTTTAAGAAGTCCCACCTCCGGTCCCCTGCTTAATCTTACACCGGACCATTGTCGTAGTCAGGCTACGACGCTCATGAGGCTAACACGAGGATGGACTTAAGCTCATCGAAAAGTAAAAAATTACCGTCCAATGATAGAAATGTGCCCAAGGCAATAAAATCTAAATTCTCTCCACACTCGCCCTGAGCATGAGTCAAAGAAATTCCCAGAGGATTGATTAGGTTGCCGGGTGTGGTCGAACGTCAGTATGCTCGCGCGCGCATTGAAACAATTGTTACCTCATTTGTTCGTGACATTCTTCTATCACAAATGAGACAACTCACGAAACTGACTGATCAGTGCGATGTTAACACTTTCAGTATGGTGAAATCATTTGGAGTTTGTTTCTGAAGTTGACCAAACATCCACGGGTAAGGCCCAGACCACTAGAATACCCTTTACATGCTGCACCAAATCGATTGAAGAGAAAAGAAGTATTGGTCGGCCAGTATCTCAACTAGCGGAGCTAGTCGTCTTCATGGCAGGGGATTGCTTATTAACAAAATAACTTAGGCAAGTGCTAGCGAGCGAGCAGGCTCTTTCTTTCAAGTGCTTAAAGCTCCGTCTTTTACTTCAACAGGTAATCTTTACCATGGGCGACCTTGATTTTTCGTTTTCACGGTTGGATGTGTTTATCCACCTTTTGGAGGAGACAGTGGAAAACACCAAAGATTATGTTCTGTTCGTGCCCAGGAAAATCCTGCAAACTGCTCAAAACCATCCCGTCATCACGTTAGCGCTGAGTGTTACTGTAATTGTTGGGTTTCTCCCGGTCTTTCTGTTTGCATCTTTCACTATGGGATCCATGGGTATCGTTCTGTTCCACGTGCTGGCAGTTCAAGGTGTAGCAGGGTTGATAGTGTTCTTGGGTCTGTTAGGTGTCTTCTTGTTGGTTATACCGATCTCAGGCGTAGTTGTTACTTCATTGTATCTTGTGTATAGCTTCTGGATGTCTGTCCATCACTCTTACAGCTATGTGGCTAGCGTGATGGCTTCGCTTAGTCGTTCATTCATCAGTTCAGTCTTCAGCACATTGAAGATCAGTCACTTGCAAAGGAGATTACAAGAACTTGTTTAAAAATACGCGAAAAATTTGTAATGATTTCAACGCTTTCGTGAAGTTTCTCTTTGCCTAACAGTGAGTGAAGCAAATACAATTTCCTCATATGTGGATCTGGTTTTATTGCATGATAGAATGATAGCGGTGTGCTTTGGGAGTTCTCTCTTGTTTCGTTGCCACATAAAGGAGGAGATTTAAGCAAGTTTCATTAGCAATGTCACCGGTGAAGCTAGTTATAGTTGGCTCAGTTGCAGGCGACTATTAAACAAGACACGCACGTGTAACTTCGCATCCTCCGTGTTTTATGTACAGTTTTATACCATGCCATAGAAAACACAGCCAATCACAATACAGGAATCCGTTGTATATTCGACGGAATTTCATCCAACCTTCCCACCATACGCCGCGCGTATGTCGCATTGATTGTATTGTAATTTGTATCTTCTATGGCGTGGTATAAAATAGTAATACAACGCTCTCTCGTGGGATACCGTGGAACATCCCACTTGTCACTTGTATTTTCTTGGTATACAGACTCACCAAAAAGCTTGTGTGTAAACCTAGAAAATACAAGTGACTCGTGGGATATTCTATGTTGTCCTACGAGAGGGCGCTGCATAACTAGTGTATTCTGTATTTTAAAAACCGATGCACGGTTTTTACGTGTTAATGCAGCCGATCAGTCAAAATTTCTTTCCCTCTTTGCGAGTCTTTACTCAAACCACAAACAACCTTGTTTTGTTAGACCTGTTTGATTTCCAGCATCATACTAAGCCAGAATTCGAAAATCAAAAGCGAAGTCCGAATTCCACCCCCTTCATCTACTTGCATTCCGCGAGATCCTGCTTTGATAAACCGATTACTTCACCTAACTTGAGATCTACCTTATATAAAGAACATGATTTTCTCCATTATTTTGTAGTGGAGTACCTTAAAAGGTGATCCATTCATTTCGGTAAATAGGGTTTCTTTTGGGTTTCAAACCGCAAAGACAGAGAACGTGGGGCGTGTTTAAAAACACGGAATGGTAAAATGGCACTACGGGTTAGGCTCAGTGAGGGCTACTGGTGTGTGACGGTTAACCGTTACAATTCTCGAGAGCTAACCACTGTCGAGTCAATGATATTTAGGCTAACCGGAGCACCACTTGGGCCAGCCGCGGTGCCATTTGGTGTTTTGAACAGGCCCGAGAACGTGTTGGGGGTTGCTGGTCAGTCGAACAACAAGGAAACGGGCTCGATTCGCCCCCTAAAAGTAAGTCAGTTAATTTGAATGAAAAGGGAAAATCATACACACAAGCGTTTCAACGCAACTGTTTTACCATACTTTAATAAATATCATTTTCTCAATAAAATCTTTATTCACAAAACCAAACGACGACAACTGGATCAACACCACCAAATCAAGACAAAAGGTCAATCAATAACAACTGAATCAACGGCTGATCTCTTGGACTGTGGGGGTAAAGGAGGGGAAACCGCATCACGACTTCGTTTCTCCAGTATGAGCCTCTGTGTTTCCCGTTCGTCCTCAGCAACTGCGTTTTTCGAGTGGATCTCGTTCAACATATGCTGGGGAACCAAAACAGGGGTGTGCCCGTCGGAACTTCCCCCTGTGGAAGCTATCAGACGCTTAGCATCCTCTATTGTGGGAACGAGTACAACAAGTCCTTGAGGTATGTTCTGCTGTTCGCTACCACGAGACGACCGTCGCGAGAGAATGATCGGTTTTTTCGTCGGGGAAGTGATTTTTTGCGGATTTCCTGAACTTTCGACGTTATTAGGTAAAGAGATAACGGTCATGGGCGGAGCCTGGGAGCCAGTCACGTGAGTAGAAGTTGACAAACTTACGACTGTTGCCAAGGAGACAGGTTCAACCGCACTGTTGTTTAATGTGGTGACAATTGGTTCAGTTTTACCGCAGGTGGAACTGTGCGCTGTGAAGGGCATGCCGATATCAGAGTTTAAGGGACTTGTCCCAATAAATTTTCTCTTTGGACTAAGGGGCGAAGAGAAACCGTTATTGTCCACTGGAATGTCTGTCCGTTGGTTTTGTTCGGGTATAGATGAAAGCGACATATGAGCACGAGAATCACCGACATGGCCGCTAGGCTGTGATTTGTCGTCAAATAAACGTCTCTTATAGGAGCTACCTCGAGAACTCTCTTGCGATTCAACTGACATATTTGGCCGGGCCACAGAAGAGACTGGTACAGAGCCCGTTGTCTCTTCCCGCGAACATGATGACGACACGGCCCTGTCAGCCAATAGAATTCCAGAAGAAGCTTTCACCTCCTCTTTTCCGTCCTCCTCCTTTCCATGGCGATCAGAGGCTGATGTAGGAGGGCTGTCATACGAGAACGAGCTTGATGGTACAACAAGGAACTCAGGTTCAAGAGACGAGGCCAGCACCGGAGCAGGCACTCGCATCAACTCCGAGTGCTCCCTGATTACAGTTTTCACTAGGAAAAGAAAATGCAAAGTTCATCATCTTGCCAGGTTTGCTTGTTTGATAGCAGGGTTTATACTTAATGTGAACCAACGTCCTTGTTATACTCGTTTAAAATGAGGGAAAATCATTTTGGGTTTTGCTAAAATATGGATTGAAAAAATCAACCATTTTGGATTTTCAATTTCTCAAACAATGCGTTTTTGATTTCAAAATGTCACATAGAAGCAATAATTCCACCAAATAAACTAGGACGGCAGGCCAACATCATAGGTCCGCAAAGCGTGAAAAAGGCTAATGCCACATAGCTCTCTGCATGAATTGTGAGTAAATGATCCTTGCAAATAATAGTTGGCTTCCATAATTTATGACATGAATAACAGCAGATCTCACCTGGGGAGTTCTTGTCTTGAGTTGCTGTTGTTAATGATTCCGAGGATACTACCTTTGCAGGACTCATGGTCTGCTTGCGATTCCGTCGTGAAATCTTGTGCAGTGAGACGGAGGCACTTCCATAGGGGTTGTTACGGTGATTACCTATTGTCGCATAATCAACACGGACACCATGTGAGATTGAAGAAAGGGAAGCTGAAGGAGACCTATGAGTACTGCCATCGTCATCATCAACTGTTTGCAAGACATCAATGACCTGAAGCAGCTGATGCGCCATTGGTGAAGTTGATGAGGACTCTTTTTTCACAGACCTTCTCTCATCGCTTGAGCTGTCTTTGCTATGTTCGTGACTTGGTACACCTTTGCTGGAAGCACCAGAGTGCGGCACACTTGTTTGGGCATTTGCCGCTTCAGTCACTACCACACTGATGGCTTGACGAGGAGGTGGTGGCATTTCTGGGCTTACTTGTACAATGGCTGTTCCTGCAGGAGCATGGCAGGGAGAATGAAGGGACTGAGGAACATGATGGACATTTGCATGAGAAAGACAAGCTGGACAATGACAATGCACAGGGACTTGATGCACCACACAAGGCACTTGACCATGTTCATTTGTAGTTGCACAGTCTGATGCAATTGCAACTTGATTCCCTAATGAGATGCTTGACTTGCTCAATGTGTAGACCTTGGGTCCTTCACTATCGTGGACAATCACCTTCTGTTCATCTGATGATCCAGCTGGTGCAGGACCCCATGAAGACTGGGGCCTGCTTGATGCTGATGAAGCCACAGTACTGTGTGGCTGTGGAATTGCTAGTCCAGCTACACTGCCTTCAGTCAAACTGCTAACAGTTCTTTGCGCCAAGTCAACTTGATCCTGAAGAATGTTCAAAGTGTCTGAAGCATGTTTCATCTGGTTCCGGAGAAGACTCAAACACTGGTTTGCAAAGGAGACCTGATTCTTGAGGACACTGATACTTTCTTTAGCATCCTGAACTTGACGCAGCAGAGTTCCTTCTGGTGCTTTAGGTTCCTTTGTAATGCTGCTGGACTCTCCTTGTGTATCAGCTGATGTGGAGTAAGTATACTCTGTCACTTTGCCTGGCTCCATCACACTTTCAAGTTAGCTTTATAACTGAAAAGAAAAAAAAAATTGTATTGTGACCAAAAAATTACTCACTGAATAACTTGCTCACTTACCTTCCACTATGGAGAGAGAAGGGGGAGGGGGGATGGGGAAAGGAGGCATGCTTCTCAGGATTACAAATAGGCTTGATTACCAGCAGCTGTTCAGAAAGGGAGCCTGCGCGCCTCCCCCACACTCGTGGCTGGATGCGTGGACTTGGCATTGTTAATTTTGACCGATAAGAAATCTGCCTGCCCGAGCCGAGCAGGCTGTATAAATTAACTTTCTTGCAGTAGCAAAGTTGTGTGATATAAAGTGTGATTGCGTTAGCAGGACATATAACCAAATACTGTCCTCTGATGAAATCTCGCTTAATCTAAGCCATTGCAGCATAAACAACAAGAGAAATAGTCACCAGACTAATGCGTGAGAATCTATAGTTGAACCATGTGGTGCCAGAATGTCAGATAATGAACAAAGTCAACAGAGAGAGGGATAAACCTAACCCGGGACCTAAACAGCGAGCTCAAGAGACAAAACACTTAGTCAAATTGATGTATAGTCTTCTTGGAGGAAAGCAACACCAGGCTCTGGTGAAGCCAGACAAAATTAAATTTTTAAATTGGCCAAAGCAAACCAAAGTAGTGCAACATATACATGGTAAATTAAAGGGTGTCAACTTAACAGCAGAAACCATGCAGACCAACATGTGTGACATTTGACATGACATTTGCTACACCACAGTCAAACGGCTCTGCTCTTCTTAAAACTCTTCCATAGAACACAGCATATAGTGCCCTTCTGCAACAATAACGAGAAACACAATATGTTGGAGGGCCAAAATCAAAAGAAGGGATGGCGAAAATGGCACATATACAAATGTTACGAGCCGTATGTGACCCTATGTATGATCGCTATCAGATGACATTTCCAGTGACCAGAAGCGCCAAATGAATTAAATCATAAATTAACATCATGGACATGCTTTGCTGCTCACACGTCCAGCTGTCTCCTGTTGGGGAGGAGTGTGGACCAGACTCCAGAGAGTGGCTGAAATCGAGCCTAGATTTCAAACCTTAAACTACTTTTAGCCACATTACAGTTTACCAAATAAAACAAATTTAGTAGTGATGTCCTATACCAAGGAGTGGGGAGCTTTGTATTCAAATGACTGAGGTGCTTGTCATACCTTTTAGGGGATAAAGTTGATTGGTACCACTTACAGTGATAAGTTTTAAAAAATGATCAACGAAAGAGATATTTGCAGTATCTCTTAGGGTATATTGAGCCAAAAAAATGACAAGAACTTGTGTTAATCGAAAAAAAAAAAGAAAAAAAAAAGAAAAAGAAAAAGAAAAAAACAGATTTGGTTCTGCTCAGGGGTGAAAAGGATTTTGGTTTTGACTCATCATTGGCTGATTTCAAAGGCCATTTATACTCATTGTTTTTCTTTCTGTGTCTTTTTTTTCTGAAACCAAGTACTTTCACTAACTTCAAGCAGTTGTTCCTTTTTTTCTGTCAGATTTATGATTACCTCAGTTTACCTGTAACTAACTACACTCAAGTCACTCCTCTGTAAAATCATTTTTAACAAAGTCCCTCTGCAAGGGAAATGCTAAAAAACTCTGGTAATAAGCCCCGGGCTTATACAGTGATAAACAAAGGAGGGGTGGGCAGAGGGTGCTCATATTTGCTTAAAAGCAGAATAAAAAATTTTTTAAAAAGCTGATGAAACCTGCATCCCACAGTCTAAAAAGATGTTTTATGTTCTTTGGAACAAGAAACACAAGGCACTAGGTAAGAAAACAAGTATGTGAAGCATAGAGCTTCCTCGTAACGGCAAATACCGGCTGATGAGGCACTCAAAGTACAGGTGAGCTTATATCTGTGGAGGCTTGTAACCAGAACAGTTTTTAGTATATATAGGTGGATCTATAAATAAGGGTGCTAACAAATGGGGTGAAGTGGGTTTAACCCGAATGTCAAACTATCATTGATTGAGTAGGCCTGAAATGATAGTGGTTTTAGAAGGTTTTAGCCTGGTACATATTTAAATTTGGCACAAGTCACACCCATGACTGAACTTAGGCCAAGCCTACGAAGATCTGTGTGAACATACAAACCATTCCATTAGACAACTGAATCTCTCACACATTAATTAATAAACTTCCCCCTGCACCTCCCCCCCCCCCCCCCACAAAAAAAAAACAACCAAACAAACAAGAAAAAAAAAAGAGGAAATAGAACCTAAGGCCATCAAAGAAGGCTTGTAGAATGAACATAAGCCTAAGACGTCAAATTAAATTTTACAGTGCTATGTTTTTTCCCTTTTATATTCCTCTCTCCAAGTCAATGAGCTATAAATTCAAGGCAAAAAAACATTTAAATTTTACCATTTAACTATTAAATAAGATCAGAGATATAAATTTAGAGATAAACACAATTTGATTTGTCTCCCTCAAGCTCATGTTATTCTGTTAACTACGTACATAGGAATGATAAATGGCACCTTAAATTAAAATAACGAACATGGGCATGGACCACCACCAGTATGACATACAGCTGAGTACTATTAGTTGCGATGGGTTATATTTATGGAAGGTATTTCAAAGAATTCAGAATAATGAATAATGACATTTCTCCATGAAGGAAAATTAAATAATCAACAACTTTGTCATTCCAATTATTTTGAACCTCTCCTGTCAATTAAGCGTCAACAATTCCCTGTCAATCAAAGAGCTTCCCACAACCAGGGTATATGTGGCTTCTTGGTTGTTTTTGATAATGTTAAATGGTGGCTTTGGAACCAAAATGGTGATGAAAACAGTTGACAGATCTCCAGTTCGATAGAGTCTGGGAATAAAATATTAAACAATATAGAATTCGAAACGTGAAATAAACAAGTAAAATTATGTGTAAATTGAACAAATTTAATTGAACTCAAAGATTTAAAGAGGGATTTTTAATTTTACTCGTTCGTACGAATATGGTTTCAAAGCACAACTTGTAAGAAACATCTTTTTAGGCCAAAAATTAAGCCTATTTTATATTCTACGAAAGTAACACTGCATGTTGTCACTACAAGCAAAATTGCACCGTTCTACGTACAAAAAAATCTACAATTATAACATAACATTGATCAGATTTACTCAGTCACTTGACTCTTTCAAACATCGTCAGAAAAAAGAGCTTAAGCTTAGTCACGCGGCCGAAAACAAAACGTATCAGACGTCATAATTTGTAAAAACAGAACATTCTAAGAAGCAGTACAGTACATTATACCGGAGCATTGTTTTAAGCTCATATTTTATGGTGCTTCCTTCGATATTTTCACACCTGTTGAGTACTTCATTCGAGATTTACTCGCATCGCAAAAGCGCTACTTTCTGTCTGTACATTCGAACTCGATCGGACACGCCATCAAAATTCATGCGATTGTGCACGGAGGAAAAACTACAATAATGATATTAAATTTCCCGGGAGTACCTCAACCGTTCAATCGCGCGATGAAAGGCAATTTTGGGTTCGGAAGCGTTCGACCGATAAGTGTTCTTTTAGAAAAGCAACGCGAATCAACGTAACAAAGAATATTCAATAGGACTGAATTCACCAGACATGCAAAGTGACAAACACGCCGTCTGTAGCTTGCTTATACTCATATCGGAAATTATAACTACCTTTCACGCGATCCTCTTCCTTCCGTACCTTCAAATTTGATTCCCTTTCGCGCCCGTCGACACAAGCTCTCACAAAAGACATCTACACCAAAGAAACGTCCACAAGGAAACTAAATTTTCGCGTTCAGATACGAAATCTTCGTTTGAAAATCGCCTTCTATGGGTCTTCGTTACACTGAAGGCAATTAGAATATAAAGGGCATATTAGCCGCGGATTTCATTTTGCAATTAGGTGCTATTGTTTGACGGACCAATCAGAAAGCGGAGCTGGACAAGCGGCAGTGTCGTATATTTCTTGGGCACACCGCTCTTTGATTTGAACCAATGATGAACAGGAGTTGTACAATGAATGCCAATCAAGTCGTTTTAATCACGGTCAGATAATGAGTTCGCTAGCCAATGGTACCCCTCTGAACTCATTAGCTTACCGAGGTATCGGCGTTGATTTCTCAAACATTGAATATGTATTCAGTTGAAGTTACAACTTTTGATATGAAACTAGGAAGAAAAGATAAATATGATATCGAAGGCTTCTTGCAAGATAGTGAAAGAATACAAGCCGTTTATTAAAGTCATATCTAAGAAGAACTGTATGGGTAAATTTGTAATTAAATTCTTTTAATTGTTACAATGCTCTTTGCGGGAGATGTGCTTTGAGCTGCAGAACACCTGCGCATCTTTGATTGATTAACAGGAAATTATTTTGCGAAAAAAACCGCTGATCAGTCTTCGCTGATCATTAAAGAGCTCAACAACAATACCACTAAGAATAAGGTATTAAAAACTCATTGACCTCTGAATGTAATTTCTTTCACGGACGAAGTGGAGTAGAAAATTGCATTGAAAATTGAATTACCCTCGGTATACAATGCTACATACTTCAGTGTTTCCCATGGACTGAACAGAAACAACTTTAAAATATATTAACAAACCCAGCCTTTTTGTCTTTCATCAGCGGTTGGGAAAGCTAACCCGTGATGACTATATAAATATAAGTTTTGTCTTATAAAAACATTGGGTGACACGAAAGAACCAAAAAAAAAAGAAAAACAATATTTGATCAGCCTAGCATTTGTTTTGAAGTTTGTTTGTAATGAAATACGGCTTTTAATCGCATTAACACGGCCTTTTATCGCACAAATACGGCTTTTAATTGCACCATAGGGCTTTTCGTGAAGGGTAATACTCTCTCGTGTTTTTTTTTTGTTTTTTTTTTGTATCAATCGTAATTACAAGAGGTAACTTGCCTACTGGAATGTTTTCTTTCAGAGTCGACTTCTAAATTTCCTAGGACTATCGGAAACGCATTCGGGTTTAGTCTAGTAAGCCAATCAAAAGTCTGTAAGCCAGATGCTAGACTTTTGTTATTCCCCAATTCCCTCGTATTTCGTTGTGTTAGTCGAGTGTGCCAGCTTGCGCGCGAACGTAAGAATGTTTTCACTCGCGCTCTAGCCAAACGTTGCAACATCCATAGCACACAGTTGCCAAACTTTCTCCTTTGTTAACCCCTAAAATTGTTCCGCGCGATGTTGCCGTTCAACTTCTATGACATTACACACGACTTCAGAGTGTCCACTATCAGCAAAATTGTGCGCAACGGCGAAGCACACCTTTTAGCCACTTTTTACCTTGTGGCCATCCACTCTCTAACTCAGACATAATGATCTGCCGCTCTTTACGATTGTTTCCCACCGAAAGGAACAATACTAAATAACAGTGATATATTCCTCTTGGATTCTTGTTCCAACTACTGCTCGTGCTAATAATGAACACACGGTGAAAATATAAAGAATGCAGGTGTGAACGACTTACAAGTATCTTTCTGCAAGGGGCGGGGGGTGGGGGGAGGCTATCGCCCGGGGCACTCCAATATAAAAAGGACTGGGATGCTCGTCGCAAATTTGGAAAAGAACTCCTTAGGAGGTACCAAAATCCTGTTGTGTAGGCGTCGCTTGTCATTTTTTCACCCATAAGAGGTAGCAATTCTAAGGCCCGGTTCAGTAGCACAGTAGGAAAACAACTCTGATTCAGACGTCGTGCCAGAGTCGAACCAAATTCAGGATATACCGATGCCTCGTAACAATTGCCCTTCTAATTCCCCGTGGAAACGCAATCTCGCCAAAATACATTAATATAATCTGTGAATTTTGTTTAGCGCGGCAGAAGCACGACGTTTGAATCGCTGCCGTACCAGAGTCGTGTAGCAAACGGCAGAGCTTGTCAAACTTAATTGCTTGCTGAACTTAATTAAAAAGTTTGATTCAGACGCCGTGCTTCTGCCGTGCTTTTGTCGAACTTAATTCCTGAATTTAGTTCGGCACGGCAGAAGCACGACGTCTGAACTGGGCCTAAAACACCACCATATTTTTTCCGGCTCAATAACCTGAAAGGTACCGCAAAAGCTCCCGCTGTGGACCTTTCGAGGCTGAACACCGTAAGAGGTAGCAAAACGTGTTTTTTAACCCGTAAAAGGAACGACGAGCACTCCAGTCCTTTTTATATGGGAGTCTATTGGTATCTGAAGGAATAACATCAGCAAAAAATGCACTGATAGCAATGTGGCCGATATCCCTGGTATAAAGCTTGACGAGACACCACTGTTTTTAACATGCTTTATCTCGTAATTAAGCATTGTGGCCTCCCCCCCCCTCCCGCCTTAGGATTTTTTTCACTTTCTGATGGGAGTTGGTCATTAAAAGGTCACGTGTTCAAACAGTTGTGCCTTTATTTTTCTGTTTTATTGTGTACATGTCGGCCGTGATAACATGAGCGTTAATCAAATTTATCGTCTTGTCTCGCTTAGAAATATAAACTATGATATCAATTTATGGTGTGAAGATCACGCATTGATATGAAAGAAGCTCATCTTATCATTTTGACAGAAAACGCGAGGTCAGCTTTTAAAAATAACATTTATAACAAATATCTCTTACTCTATGTCAAGCTTCAGTCATCCAAAGCAGTGTCAACCCGTGATATCCGTTCGATTGAACTTGTCTTTAGACACAATAAATGATTCTTCTTTCACGCGTGAATTAGGAAGATTTTGATATGGTCAGGTGGACTGTCTTTGAAAGCCCATTATAGCAACGCAACATGGTGACGCATGTCAGGCACGACATGAAATACGTCAGAGTGATCAGTGAGGAAGATCATACAAGTCAAGAAATGGAGTTTACCTGTTATTTCAGAGAACATACCAAAACACCTTCCTCCAGTACTTTCACATCAACTGATTTAGCTGGTTGCCTGCCAAGTTCATTCCTTTTAGTTTACGCCATGTTGTGACAACTATTATGTCACGAGTGCGGGGTCACGAGTGAAAGAAGATTATTTTACTGAGTTTAGAGAGAAGTATTATCTGGGGACTAACAACGACTTAGGGTTGGGCCAAGGGACTAATCGAGTGAATGGTAATCGCCTTACTATGCGCTAAACGAGTTGATTTCTTGCTCAGTTGCGTTGTTGGGTTATGACGTAGTAATTTCTGCTTCGTTTTCTTGAATTCAGTGGATTGGATGAAGGAGAAAATTCAGCAAATTTGAACACCGTGTAAACGGCTGACTACTGAAGAAGAGACACCTTTAGGATAATTATTTACAAACGCAAGCTCCTCTGCTGTTTAAGTCTCTCATATCTCCGTCTCGCCTCCAATTTGTGTAACTGGTTCTGTTCTAGTTCGTCGTGACTTGGGTGGCTCATGTTCGCTAGCGTTCTCTCGATGTTTGCCGAGTAAACGGTGTGCGAAGGAATCACTCTGCGATGAACCTGAAAGAAAACAAGAGTACAACTGTAACAAGGTTCAGCAGTGTACTAATGGGGCTAACCTTGCCTAGTTTGACGCTATTATCTAGGGTCTTTCCCCTTTCCTCCCAAGTTAACTTCATATTTTTATTTGTCATCCCTCCACTTTACACGTTGTCTTAGAGCAAGAGAACAACAAAGCGAAAAATACTACGCACAACTGAGTATTTTCTCATTACTATGTGTTGTTGGCCTCCCGCTGTAAGCGGAATTTTGACAGAAAGAACTCTCGAACCGTTAACACTTGACATTTTCTCGTACATTATTTAGGTGACTAAAGAATGAAAGTTCTTCGTATATTTGATATGAAGGGCGCCATTTTACAGTCACTAAAAAAAATTAACAAAAATGTCCAGTGTTCACGGTTCGAGTGACCACACTGTAACAGAATGGAGCGAAAGCAAATGACGAAAGGTTAAGAGTAGTATACAGAGAGCATGGCCAATTAACTTTAAAAGTGATGGGACTTTATTTCGGTTTCTGGAGAAACTAGGTCCCAGAAACTCCCACAGACCGCGATTCTTTATGTCGGGACCTCTGTTGTTCTTTCTCTACACATCTTCAGAAAACATTAATGAATTTGGACGCATGCGTACAATCAAAGGGAACCAGGATTATCTTGCTCTAGTATTTGATCGTGTGCTCTGGGAACGAGACTGTTTCAAGAGCAAATCACGAGACATATTCACGGTGAAGACTTCTTTTCGGCCAATCACGTTCGAGAGGAAACCAAGCGTGGCTCGGACCACGTGAGCTTTCCCGCGTTTGCCTTGAGTTGTGACAGTTTTGTATTTCTCTTCACCTCCGAAGTGAGAGCGTCTGTGATTAATTTATTATCATTATTATTTGCACGAAGCACAAGGTAAACGCTCTATAACGAAAAATAATAACCCAAAGATAGTGTTCTGAAAGAGAAGTCAATCTCAGATAATTATGAGTCCAACCTGTAGTGCATCTCTGAGGTCCATAAGTGATATTGGAGGTTTATTAGCACCTCTACTGTCACTGGAAGCCACTGTGACCGCCGCCTCGGCTTCAGCTTGCTCTAACGTTCTACCACTATTACTGCTACTGCTTATGCCATTTACACAACCTAAAGATCTGAAACAAATAAGGTAAGTTTCCATCATAACCACTCCTATTACGTTACTAAGGTAGTCCTTAGGGCCTTAAGTCACAGAAAGGACACTTAATCAAGTTAGCAGCGCTATTAAAGTTACTTTTCTTAGGAAGAAACATAACATGAAGTCTTATGAAAGGGAGAATCGTTGAATGATTGCGATGCGAGACTGCTTAGTGATGGAAGACATGAAAGATACTAAGTATTAGATACTAAGGATTAGTTTAGAAAGAGACTTTGAAAATTAATGGCGTCCATGGTGCACTCAAGCAGAGTACATGGATTCAAGTACATTACTAACACTTACCTTTCTGACCCAGGTGGCCAGGGACTTGTACTGTTTCTTAGGTGCATTCTGGGGTAAGTGCCACCCATAGCATAGCGAAAATGACCATCTTTGAGCCTGAATGCACTTCTCATTGAACAACAAACGGTTAAAATGTCTTTGACTAAATACTGCAGCAAGATAAACAAAACAAACACATGGATGTTACCCATAAGGCAAGTTGTTTTGTATAATAACTGTAACAACAGAGTTGGTTTATTAAACAGTGTCCTTTTAAGTCACAGCATTTCCATTGTGATGACTGTATCTTGCATAAATATCAAGCAATACATTTTCTTGACAGCTGAATTTAGCCACTTAACGGTAGTCTAAACATTTTGTTGGTTGCTACCCCATGTGCCACACCAGCATAAGTAAGTAAGTAAACTTAAGTAAGTAAACTTGATTAAGCATCCTTGTGCTTTATAATTTTCATTCAAAGAAGTCAAATCAGATCTTAAAAGAAGCTAAGTGACTTTTCCCAAACCCAACACCAGTATTTGCTTTGCACTCTGATACCTGTGGCTGCAATGATTGCCTGTGTTTATTTCATTTTCTATTTAAAGAAATGTTCTGTAACAACAATACTACCCGCATTAATAACACAGTGCTACCTCTGTTGCATGAAGCATGAGGTTGACTGTGTCATCTGCCACATTATCCAGTCCAGCATCCCATGCGCCAAGAAACAACCGGCCATATATTGTAGCAGAATCTGGTAACATCATGTCATATGAGCAGAGACCAAATTCACTGTCTTCTGAGAGTTCTGTGAATTCACAAAAGGAATACATCAAAGCTTCAACATAAACACCCCCTCTATTCTTCACACAGCCTGGTTTAATAAAACATTCTCCTTACTATCTCCACACATTTCTTTTAAGGTCACTTTTGAGACTTAAAAACAATATCAGGGCTGTCATTAAGTTTTAATTCACCTGTAGCTTTGATCTTCACACCCGTAGCAAACTTGTTACTTTATGGGTGAATTGTATCAAACTACAGTTCACTCGTAACATCAAGGGTCCATCAAACATACTCAGCCATAACAGGTGTTATGGGTTACAACCCTCATTGGCAGCCCTGAATATCATATGTCTGTTTACAGGACATGGGATGACCACATATGTAGCCATACAAATATGTATGCAATGTAATCATGCAGTATAACATATTAATGTAAAGCAATCTAAGTGTGCGACAGTAGTGTACAATAGACACAATAGGACAGATTGGATTGTACCAGACAAAGCTTGACAATGGTCAACACTAAATGTTAGACATTAAGTTAAAGTAGTCATGGTGATACGTTATAACATACTCAAGTTAGCTGTTGCTCATTCTCAAAAAATATGGGGTCAATGAATTTTGTGAACTGTAATACGGAAACATGTGACTTGCTCTTTTACTGTTTTGTTGTTTTGTTGATTCAAGAATGCAAAATGTGTCTATACCAAGATTGTTTTTTACTTGGCAAACTCTACAACTTTGTAACTAAGTGAAGGTTGTATCAAGTATTATTCAAAGGCCACATGGCAGACTCAATAACAGACATTGTCCCCTGCACACACATCTATTTCCTCTTAAATTACCATTTACTGCAAATGAATGTGGTCTATACTGTGTTCATTTTAAAGGTGTTGGACTGTACTTTTAACAAATTATAGCAGTAATCAGGCTATTAAAACAGGTATTAATGCATTTTTTATGTTTAATACACAGCATTGGTTCAAATACTTTTAATTAATTAATACTTACCCTATAATGCGACATTGCCATGACATAATAGGAGAAAAGATGGAAATAAAGCAAGCAGTCAGTTAAGTTGAAAAAGGTTGCAGTTTAGATCGTACATAATTTCTGAATCTATTGTAGACTGCTTGCAAATGGACAAGAGAAAACTAAACATAAGAAAATCAATTTACATGAAAACTGGAGACTAGACTTTTCATCTCTTTTGAAAAACCACAAGAAACCTTGTCTGCAAGCTTTGACGCTTTTTGTGAGTCCCTCTTTGAAGAGAAACGACTGTTTGTGGTAAGTTATCAATAATTATTGTGTTACTAAGGCTACAAAACAAAAAGCATTTCTATAGTCATTAGATAATAGCTCCAGACTTGTTTGATACGTTGTGACAATTCTTATCTGCATGATCTTGAGTAAACACATAAATAGAATGATTTTGTAGAATAGTTCTCAAAATTCAGCTCCTGTTTTGACTAACTTTTAACATTGTTTTCATCACATTATTCAAAATATGAAGTTTATAAATAAATATTAACTTGAAGTTAAAACATATTTTCTACCATGAATAATAATAATATTTAATTAAACAAACCTTGAGAGACAGCTGTGGAGCCTCTGTCAGGGGGTCACATGGTGTAAATCTTTGCTGCAATATTAGAACAACAGCTGCACTAAATTAATATTATTCACTCCAAAAACAACTAACATTGAAAAAACTCATTTATGTCATGGATACGGTTTTAACTGCAGTAGTGACAACTAAAGCTCTCGTAACCAGAGAACAATCTATGGGGATCACATACATGGCTTTGAGGAGGAGAAGCCCAGATGAAAAAGATAACCTCCTGTGCCATTATTCCAAATAAATCTTGACAAAGTTTGCATTCCTTAAATGACAACTGTCTTGTCCCAGAAAATATTTATACNCCCCCCCCCCCCCTCCCGCCTTAGGATTTTTTTCACTTTCTGATGGGAGTTGGTCATTAAAAGGTCACGTGTTCAAACAGTTGTGCCTTTATTTTTCTGTTTTATTGTGTACATGTCGGCCGTGATAACATGAGCGTTAATCAAATTTATCGTCTTGTCTCGCTTAGAAATATAAACTATGATATCAATTTATGGTGTGAAGATCACGCATTGATATGAAAGAAGCTCATCTTATCATTTTGACAGAAAACGCGAGGTCAGCTTTTAAAAATAACATTTATAACAAATATCTCTTACTCTATGTCAAGCTTCAGTCATCCAAAGCAGTGTCAACCCGTGATATCCGTTCGATTGAACTTGTCTTTAGACACAATAAATGATTCTTCTTTCACGCGTGAATTAGGAAGATTTTGATATGGTCAGGTGGACTGTCTTTGAAAGCCCATTATAGCAACGCAACATGGTGACGCATGTCAGGCACGACATGAAATACGTCAGAGTGATCAGTGAGGAAGATCATACAAGTCAAGAAATGGAGTTTACCTGTTATTTCAGAGAACATACCAAAACACCTTCCTCCAGTACTTTCACATCAACTGATTTAGCTGGTTGCCTGCCAAGTTCATTCCTTTTAGTTTACGCCATGTTGTGACAACTATTATGTCACGAGTGCGGGGTCACGAGTGAAAGAAGATTATTTTACTGAGTTTAGAGAGAAGTATTATCTGGGGACTAACAACGACTTAGGGTTGGGCCAAGGGACTAATCGAGTGAATGGTAATCGCCTTACTATGCGCTAAACGAGTTGATTTCTTGCTCAGTTGCGTTGTTGGGTTATGACGTAGTAATTTCTGCTTCGTTTTCTTGAATTCAGTGGATTGGATGAAGGAGAAAATTCAGCAAATTTGAACACCGTGTAAACGGCTGACTACTGAAGAAGAGACACCTTTAGGATAATTATTTACAAACGCAAGCTCCTCTGCTGTTTAAGTCTCTCATATCTCCGTCTCGCCTCCAATTTGTGTAACTGGTTCTGTTCTAGTTCGTCGTGACTTGGGTGGCTCATGTTCGCTAGCGTTCTCTCGATGTTTGCCGAGTAAACGGTGTGCGAAGGAATCACTCTGCGATGAACCTGAAAGAAAACAAGAGTACAACTGTAACAAGGTTCAGCAGTGTACTAATGGGGCTAACCTTGCCTAGTTTGACGCTATTATCTAGGGTCTTTCCCCTTTCCTCCCAAGTTAACTTCATATTTTTATTTGTCATCCCTCCACTTTACACGTTGTCTTAGAGCAAGAGAACAACAAAGCGAAAAATACTACGCACAACTGAGTATTTTCTCATTACTATGTGTTGTTGGCCTCCCGCTGTAAGCGGAATTTTGACAGAAAGAACTCTCGAACCGTTAACACTTGACATTTTCTCGTACATTATTTAGGTGACTAAAGAATGAAAGTTCTTCGTATATTTGATATGAAGGGCGCCATTTTACAGTCACTAAAAAAAATTAACAAAAATGTCCAGTGTTCACGGTTCGAGTGACCACACTGTAACAGAATGGAGCGAAAGCAAATGACGAAAGGTTAAGAGTAGTATACAGAGAGCATGGCCAATTAACTTTAAAAGTGATGGGACTTTATTTCGGTTTCTGGAGAAACTAGGTCCCAGAAACTCCCACAGACCGCGATTCTTTATGTCGGGACCTCTGTTGTTCTTTCTCTACACATCTTCAGAAAACATTAATGAATTTGGACGCATGCGTACAATCAAAGGGAACCAGGATTATCTTGCTCTAGTATTTGATCGTGTGCTCTGGGAACGAGACTGTTTCAAGAGCAAATCACGAGACATATTCACGGTGAAGACTTCTTTTCGGCCAATCACGTTCGAGAGGAAACCAAGCGTGGCTCGGACCACGTGAGCTTTCCCGCGTTTGCCTTGAGTTGTGACAGTTTTGTATTTCTCTTCACCTCCGAAGTGAGAGCGTCTGTGATTAATTTATTATCATTATTATTTGCACGAAGCACAAGGTAAACGCTCTATAACGAAAAATAATAACCCAAAGATAGTGTTCTGAAAGAGAAGTCAATCTCAGATAATTATGAGTCCAACCTGTAGTGCATCTCTGAGGTCCATAAGTGATATTGGAGGTTTATTAGCACCTCTACTGTCACTGGAAGCCACTGTGACCGCCGCCTCGGCTTCAGCTTGCTCTAACGTTCTACCACTATTACTGCTACTGCTTATGCCATTTACACAACCTAAAGATCTGAAACAAATAAGGTAAGTTTCCATCATAACCACTCCTATTACGTTACTAAGGTAGTCCTTAGGGCCTTAAGTCACAGAAAGGACACTTAATCAAGTTAGCAGCGCTATTAAAGTTACTTTTCTTAGGAAGAAACATAACATGAAGTCTTATGAAAGGGAGAATCGTTGAATGATTGCGATGCGAGACTGCTTAGTGATGGAAGACATGAAAGATACTAAGTATTAGATACTAAGGATTAGTTTAGAAAGAGACTTTGAAAATTAATGGCGTCCATGGTGCACTCAAGCAGAGTACATGGATTCAAGTACATTACTAACACTTACCTTTCTGACCCAGGTGGCCAGGGACTTGTACTGTTTCTTAGGTGCATTCTGGGGTAAGTGCCACCCATAGCATAGCGAAAATGACCATCTTTGAGCCTGAATGCACTTCTCATTGAACAACAAACGGTTAAAATGTCTTTGACTAAATACTGCAGCAAGATAAACAAAACAAACACATGGATGTTACCCATAAGGCAAGTTGTTTTGTATAATAACTGTAACAACAGAGTTGGTTTATTAAACAGTGTCCTTTTAAGTCACAGCATTTCCATTGTGATGACTGTATCTTGCATAAATATCAAGCAATACATTTTCTTGACAGCTGAATTTAGCCACTTAACGGTAGTCTAAACATTTTGTTGGTTGCTACCCCATGTGCCACACCAGCATAAGTAAGTAAGTAAACTTAAGTAAGTAAACTTGATTAAGCATCCTTGTGCTTTATAATTTTCATTCAAAGAAGTCAAATCAGATCTTAAAAGAAGCTAAGTGACTTTTCCCAAACCCAACACCAGTATTTGCTTTGCACTCTGATACCTGTGGCTGCAATGATTGCCTGTGTTTATTTCATTTTCTATTTAAAGAAATGTTCTGTAACAACAATACTACCCGCATTAATAACACAGTGCTACCTCTGTTGCATGAAGCATGAGGTTGACTGTGTCATCTGCCACATTATCCAGTCCAGCATCCCATGCGCCAAGAAACAACCGGCCATATATTGTAGCAGAATCTGGTAACATCATGTCATATGAGCAGAGACCAAATTCACTGTCTTCTGAGAGTTCTGTGAATTCACAAAAGGAATACATCAAAGCTTCAACATAAACACCCCCTCTATTCTTCACACAGCCTGGTTTAATAAAACATTCTCCTTACTATCTCCACACATTTCTTTTAAGGTCACTTTTGAGACTTAAAAACAATATCAGGGCTGTCATTAAGTTTTAATTCACCTGTAGCTTTGATCTTCACACCCGTAGCAAACTTGTTACTTTATGGGTGAATTGTATCAAACTACAGTTCACTCGTAACATCAAGGGTCCATCAAACATACTCAGCCATAACAGGTGTTATGGGTTACAACCCTCATTGGCAGCCCTGAATATCATATGTCTGTTTACAGGACATGGGATGACCACATATGTAGCCATACAAATATGTATGCAATGTAATCATGCAGTATAACATATTAATGTAAAGCAATCTAAGTGTGCGACAGTAGTGTACAATAGACACAATAGGACAGATTGGATTGTACCAGACAAAGCTTGACAATGGTCAACACTAAATGTTAGACATTAAGTTAAAGTAGTCATGGTGATACGTTATAACATACTCAAGTTAGCTGTTGCTCATTCTCAAAAAATATGGGGTCAATGAATTTTGTGAACTGTAATACGGAAACATGTGACTTGCTCTTTTACTGTTTTGTTGTTTTGTTGATTCAAGAATGCAAAATGTGTCTATACCAAGATTGTTTTTTACTTGGCAAACTCTACAACTTTGTAACTAAGTGAAGGTTGTATCAAGTATTATTCAAAGGCCACATGGCAGACTCAATAACAGACATTGTCCCCTGCACACACATCTATTTCCTCTTAAATTACCATTTACTGCAAATGAATGTGGTCTATACTGTGTTCATTTTAAAGGTGTTGGACTGTACTTTTAACAAATTATAGCAGTAATCAGGCTATTAAAACAGGTATTAATGCATTTTTTATGTTTAATACACAGCATTGGTTCAAATACTTTTAATTAATTAATACTTACCCTATAATGCGACATTGCCATGACATAATAGGAGAAAAGATGGAAATAAAGCAAGCAGTCAGTTAAGTTGAAAAAGGTTGCAGTTTAGATCGTACATAATTTCTGAATCTATTGTAGACTGCTTGCAAATGGACAAGAGAAAACTAAACATAAGAAAATCAATTTACATGAAAACTGGAGACTAGACTTTTCATCTCTTTTGAAAAACCACAAGAAACCTTGTCTGCAAGCTTTGACGCTTTTTGTGAGTCCCTCTTTGAAGAGAAACGACTGTTTGTGGTAAGTTATCAATAATTATTGTGTTACTAAGGCTACAAAACAAAAAGCATTTCTATAGTCATTAGATAATAGCTCCAGACTTGTTTGATACGTTGTGACAATTCTTATCTGCATGATCTTGAGTAAACACATAAATAGAATGATTTTGTAGAATAGTTCTCAAAATTCAGCTCCTGTTTTGACTAACTTTTAACATTGTTTTCATCACATTATTCAAAATATGAAGTTTATAAATAAATATTAACTTGAAGTTAAAACATATTTTCTACCATGAATAATAATAATATTTAATTAAACAAACCTTGAGAGACAGCTGTGGAGCCTCTGTCAGGGGGTCACATGGTGTAAATCTTTGCTGCAATATTAGAACAACAGCTGCACTAAATTAATATTATTCACTCCAAAAACAACTAACATTGAAAAAACTCATTTATGTCATGGATACGGTTTTAACTGCAGTAGTGACAACTAAAGCTCTCGTAACCAGAGAACAATCTATGGGGATCACATACATGGCTTTGAGGAGGAGAAGCCCAGATGAAAAAGATAACCTCCTGTGCCATTATTCCAAATAAATCTTGACAAAGTTTGCATTCCTTAAATGACAACTGTCTTGTCCCAGAAAATATTTATACCCCATCCAGAGTATGTTTCTATGAAATTTCCATTTTAGCTTAATACTCCCTTTTAATAATTTTGACATTTGAGATGCCTCACCCCCTCAGAATAATATTTAAAGCGACCTGCTACAGGGTGGGTATGGATATTTTCTGGAACAGCACATTATCACTGTACCTCAAAATTTGCCTTCAGCACTTTCTTTTGTTTCTTGATTTTTCCCTTTTTGATCAGCTGTGGTTTAGGAGGCATCTTTTGTGGTGTTCTGGGATGAGATGCTGCAAAATGAAAAAGGAAACATCTATTCCTTGATTATATTATTTGCTATCATATGAAGGCCATGACACTGGTGCAAAACCTTTCAAACAAAAATGATTTTGATTCACATGTGAGTAAAATTATATATTTTCATTTCACATATCATGCAATATGGACAAGATCAAGGTCAAACAATAAAATTTTAGCATATTGGAGTCAGTCAATAGAAAATATGGCATTAGTGACCACTAGTATCATCAACCCACCTGGAGTAGATCCAAGAGCTTGACATTTAGCCAAAATTGCCAGCAGGAAGTCATTGTGAAAGTGGACTGCAAAACAATGAAGTGTGAACAAAAACCTAGCAAATTTGTCAACCAACTTAATAAAGTAAAAAAAAAAAAGACATGAAACAGTCTGCAGGTGCACGGTGGCCTCTTGGTTTATAGTGTGTTCATCTCCAGATCAAGTAGTCCGGGTTCGAGCCTTGGCCAGGGACATTGTGCTGTGTTCTTGGGCAAGACACTTTACTCTCTTAGTGGCTCTCTCCACCAGGGTGTATAAATGGGTACTGACAAATTTAATGCTGGGGGTAACCGACAATGGATCAGTATCCCATCCAGTGGGGAGTAGAAACACACCTAATCGCTTCATGCTACAGAAACGGGAGATAAGCTCTGGCCTGATGGGCCACTTGGCTCGTATGAAGACTTTACCTTACCTCCACTTGTTATTAGATTTATTTGAAATAATAACCTTAGTGGGAGGACCCATATAGATGGTATTGGTATCCAAATTTGAGTAATAAAACACGTCAGTATCTTGAAGATTTAAAGATTAGTTTACAATGAAAAAAAAGGAATTTAAGAAAGGAAGTAAAACACTGTAGCCTTGAAATACATCCACCTCTTGCTCTTTCTGGTAGTAAGGGGGCAGGAAACATTACTTCAAAAATATTATTGCACACTTACGGTTATCATTTCCAAGGCATTTCTTTGCCTGTGCATCAAACTCCTCCTTAGAAATCTGCATCAATTGAAGAAAAGGCATGATATTGTTGATATCGCACAGCTGTATATGTTGTTAAGGATTAAAATTCAACAACCTTGATTTACCATAGCTTTATTTCCAGTTTTCCAAAAATGAAATGCTGATCGTGTGATTCTTAAGTTGTCAATTTTGTAACCACTTAAGCTGAACACTGCACTGAATTGATGATCAAGAAAATTTTCACTTGCAGCCACAAATCATACCAATGTTGGCATTCAGCATAGGCCAAATAGCTGTTATTACAACTGAGGTGAAAGGTTCAATTGCTTTGTATTAACCTGTTTGCTTCGTTCGCATGCTTTTTTAAACAAAATAATATTTGACAGCAGACTCAACTGTAATAACAGCTATTTCCTTCCTACAAGGAGCCATGACTTTACCCAGTAAAGCTTTTCTTACAAAGAAAATTGTGTTTGTGTTGGACATCAACAGTTGCTATGAGTTGCAGCCAAGAGTGCCATTTTTCTTCAAAACTATTCGCAAGGTCAATTTCAGTTTCAACTTAAGGTGACGAAATACGAGATACAAAAGCCCTCAATTTGTCCTGCAACATGAGCAAATTTGCTGCATGACAAGTTGTGAGTTTGATGAAAAACGAACAACAAAGCCAAAATTTGTCGCTCAAAGTTGACCTGCGCTCTACTTTTCACAACAACTTTGTTGAACCCACAACAAATGTTTTTGCTGCACAACAAGTTGATCACTTGGTGAAAAACGCGAAACATCAACCAAAACTTGCAATGAAGCAATGTTGTGCGACAAGTTGAGGGATTTTGTAGCTTGTAATTCAGCGCCTTTAACTGGCCATGTGACCAACAGAAACAGCATGTCTCAACTAATTAAACTTTAACGCCCGGGGGATTAAACCAACAGTAAGTGTAGTTGACTAAATTAGTCTATCTTTTGCTTAGTCCGTCAAACAAGACCATAAATAAACCGCAAGGGAAAAATGGCCCTGTGATATCCTGGGGGTGAGACCCACACAAAAGGAGGGACTACTGCCTAAGCCAGAGAGTTTGAATTATGTGTTGCTCTCACAACGGAAAAATATGATCGGCTTATGTTAGGAGCATTGACAACACATTGTCAACATTTGAGATATGTGTGACATCTTGCAGGAATGTTTATCTCGCTTTCTGAAATTAGAAAGTTTTGGAACTGAAGGAAATCAAAGCGTTGGAATTGCATCTGACAGGATGTGATGTTCCTGTGATTATGTTGACAGGTTACCGAAAGAGTGTTTTGTTTGGCAAAGCTTTTTGCCTCGAGCCGAATGTGAATTTGATAGTGATTTTACCACTCAACACCAGGTCAACAGCATTGTTGAAGAATAATTCCATGAATATGAATTGACTGAGCTTAGCCTTTCGCCATCTATTTGAAAGATTAAAATGGACTTTTACTTGAAACTCTTCACTGCTATCGGCAAACACTTCACCGCAGTTGGATGATCTCCTATGTCAAATACATTAATGTAAATTCTTTGGCAGTTTCACTTAACGAACACTGAATGAAGATATACTTCTCACAGCATGGTTTTGCCTCACTACTTGAAGAGAAGAGTGATTTCATTCAAGACATCTCTAGGGGTTACTGACAACGGACGATAATGAGAGGACATCAAGATAAGGAATCCTATTAGATAAGTGTAATTAGATTGAAAATTAACATCAAAAAATGACTTGGCTGTGAAAGGTGAAACTCTCTGGCTTTGTCTCTAGTCCCTACTTTCGTGTGCTCCTCACCCCCAGGAGTTCGTGCCGCCAATTTTTCTTGCAGTTTTCTTTCACGTCATGCACGATGGACTAAGTGAAAGAGGGACTACTCATAGTCTAGCAATCAATAGTAAGGTCTCTGAGGGCCTGTTTACACGGAGGGAGGGTGCCCCAGCTAACCGGGCTACCCGGCTAGAAGGGTTGACACATAGCCTGCCTTTACAGCAACTCACCTAACCGGGACAGTGAGTGGGCTGCTTGGGCTATCTTTTGAGCAGCTGCTAAGCACAACAAACAAAATGGCTGACCAAAGAAACTTTTTGGCGGCAAGTTTAATTTTTTTATCGCTCATTCCACTAGCGGCCTCTGTTCAATGTATTGGACTGTTGTTAATGGTAACTATGAAAAAATTCACCTTGCACCGCCATGTTTTCACGGTTTTTCTCACCTCGGCTAGCCAGGATAGCCCGGCACAAACTGTTTACATGGTGAAGAGCTATCCCGCCTAGCCGGGTGCCCTGGGCAAGTAGACAGGGTGTCCCGGGTAGGCAGGTTACCCTGTCTAGCATGTAAACACTTCAATGTATTTTCTAAAGAAACGTATGAGAACTTAGCCCTCCCAGGGTAGCTCGGTTAGCCGGATACCCCAGTTAGCCAGGGCACCCTCCCTCCATGTAAACAGGTCCTAAGACAGGATTTAGCCAATCAGAGGGGAACAAAAACCTCAGATTTCCATAACGTGTTTAATAATTTTCTTATTCAGTTTCAACTTTGGGTAATCTCCCATAGTACCTTAAGATAAGAATTCAAAATGAAAAAACACCTAAGACAGGAGATATGATCCTTTTGCGGGTGTTTCATTAAGGTTTTCAGCAGGAGGGCAACTGGTTTTCACATGAGTTTTTTATAATTTAAACATATTTGTTATTAATAATGGTAATAGGACTGAGTGGAGTCAAATTCGGTCTGTAATCATATGAGTGATTAACAAAATTGGACGACCGCAAAGTGGGAGTCCGATTTGTTAATCAAGAGTATGATCACAGACTGAATTGGACGACATGATGTCCTGTTACCAATTAATCATAACCATTACAATTTCCCACAATTTGAAAAATAGCTTTTAATAGTCATTTTTAAATATAATAATACTAAGAATATGGGAATAGCTTGCAAAATGGCTGTCAAGTTTCTTTCAAAACAGTCACTGGAAACTAAACCTCCACAATTTTTCAAAGTCGGTCTCTTGAATAGGTTACTATAGTGACTGTAATCAATGTCGTGATTGGTGGATTTAAAGGAGAGGACTTAAAATGATTGGCTCACATAACTGTCCGATTACAGGTGTCCGATTACAGCCAACTGTCCGATTACACTGTCCAATTACAACTTTGCAGATTAATGAGAGCAAAATACACCAGTTTATGAACCAATCAAATTTGAGGAAATTGTAATTGTTATGATTAAGTAAGTAGTAGCTTATTATAACTCTCTGGCAATCTTATTGTTTTCCCCAAAGGCACCTGGGCTTATCAACGGGGATTACAATATTACAATTTTTACTTCATTTATTCAAACATACACACAATCAACACACAAAAATTGCTCTGAAAACAACGAGTTAAGCTTACAACTGAACTGAGTTTCTTTATAAGAAAAACTTTCCTGTAGATGGTCAAACCAGGAAGGGAAAATAATCCTCACAGCTGGGCAATTTGCCCAATGCCAGGCCCTTGATGACCCCACTTCTTTTATTAACTTTAAGGATGTGGTCATCATGGTAATCTCTTCTCCCCACTCACCTCTGTTTTTATTTCTATCACACAGTCGCCTTGTCACATCCAAAGGCAATTTAACCTTAATACATGCTGTAAAATATTTACCTCTCCTCAATTACCACTAAACTGGTCCTCGGGAGACAGGGATGATAAAGGATCAACAGACTACAGGGCCACTTTAGACCAGCTCATTAACATGTGTCAACCTTTCAAGTACGACTTTTCAAGGAAAATAAACTTGTAACCTTGCAAAAGACCCAATGACACTTGCACTCGACAAGACTTCCTTGTCTACGATGACCTTTTCTAAAATGAACAGTCAGCTTTCCCTGCAGCTTTCTTCAGTTAGATTGAAACCAATAAATATTCCTCTTTGTCACTCCTAGACAGTGCAGTTTTCAAAGGGGTCTTATTGCAGCGCAGTAAAGGGTGACAGTTCAAAATACATATTTACCTTCTGTTTGTACCACAGTTTCATGTTGTTCCAATACCTTTGAAATAAAAAGAAAGAATATAGAAGAAATTTCAATGTATCCTACGTTACAGAAGGAAAAGAACGAAAGGTCGTACGCTTGAGAGTAGTTCCCTAGAGCCTCTTCAAGTTGTCGGCGTGCAACACTCAAATCCACCGCCATCTTTGTTCTCGTACTTTTGGGTGAGAGACCGCTGAATAAAATACGCCGAGTGACGGTGACGGCGCAGTGGTGGCGGCCTTCTCCAGGAAATTTGTGGAAATAATTTTTTTTGGAGAAATGCCTTAATGATAACGCTTTCTAACATGCTGTTTGCCTATCCTCAAAGGCGTATATTCTCCCGTAAATGGAGTACCTTTTTTCCCAGTCTCCTGGGACGGTTGGAAGGGGATGGGTGTAGTGGGGTTGGTATGCTGGAAAAAAGGTACCCTGCGAGTAGCTGGTTTCTTCTTAAGCGAACGCTACGGTCAACTGCTCGCAGGGTTTGGGAAAGGCGGAAAACTGAAATGTTTTATCAAACCCGAAGAACGAACGACGACTCTGAAACCTGAAACGGGAAAGGTTCTTATGAATAACTTTTGCATAAAATTTGACTTTCATTTTCATTGTTTGGCTTAGGGTGTCTTTCAGTTTCCTACACCTTTATTTTCCATTTGCAAAACTCGGGAAATTCTGTTCAACTTTCAATATTCGCTTGACATGGTCACACTGGTATGCTGCGGCTAGTTACAATGGACATCTGAAGTGAAGTTGCGTGACAGTCAATCAACAAATTTGTGACGAGGTGATATTACACTGATATTATACTGCCACTATTGACGCATTCACAAATAGCTACAAGTTTTACTTTCTCTCGCAGCAGATTTCGTTGTTGGTCGGAACCAGGAGCGTGCTTTTGTTAGACAAGACAATAATGTTTCTATACAGGTTACTTTTTTCATGTCAAATTATTTCGTTTTTAATTCCCTGTCACGTAGAGGCGAGCATCACTCCTTCTGGTAAGTAGTTAAAGTACTAGTAGCGTATTTTATGCATCCAATATACACTTTATGAGTAAGCTGTTTGCGAAGAATATTGTGTATACCTATAAATGGCTTACTAATGTCAGCAAGCAATATTTTCTTTGCTGCAATCTGCTTCCATATGGATTGGAATTCGACTTTTGATTGCCGCCTAAAATAAACCCCCGGGCAATTCATCTTCTGTCAGTCCGACCGAAACGATAGAATATAATAAGTATCTCTATTCTCGGTCGCGAGTTAAAGAATAATAAAGAGCTTCTTATGTAATAATTTACCAACTACTTTAAGCGAGTTCTTTTCTCAGATGTATTCACCGGTGTGTTTCATATTTGTATACGGGAAAGTCATACGGAATGTGCAGACGGATAACGAGTTTGATATTCGAAAATGCGGAAGTCGAGTCTAGACAATTAGTTTTTGAGACGAACATACCAATATCTGTCTTCAGAGATTTTTGATATTAGAAATCAAGTCATTCCAGATTTCTCTAGTTCAAAACAATGTCAAAACAACATCGCGCCTCTTAAGCAAAAATTCAAGATTTGATGTTGATGTATGTATGTATGTACACATTGTGTAACGTAGTTTATAATCTATATATAGGTGCATTGCATTTAGTCGTGTCTAACGGCAACACTAACTTGTTCCTAGCACTAAAGAAAAGCTAGGATATTGTAAAAGAAACCGCCTGTTTTCAAAATTTTAAACTTGCCTTTATAATCTCTTTTCAACTTCACTAAAATGTATATTAAATATTACAAGCTACATAGTTTGGTAGTCAGTGTTAACCACTTATCAGCACTAGCCTGAATATCAGCACTAGCCTCATCAATATTGTTTTGATTGTACTTTCATCTTTAAACCAGCAAAATATACTGTTGAATGATATTGAAAAGCTTGATATTTTTCGGTAATCTTTTCTGTCAAATTTGTAAAATTATGACCACCGAATATGTATTTCTATGGAGACGGCAAATATTGACCCTTCCACACGCAGGCTAGCGTGACGCGGTCAACAGGTGACCTAACCAATATCCTCCTTAATCGTCACGGTTGGCTGAACCAGTAACCTCGATATTAGGCTCTCTCTCCTTTTCCCAGTTTTCTTGCTTCTGAAACAACGAAATGAACATGCCCAGACTGCCAGCAAAAAACGTAAACTCAAACTCTGCTTGCTCCACTAAAGAAAAACATGACATAGAGGGAACTACAACCCATCCCCCGAATATTTACAGGGTAACGTTGCACGATTAAAAAAACACAACGCGTAAACACACAGAATAGATTTAATAATTAATGTTGGCTCCATCCACTCCCCCGGCCCCCCTCAAATCCTGCGGCTCTTCCTGTGACGTTTTTCTTTTGAAACAACCTGACCTTACACTTGAGGTTGCGGGTTTAAGTCTCGCTCTGAGCACCAAGCTGAAGTTGTTTCTCGGTAGACCTTGGTTCAACTCCTCGGTCATGGTTGTAAATAGCCAACTTGTCTGCCTTCCGCTAGTTGGGATTTCTAAGCCTATTAGGTTTATATGAAATCTTTCTTTCTTTCAGTTTAAGTGGCATACCTGAGAACTAGCTAGGTGTAGCTAAGCGCATTTCCCACGATAAACAACAATAGTTGAACTTTTTTTCAGTTTACTATTGCACGCTGGCTAATAACCAACTCGTGTTGAGAGTACAGAGAATCCCGGCTCTAGGGCCCATTACCACGTTACCAAAAAAAATCAGCTGTCCAAAAGTTGAATTTTTGCTATATTGTTTTCATACTCGTTTTTCCACATTCTGTTTCGCAGCAACTCCAAGTTCAAATTTTTCGTTCAGCACCAGAGCAACAGCAAATTTCTCGAGTCCCACAATGCAGATTTCCATGACAGCTGCCGATACAAAGACAAGTGTTAGTCAGCTGCTCGAACCTTCCTCAACAGCAATGTCCGTGCCGTCTTCATCAGGTATGACTTTTATAAATGTCATTGCACAGCGCGGGATGAAGACAAGACCAGTGTGAGATACGCGCTTTACTCGTGCGTGATGCGCGCTCGTCTCGCCGTCAGTTCCGACAAACCCGAAAGTAAAGTTTGTTCTCCTCCTTTACAGTTTCCACATCAACATCGCCGCCGCCATCCGAAGGTGCTCAGGAAGCAGTAGTGTTGACTGTAGCTAACATGACAACAGTTCAGGTGAGGCACTCTTGTTGATTGTTGTACAGTAGTTAAAGGATTAATTACGCGTACTCAGGCATACGTGCTTTCTTTGTCACATATCGTGAACGGTCGTTTTTTCCGCGCTGTAAAACAGCACCAGCAACCTCGCTCCTTGAATTTTTTTTTATCCCAGGGCCGAGACCAAGAGACAAATTTATTTCGCCATTTTGATACTAGGCTAGTCAGGTTTTCCCTGAGCATTTTATTCGTCAAGTGCCCTACTAGTTTGCCCGTACCACTTTATACTCCTGGGTGGAGAAAGTGCATACTTGAGAGTGGAGGACACAGTACAAAACCAATACAACAATCCCAGACATGTCTCGAAGTCTTGATCTCATATGTATATGACGCATTAATTTTGAGTAGGGCGGTCGCCGCTCAGTCACATTCATTTTACAAATTTAAAATCCAAATAGTTCATGGCGAACTAAAAAAAAACCAGTTCATAGTGGACATGGGCTCCTGTCGTTGATTAATATTCTCTTTTCCAGTTCAATGAGAAGGAAGACGTCTTTATTAACACCGTGAAAAAAGCTGTGGACAGTTATTGCTCAGCACCAACACGAACATGTAGTGAAGCAAGTCGAAAGAGGTAACTTTACAATAAATCTCCAGGCTGCTGTTTTACCGCCTCTAGCCTTAACAGCAATGTAGGTAAAAGATCAAGTTTGTAGTCCAGCCCGGTGGCCCAACAGGCCGGCGCTTATCTCCGGTTTCTGTAGCATGAAGCCGCTAGGAGTATTTTACTTCCCCCCAGATCCCCCTGGATTTAATGCTAGACCATCGTCGAGTTTCCCCCTACACTGATTTAATTCGCCGTTACCCCGGCGTTTGTACACCTGGGAGAAGAAAAGAAATATGAAAGTGAAATGTCCTGTCCAAGAACACAATGCATTCCGATCAACGCACTCAGGATCCCCCGGCCAGGGTTCGAACCCAGGCTACTAATCCGGAGCTCGGCGCACCGGCCGCTTTAGGTTACCACGCCTCCCATTTTGTTGCATAAAACAAACACTTCCAACAAAGTCGCACTTAAACCTAACACATGATTTTCCTAATTGTGCTTTATTTTGCTTCACTGTAATTTCTAGACGAGCCATAACTGCTAATCAAGTCTACATAGCGGACGGATTCCCCAAACAAAGCTCCTTCAGCCCAAGCGATCTACGTGTGGCAGTTTTCGCGTCAACAGGAGACAACAAATTCTTATCAAGGAGCACTCTCTTGAACGTCATTGTAGAGTATCAAGGAAACCTCAGTAGAGCGCTGGACAGGAGAATCACGGGCGTGGCTCGACTGAACCTTGACGTGTACACCTTTGGTCCAACTGAATCTCCTGGCACTTCTGGAAAGACAAAACTTCTTTATATCTTCTTTGGCGCGTTCTTTGGTGTAGTGTTTTTATTGGGGGTGTGCATTTGCGTGACTTGCTGGTAAGATTTAAGCATGTTTTATAAAAAATATACTACTGTATACCGACAGTCCAGGTTCTTGACCTCAAGGCAGAAATACCGTTTAAAAGGAACTGGATCCCTATTTGCGATAGTGGCTGGGCATTCTACGTTCGGAGGGTTTCAATGAGGTTCCTATTAACCATTCGACGAATTAAGACGAAACAAATGTGAACGAACGAAAGTTAAATCGTAAGCTGCCAAGCGAGGTTAATGCAAAACTTTAACCGTAAACTGGCAAATGAAGGCTTTTTTTAATCTTCAAATTAATTATATTGAGGATGAAATGAAAGAAAACTTTGCTGTAAACCAACATTTTTTGCGCCGTCAGATTTTCTGGTGTGGATATATAATAAAAATTGTCTTTCCTTGAGCAGAAATATATTAAATACTACGGACGGACATGGTTGCAAAATGGTTAATCTCCATTTTCGTTACAATACACCTGATGGTCCCCCTCTGATGGTCAGGCTTCTTACCACTGACCAGTAGGAGCGACTGAACCGTGCGAGGTCAATTTATGACCCGTCCCAGACTCTCGCGCCAGGTCAAACAGACTATACACCGCAGCCTCCTCCTTCTTTGTGCTCGTAACGCGTTCCTTCACCAGGACAAAATATTGCGTAACGATCACAAAGAATGGACAGACTGAGGTTGTCGCGATCTGAACTGAGTTCGAATCTGGCTGGCTGTAAAGTAGATAGCGGACGCTTTGATGAACGAGCGTGTTTACCATTAATTCTTGTGTAGGCTCAGTTTGATGTTTTGCAGAATTGATAACCGTGTTCATTTCTTTTAGGATTGGCCGCAGAAGTGAGCGAGAAAATGATGTCAGACCTCTGACTACAAGTAATTTAGAACTCGTTGACAAGTGATGGATCGCGCTGAACAATCTTGTGGTGTTCTACATAATGGTAAAAGTAATGTATAAAATAATTAAGGAATTGTAAGTAAGTTTATTGTAGGAAATCTATGTAATTAACTTAAGGTTTTTTGTATTCCTGTGTATACCTCTTATTAACCTTGTCTTCTCGGTTCGTTCTGTAAGTAATGGACCGAGTTTTTTTCCCCTTCGATTTATGGCCCAGGCGCGAAGCGCGCGGGCCATAAATAGACGGGGAAAAATGAGGATCCGTAACTTGCGGTACGGACCGAGAAGACGAGGTTAGTAAGACATTTATTATATCTCTTATGTGTATCCGACGGGTTCGGGAACGATTTTTATTCACGCGGAACGGGTTCAAACTTCTGACGCACGTCGAATGCAAAACGAGTCAATTTGAAATCGTTGTTAAGTCGTAACACGTTTTACTGTAATACACAATTAAAGTAAAAGAAAGTTTTAAACTTTTACTTGCTATAAAAGTTAAGAACACTTGGCAATAAATCACGAAACATTTTGGCAACAAAATCAGCTTTAAATTTTTGCAGGCTCTACAGTAGAATTCAGCCCACTAAATTTGACCAATCACAGCGCGCTTAGTAAGTGGAAGATATAATAGAAAGTCAAAAACCTTGCGGCGCCATCATGGAAAAAATGTATAAATGCTCAACCTCGTTCCCATGACCCTTTCCCTTCCTTGGTGAAGTAAGGCCATGGGAACGAGGTTGATAAATGCTTAGTCATTGATATAAATATATACTTGCTATTCATCTGTAAATCGCATCGCCCATATCTCGAAAAGATGGTTAGAAAATACAGCATAAAATATATTCTGTAAAGTGATGGTCGAAGCCGTCCTTAAGTCTTAAGAAATAAACAAAGAAAGAAACCTTAATGAAACATTGAGAAGTGCAGGGTAGGATTATTGTAAGTAGTTTGCCATAAAGTATTCCCCTGTTGTACAACTGATGGCGTATGTTGTGTTAGTGGGGTAATGTAGCGTGTCGCTGATTGGTAGATCGCTTGCAATCTGTTTTCATAATCGACTTTCTGTTTCAATGTAACCGTTTCGTCCTCTGTCTCTGGCAACACGGCTGCGGCGTGTGTGGCATCGAAATACTAGTCAGAGCTCATGAAATTTTAATTCTGAGGTCTTTTATTTATTACATTTTAAGTAAATGTCGGACCCCTTAGCGTGTTTGCTGTGTCATTGGTGAATGGTCGTGAACAATATTGTTAAGTACTTTGCAGATTTTTTACAAAATAAACAATTAGAAAAGCAGACTTAGTCCCAGATTTTGCGACGGTATCACTCAAACTAGATGAAGGAAAAATGAATAAATTTCTTGTTTGCTTGTTTGTTTTTTAGTTCAAATGTTTCTTCATGAAATCAATCATTCGTCCAACAGACAGCTCAGCTATGGTCTTGTTGTAGTTAGCGCTGTTTGGATTAGTAAAAGCATGGCCAGCATCATACTCGTAAAATTCGTAGTCCACGCCTCCCGCGTCCAGCAGGTCCCGCAGCTTGCCGTACTCTGTAGGGTTAGCTGTGTTAGACACGTCTTGACTGCCAAAGTGGCACTGCACCGGTATCTTAATGGTGGACACGTTCGCTAGCGAGGGCGGCGGAATGCCATAAAACGGTGCGGCAGCAGAGACTTCCGGTACAAGAGCGGCGGCAGCTAAGGACAGCGATCCTCCCATGCAGAAACCAGTGATGCCGACCTTTTTGCAACCTTGTTTGATAAGATACTGGGCCGCTCCTTGGATGTCCTTGATTGCATCTGAGAGTGAAGGAAGAATGAAGTGAGAATGTGCCGTAAGCTCTTGCCAAGTTCGTGGGAAAACGGTTCGGGCAAAAATTAAAAGAAACATAAACATGTCTTTGGAAGCTGCAATATAGACTTATGCAGACAGCGGATTCTTTGTAAGTGACAAGGACTATTGCCGAAGATTATCCTTGAATGGAATGCTAAATCATCCAAGTCGGATACTTGCATACACCTGGTTTCGAGTAAGGAGCTGTGAGAATAACGCGCTTTGCATAAGGGAATAAAACAAGGCTTCCATTGGCACGGATGCCCTTCGATCTCAGAGCTGGTCGCGCGATTACATAATGATCCCGCGTGATCACACGCAATCTCGCGCGTTCAAAAAATTGAGGAGCTGTGAGAATAATCTGCATAAGGAAACAAAACAAGGCCGTCATTAGCCACGTATCTACCCAAAGCTGGTCGCGCGATTACATAATCCCGCGTGTCACTCGCAATCTCGCGCGTTCAAAATTTACTTTCACCCAACCCGTAGTTCACTAGGAAACCGTGCAACATTCTTTACGCAGTTGTCAGTTCTTTAGGGGCCCGATAGCAAAATCTGCAGAAGTAAATGTAAGCATTAGAGGACTACTCAATAGATTCGATTTCTGAGTGACTGTAAACTCACCTGGATAATCCAAGTTTTGAACCAAATGAAGCGCAGCAGTGCTGTTTTTAGCGACTTTTCCTCGGTACAAATCAGGAACCATAGTCACAAACTTTCCCTGCGTCCCTATGTCCAGCGCCTGCTGCTTTATTTGCTCGTTCATGCCCCACCATTCTTGGACAACAAGAAGGCATTTCATCGGATCACGCATACCTCCGTTCAGTGATCCGGGGCAATCACCGAGCGGGTTAAGGGAACTGAAAGTCACTGGTTCTTTCTGCACATGAACAGAGTCAAACCTCATGTGCACGTTGATCAGAACCGTAAAGAACGTTCCAAGATCGTCTAAAAGTATCATTTTCACCGTCGCGCACTCCTCGCATGCAACCTTACAATGAGTGGCTAATAACGGACTATGAACTGCGACTACTCTTTGCAAAAGTGAGTCAGCAATTCAAGTAACGCATGACCTCCGTTACTAAGCTATCAATGTTGGGCAGTCACGCATGGTTTCATAAATTCACTACATTATTATATTTGCATGTTATAGTCAGTATATATGTGATCGCTTCACGTAACCCTTATTCACCTTCACAGGAGCCCGATCTTCACTATGGAGCTGGTCTGGGGAGAAAGATCTCTTGAAGAATCAGAAACACTCGGCTTTCTAATTTTTTTCGCCCTGTACCTTACTATAAAAGGAACCTGCCTACAGGCTAATCTTTGAATCGTCGCGCAAGAGTTGTGTGACTACCAAAATAAAATGGTCATAACGTTTTGGTGATAGAAAGCCAAACTGGACTAGCTGTACCCTAGAAGTGAAGTAGTTCTCTGTGCGTGTTAAGATTGAACGAACCTGATGCACTGTCAAGCTCGCCCTGCCCGGCGGGTGATCCTTTGAGCCCAACTTCAGAGTTTGCCTCTCTTCTGCTGGACTCATTCACTGATCATGGTGGATGTGCACTTTCATGGTCGAATTGATTCAAAGAAGTGAAGTTTTTTTTTTTTTTTTTTTTCTGTATTTAGACTTTTTTTATTTCATGAACAGTGAAGTGATTGTGTAATACATATACCCTGGGTACCGGAGATTTTTCCTCGCTCATGTGGCGGGATGCTTTGGTTCGGCTGGAGGACGGCACGCGCATACAAAATCTCTGGCATCCAGCTCATAGGAAATATCACAATTAAAGAAACCCCTCTCTGCCAAATATTTCCTACGTTTCTCGAATTACGTTCGAAACGTCAACTGCCAATTTTACAATAACTGCAGAAATTCTCGTGCGCTCATTGGCTAATTTTCATTGTCAAAAAGCGGACACACATAAATTTATGATTTATACGATGCGTCAACGAGCGAGAGCGGACAATTTGACAATTTATTGTAAAAAAACAAATTGGCGACAGTTTTTCATGCGTCTGTCCTGTCATTGAATGAATTTCGTCAGAACATTGTCAAAGTAGCTGTGGATCCACTCGGCTATCGCCTCGTAGTTGACAATGTTATGACAGACGCATGAAAAACCGACGTCAATTTGTTAAGAATCCAGAGTGTGTTGTTCAATGCTGGCAGGCTTCTTTTGTGCGTGTGCAGACCCCCAGGTACAATAGCCCATGACTCACCCAGGTACAATAGCCGTTTGTATTAACTTCTATTAATTTGTTATTAAGATACTGATTAGCAGAAATATTGAAAAGCTTATATCTTTTATGCACAGCTTTTATTATAAAAGCAATTCTCTCAAGCTATTTAATGAGAGTGCACAATAGTGGTGTATGGAATGTAATAATTCTAAGTTAAGTCCTGATAAAACTTCAACTTCCCTTAAAAATAATATTAAAATACCGATAAATTACTGCTAAGATACTGAAGCACCGGTGAAAAGAATATCGAAAATGATCAGTACAGGCCGATTAACAGAGATATTTCTCAATATCAACATCTTGGGGAGTTAATTAAGAAAAATATTGCTGTTTTAGTGTAACGGAAGATGTGAGAAGAGAAGAGAAGAGAGAGAGAAGACAAGAAAAGATATTAGAGAAGTCAAAGATGTGTTACCAAGACAAAAATCAATAACAAATCGATAACAGAAGAGATCACTTAGATAAGAGTTCGATAACATTCTTAAAGAGAAATTCAACTGGAGAGTTCACCTCTGTTATTTCGACCCGTGAGGCTTCGGAGTGTGGCGTGTCAACGTAAAGAATCCGAGATCAAAACAACCATCAAATGATACAGTTGGCACCCTCGCAAATAATAGTCTTGAAACAAAGCTCTAAAATGCTCTGCGTGAAATACGCTTATAAGATGACCCCCTCCCCACCCCCTCTCCTTACTTCCCAGATGAACACTACGACCACAAAGATAAGAACCATTTCTGTGATACTAAAAAATTGCTAATATCATAAAATCTTTCTACCCTGTTGGGCATTTTTTATAAAAAGCAATATTACAGCCTAGTAAATATTAATAATAATAAACACGCGATGTCATTTTAGACAAAGCTTAATTAAAAGATTTACAACGTTAAATGGGTCCAAAGACGATCTTTCATGATATATTCCTCCCATGGAAATTGATTAAAACAACGTAATATAGCGTAGAGCCGTTTTCCAATGACTGTTGGTCTGGGAACTTCTGAAGCTTGTTCTGGCCAATCAGCCGCTGTCTTATTAACCAATCAGGAACAGACGAGAAACCAATCATGATTTGACGCACAAGAATTTTCCCGCGCTTGCTAACGGTTAGGAGTGGTCACGCACTTGTCATGGGTTTCTCGTTTTCCTTCGAATTTTGATTGGTTTGTGACAGTAACTAACTTTGCGAGTACCTTATTTTCAAAGTCATTACAAAACCGCCCTATAACTCCAATTTCTGTTTAAAAATAAACATGAATCCACCTTTAAAATAATCCCCTAAATACTAAGTGCTGTGTAACTCAAATCGTCCATAAAAATCAAATTAAAAAACTATTAGATGCTAATTACACATCCGTCTTGTTGTTTAAAATTCATCTTCCACGGCAGATTGGAAAACGCTAAAATTTCGAAGCCCTCTCTTCGTCCACTTCGTCCAATTCTCTCTTGTCCGCCGTTTATAATCTTTACATTTCTATATATATATTTGCCTTTCGTCGGGTCTGTTAAATAACTCCTAAACTCATTCTCAAATGTTCGTACACGACGTAGCTAATACTGACTGCAGGCGCAACTTTCAAAAAGTTAGGTGCCAGCCCCCTGTAAAGTCCGCGCGGTCCATCTTCTTTTAAAATGTTTTTGAACACTGAAACCATGTTATCTCCTCTGTCGGAAGTACGAGACCGTGCTGAGGAAGAAGATAACGTTTTTTCTTTAGTTTCAATTTATTGATGCAACACAAACTTTTCAGAACTAACAATGAAGGAAATGTATGTCAACCAGTTGAGGAGAATTTATATTTTGAGGCAGAGACTAAAAACGATTTCTAAAAGAGCTAAGTCACGGTTTTACACATCTTGAAAAGTTTCCAAGTTTCCAAATTCGTCGTTTGCAATCCGCTTTAATCTTCTCCATCCTTAACCATCCTTGTTCCTTTGTGGTTTATTATTATTATCTCTTTGGTGTTTTTCTACCTTACTAAACTGTTACTTTCAGGTTTCCTTCAATCTAAAGCCAAAGATAATTTTATACGTAGCAAAAATAACTCAAAATAACGTGACTGAGCTCCTTTAGCGCGGGAGAGAAGTTAAATAATGAAATTAAAAGTTAAGTCAGTCCACACCTTGCGCTTGTAGTTTAGTCCTTACTAGAGATAGAGGGTAACTGGCTAATTGACCACATGTGCTTGATGCTGTACCACAGGCTAACAACACAAACACTCCAGGATCAGCAGACTCATTCTTGTGGTAATTGAGGTAAAAGTTTTTAAGTGTCTGAAAAAAAAGGTAAAACAACCATGAGCTGTTAAATTTAAATTAAGTGTCTGTCTTATAGTTGACTTGTACATCCTTCCTCAATGACTGAAAGAAGTTGTTTGTTACTGCGCCAAAATTGAGGTTCAACAAATACAATTTAATACAGCAAGTGTTGAGTACAGGATAATTAATCATGCTGACATTTGCGCTCATCCATCTAGTCAGACAGCCAGTAGCAAGTAGACTTTTTCTTCTTATTAAAATACATCCCCGTCACAAAAGCTCCCAAAATATGGTTTATCGTGTGACACGAAAATTTTCCGCGAGTTTATAGTTTATATCGCGGTTCGGCGATTTTTCAGTATTTTGCGGGATTTTGTAATTTTTGCGATTATGAAAGAATGGTTTTTCTTGCTGGGTATTAATTTTTGCGATTTCCAGCAAGTCGCGTTTAATTAGAATTACAACATTTGTGTTTCTTTTTTTATATAACTATATGCAATCGACAAGTCAAACCACTTGATGCATTAAACCTCAAGATGTCACTAGCACTTTCTTTTCAACACCAGCATTTTGCCGACAAGATTCTACATGTGATGTTTGTATGTATAATTTCGTCAATGGAGTATATTTCTGTGGAGACAGTTTTTGCGGGAACTTTTTTTTGCGGACCATGGAAGAAACCGCAAAAATCGCATATATTAGAACCCGCAAAACTTTTTTGCCACATGGTAGAAGTCATTATGCAGAAATACATGTAAGCTCCCTAAGACAGATCAGTAACACTTTAAAAAAGAGAATCAAATTTACGGTTTATTTTAAGTTAACAGTATAACTACTAACAAAGCCTTTCAACTAAAGAAATTAGTTTTGCATTTTACGAAACAAAGAAGTATCAAATTTACCTCATATATTGCAAGATCTATTCCAGCGTATGGGATAATTCCTAAAAGACTTGGGAACAGTCCACGGTAAAAGCTCCTAATTCCCTCAGTCGTAAAAATCACATATGCTGCGTGGACAAGCCCTCTATACTGTCCTGTCTTACGAAGAGCCAGTCTTGTTTTTAGAACCTCCAAAAAAAAAGAGAGAGAGAGAGATAAGGCATCTTGCAGGCGTTGCATAAGACAACACCTAATATCAAACAATGGAGAAGGAAATAAATTATAACACTTAATCCAAGAGAAATTTTCTGAAGAGAAAGCGCCAAGCGATGTTGGCGGCTTTGCTCATGTATCATTAGGGTCGCTTTACAGTGGAAGAAAAATCGGTGCTACAGACTGCAGACTATGCAGAACGTGCCGACCGTGAAGATTGAGCACATTTTTCTGATTTACAGTTTCCTGACTTAAGACTTTTTGTCATGGTATTTAATTCACACTGCTGACTGTGTTAATGGCATGTCAAGCCCAGGGAAGATTACCATATTAAAAGGGCAGGGATGTTCAATGTCTCGCTTAGGGGGTATAAATCAAGGATTCTGGTCTCACTTAGGGTGTTCATGACGAAACTCCACTACTCTTAGCTGTCAAAGTAAGAATAAATGGTGATAAAACGCTCTTATTTCAGTCTCTCGTGTCCAGCCTACTATTGCAAGCATCTTTCCCGAACAGCAACTGGTAATGAAGCATTTTCCGTTTTAAGTGGTATCTTTTAGGGCTCAAATAAAGCTGGAGCCATGCTCAGATTGTCTCTTTCAGAGGTTTAATTCAAAATTTTCTGATGGGCATCCCCGAACTCCTCATATGTCAAGATTGTATTACCTAGTTAATAATTTCTATTTCTCATCACCTCATAGTGGCAAGAAATTACAAGTTAATCAAGTTACCTCAAGTGGGTATATACTTGTCTGTGAAGCTACACCAGCCATTGAACCTGCCATCAGTCTTTCTCTCACTCCAAGCTGCTTTTCATCAGCACCTAATAACTTCTTGGCCTTGAAAAAGGTTTAAAAAATAAAACATAAGAATTTTAAGCAACTTTCTGGTATTTCAGTCAAAACTGTAGTATCTATCTAATAGATTAGCACCTACCTTTTCATAGGCAAAGAACTTTATAGCTGATTCTGGTGCTATTTTAACCACATTAGCACCATTTCCTCTCCACAGGGATTTGATACCACCTTCCTTCACCATCATTGCAAAACCAGATCCAATCCCTATTCTATTTGTACTTGACGCTTGTACCTACAAGAAATGAAACTGTGTTATCACTTGGATGTTGAATCAAGAGGCAATTTGTGCAGGATCTTCATGTAAAATCCGAATTTGTAATCAATAATAGGTATATCTCGTTACAAAAAGTAAACAGAGTTATAAAGCCAATTTTTAAGGCAGAGGGAGTTTCTGTTATAATGACAGAGTTCATGTTCACAGGCCCAATACAAAGACACTCTGTATGTGCTAGATGGACTTTTGTTGCACCATACATAGCCTGTAAAGAGAAATATTGGGCATATGTCTAATAACATAAAGACATCAAGTACCACATATATGTAATCCCAGAATTCTCACTGAACATAAAATATATTTTCACTGAATAGGGCTTCAAGTGTTGTTATCAGACTACACTCATTACTGAAACCCGCAGAAGCCTTAAAATAAAGTCCTTGATGATTTCCTGACCTGTAACAATACTTTTAATCTGTCCAAGGGAGCTGTTGCTGTCCTTGACACTAAGAGAAAAAATAAAATAAAAATTAAGTTGAATAATGTGGTAAAGAATAATGCTGTCCTGTCTTATCCCCTGCACTATCATGTATGCTTGTCCAGATGACATATTTTGTGACAAGATGTAGAAAAATTTATATCCTAACAAGCACAGTATTCTCTGTCCACATGATGAAGGGTTAAGCTAAGTTGTATGTGGAGACAGACAATCATTGTATGTTCATGATGTGTATTGAGGTTTGACCACAGTAAGCAAATCTGCCTGAAACCCAGCCTCTAAAATAATGGAGTATGTCATGGCTGCCTCAGCAAGACTGTTGCTTTGTTTTATTCTTGTGTTGTTCAATATGGAGGTGAAATAAAATTAATTTTGAGTCCCGCAAATCAATCAAGAATGAAATGAAGCTGACATGTGTAGAACCCACTGCACTAACTGAGAAAGTTACCAGTGACATGCAACCTTGTTATCTAATTTGTGCCACATTCAAGAGTAACTACAAAGAACTACAGAACACCCACCAACTCCTGCTCCACCTCCTGCGACCAACTGTTTCCACCACATTCCTGTAACTTTCTCTTCCTCTGTGAATTCATCAGGAATGGTCATATCCTCACCAATGTCAATGACCTGCAAATTAACAGGAAATCCAGAAAAAAAATAAATAAAAAATGGGTAAGAAGTCTTAGCACAGATACAACTTACAAGAAATACAAACGAAATTATGTTTACTTCTGACAATTATCACCATATTTCTCTCATTTTTTTTTTTTTTTTCATGTAAAGAATAGACTAAGATTTTGTCATAACGAGGCACACAATATGCATTAAACAGATTTTATACAAAACAGAAGCTATGAAGACATGGTGGTCCTTCAGGAGGTAAAGAGGAGATTTTGCACCAGGAGGCATCTAGAATCCACCAAAAGCCACTCTTTGGATTATTTTAAAAGCCGCTCACTGTTGAATGTCTCCAGAACTGGATGATGTCATGCATACTGTGACCGCTAGGATTCAATAGATGATACTCTCTCCACTCCTTCCAGTTGACTTTGAGGGTTTTGTCTTTGTCCATGCTGAAATTTGCAATGTGAGATATTTCAATTTCTTTCATTGTAGACTGCTTATAGTAACAAAGTCAGTCAGAGCATTTTAAACTCAGGCCATGGCAATCACTAGCTCATCCCTATACCCAAAATGGCTTGTTAGTAGGAAGCTATTAATAAATTTTAAAAAATGGACAATGCTTTTCAGTTTTAAATACATGTTTTGACAGTGTCATCTGTCATCATCAGGGTGAATATGCAAGTTATATCCAAGTTTTGTACAATAGGTGTATTCTATGTATTTTATTCGCATTATGTAAGTTATTCTAGGTATCACCTATTGTACAAAACTTGTATATTAGCCTGTATACTCAAATTCATTCAAAACTGAAAAGCAGTGTCCTTTTTGAAAAGTTATGCCCAAAAAGTAATAGCCAAAACTAAAATTATTATAATAATCTTTGAGTAAATGATATAGGAGCAGTCTTGGTGTTATAAAAAAGAGAAGGAAGTATTGTTTCAAATATGACATCCATGCAAGATAATGTCCTCATGATAAGTCTGTATTACAGCATTTTATAACAGGGAAAATGATGCTAATATATATTTTTCGAATATTTCCTCAGGATAACCCTACAGTACAAAGTACTGTTATCAACAGGGTCCTGCTAAGAATTAAAAACTAATAAACAAGAATTATTAAGATATATAAAATAAGATACATATTAAAAACCGTTAAAAATACAATGCTGACAGTTCATTTCCAGCAGAAGGTTAGGAAATAATGCTGTCATTAAAAAAAAAAAAAAATTCGAAATTAGTTACTTAATAAATGAAAAAGACAACTGTCTGTTGGTATAGTACCAGTCTGTATTTAAGCTTAAAAAAGATCTTTTATAAGTACCTTTTCAATAGCAGGTCCACTTCCTTGTCCGTTACACGAACATCCATCCTCTCAAATGCCTTCTTGAGTTCTGTCTTGTCCACACATCCTGAACAAACAGACATATGTCATGTAGAAAATTACCAATCCTATCTGACTCGACAAGGAATTGAAATGTTTACTTGCATTATTGATTGACAATAACATTTTGCTTTATGTCAGTTCTGAGAATTTGGTAAATAAAAACATCAACACAATTTCAGATGATTTTCTTTATTCTCACCACTTGTCTGGTTAATAGAAGGGAATTAATGCAACCATAACAGCAATACAGAGGGCGATGTCCACAGAAAAACTTATTTACATTGTGACTATTCAAAATGTCTACAGAACAACTGAAGTGTCATTTACGATTAATGTTACATGCAGAAAACTTTGAACACTTGGATTTGATTCTGACGGGTCAATTGTGAACTGACCAATCACATTGAGTTCAGGACATGTTAGAAAACCTCAAAACCATAAACTAATTACTGTTACTGTTTGCGGTTTAGTTCTCTCAACCTTCATTGGCTTTTTCCTTGTTACACAATAACATTACATCAATATTTCTGCTGTTCATGGTTCTCTGAGTTTCACAGTAATATTCTAAAATGTCTCATGTCGAGTTTTACCAGTGTATGTTTCTTTGGACCTTAATAAATTATAAGGCATAAATTCTTGGTCTGCAGACAACACAAAAAGCCTCAAGCAAAAAAAAAATATAGAAGCACCACACATTTATATCAAGATTAAAAATAATATTAATTAAAGCAAGTAATATGAAAGATACTAGTTACCACTGCCATCTTGATCAATGGATTTGAAAACAATCCACAGCTTCTTTTGGTGATCTGTCACATACTTGACAAACTCTTCAAATGACATGTGTCCATCAAGATTCTGATCACCAAGGGTCATAATTTGCTGCAACATACAAATGTAAGAAATCACCTTAATTTAGAGCCAGGACTTTTTCAAACTCAATAACAATTAAAATTCAAAGAAATTGTTACTGTGAAGTGGTTTGGTCATCTGATCTGCTGTAGCTTCGACGTTTGCAAACTGGTATCTTCCCTATATTGCAGCATCATTACCCAAAACATGTTTCAAGTGCCTGTCCACTCCTGTTGCAACATCCACCTTCTTGTAACATATTATAACAGGGCAGCCAAACATGTGCATAATTTTACATGTTGTGCACAGCACCAAAAGTGGACTACATTGCATTTGAACTGCTGTGTAACCAAGCTGACTATGGTTCAATAAAATTACTGTAAGACAGAATGCTCTTACACAATCTTAGTAGAAATTTTCCTGAAATTCTTTCACACAAAAATAATGTTTAGTTTCATTTGTTGACGTAAGTGAAAGGGCAAGCTCCTTTTAAGATATATATATGGATCACCTTTATGGAGAGAGTTGAACTAAATTTGCATATAATATTGCTATTTATAGCACCACCACCACCTAAATTAATTTCATATTTTTTTATCATATCTCCACCAGAACAAGAGGAAGAAAAATTTCAATGACCACTGGAAATCATCATGGCCAATACAATCTCCTTTCCTCTTTAGAATGTGATAGAACACCAACTGACGCATGACACCTTGGTGTATAATATATTTAAGCAGTTCAGCTACTCAGGGCCACTGAAAAGTAATATTTGAACCGCTAGGAACAAATATAGCAGACAATTCTAACTTTATACAATTTACCAAAAAATAACCTTGCTTTAAATTCTTTGCAAACTTTTTCTCGGGCATTCAAAGTGGTAACTGCGTAAGAATACCTGGGCGTAATTTTGAGTTAAAACGCTCGGGAGATTTTTAGAATTTATTGATTTTCCGCTCGGTGTATCTCTGGCCTGTCCGACAGGTACCGTCTTAACGCAAATCCAGACACTTTTGCACGTGATAGTTAAGTTATACATTTCAACAACAATTAAATGTAATCGCGATATAAAAGTTTCCAACAATTTCTTTTTTGCTAACCATTTTGCTCGAGAGCAAAATGATAAAGTAAGATAAGCTAATTTATGCGTACAACCAAATCAAGTGCAATCCAATATTTACACTGTACGGATGCACAAGCATATACTGCAATCTTGTTAAGGTTAATATAACTTCAAATGTTTCAAATCGGCAGAAAAAAGAAGTGATATATTTATAGAAAGATTTTAAAGCAAGTGCCCGCGAAAGAATTTTGTATAGCTGTGTTTTTAGTACGAACCTGAGCTTGGCCTGCCTTGTACCGTGATCCATGAAGATGCTTCAGTCCTTCTGCAAGTTCATTCACGTCTATTCTACCATCATTATTTTTATCTAGTTTCTTGAAAAGAGATTCTACTTCTTCGTGGTCCATTTGATAGCCTTCGTCGTGTTTCTTTTCTAAATCATCTGCCTCTGATTCCATGTTTACAACTTCGCAACCATGATGGCGGTGAGATTCGGACTCTGCGGCCAGGCCTCGACTCATGTTAGCGAAGCTTGTACTTACAGACGTTCCATCAGGTAAAAACAATCTGCAAATCAAATACTGTGTGCATTTTAACCTTGTAAAAACAATTCATTATGTGACCGTTTTCAAAACGTCCACAACGAGGGACATTCTGACTAATTTTCTGGCAAATTAGTGGTTTTGAGAAACCCGCTGAGCCATTGCAGGCGCGCCAGGAAAGCAGGGTCATAGCAGGGTGTCTTGTGCCCGGAGCAACCCCCCATACCTCCCACTCGCATGTTATCCTCTGTAAATTAGGTCAATCGGGAATCTCTTTAATCTTCTGAAAATGAGAGCGAAAAGAAAGAGAATCAGTGAGACGAGATGGATTTTCGTTTTCATTTGTGATAACTACTGACAAGAGACATTTTCATCTCTTAGTAGTGATGAACTTATATGGTCAAAATCACAAGATTTCTTCAAAATCGAGTCATGGGATTGAAACAATCTAGTTTCACGTAAATATGCTTAAGGGGTATTCATTTGTAACAATGATCTGACAGTTGCGGCTGGCAATGTATTGCTTTCGTTGCTCCTCGGGGCTGTGTCTTGGAACAGTTCTTAGACGCCAGGCAACACTCGTCCCGGAAATAAAAGGAACGTCGCGTGCCCACCCGGACAAAGAAGGACATTGTCAATTTTTGTCGAGATATGGCGCCGTAGCTCCTTGCCTTTTTTCAGTCTCTTACCAGTTTTCTCAATTTCATTTTTCGGGGCTTGACGTGAAATAACGAGTATTGAATCCTGGATAAATGGTAGCTAAATATCGAGAAAGGAATATTGCAATGAAATCATAGAGGAATAAGAAATATTGAATATTTCTCTTTTTCAGCACTTCAGTCTCACATACTGAACAAGCAATGATGAACATTGACCCGAAACTGGACAAATCAGGTTAAGAGTGAATACCGGTGAATAATCGAGTACAAATAATCTTTATAATGATGACTCAACCATATGCATTAAATTTACTAACCGAGTTCGAGGGCCGTGCTGTAAGTAACGGCAAGAGAAAGGGTTTATGGCCTAAGCGCCAAGCAGGGAAAAACGATGATCAGAGAAAACGAGGTTAGTAAGATATTTATAATAACTAGACTGTGCGCCTGGCGGGTGTGGGAACGATTCCTATTCACACTGAAAGGCTTCAAATTTCTGACGCACCTCGAAAGCAAAACGAGTCAATTTGAATTCGTCAAGTCGTAATTAGCACGCTTTAATTAATGCACAATTTAGGGTAAAAGACAGTTTTAAACTTGAACTTGCTATGAAAGTTAAGAACACTTGGCGATAAATCACGAAGCACTTGAGTTTAGCAACAAAACCAACTTTAAATTTTTGCGTACAAGAGAATACGGCCTGCTTAATTGACCAATCACGGCTCGCGCACCAACTGAGAGATATGCTTTACATGTGCGTAATTTTTTCTGGGAGTGGGGGGGGGGGGCGTTTTTATTTTTATTTTATTTTAGTTTTATTTATTTTGGGAGCGTTTTCCACTCGCGCTTGTTGGATATTAGATGGTTATAGCCTACTTGGAGCTACACGTATTCGTTGGCTAGCTGCCATCTCATATTTAACCCGCTCGTTGAAAAAGGCCCTCACCCTACCCCTAGACAAGACACTTTACTCTCATTTTGCTTCCCTCCACCCAAGAGTAAAAATGGGTAACGGTGAATTGTTGGGGCAATCTGCGATAAACTACCATTTCATCCAAGGCGAGTAGTAATCTCCATTTAGTGTCATTATTATGAGTTTCGTCCTTTTCTTTTCATTAGTTTTACTCTCAGTACGACCGAACTCGAATCTCAAAATAGGCCAAAAAGTTTGCGACGAATTTTCTGTCAACACCACTTCACCACGTCTACCAACGTATGTGAATCAAACAGGTTATTCCGCGAGAAATAAAATAAAAATGGAAGCCAGGAATGGCAGTAGAGTATGCTATTTAACAATTTAATCCCCCGCTGATGAACATATTTCAGGAGTTCGTTTTGAGTTTTGGAGAGTTAAAATAGTTTTGTTTCGCACCTAGGTATTGTATGGTACTCAAGAAACGATGGAGAGTATGAGGAATTTCATTTTGGGGCAAGTCGAGTTGCAACTGGCATTTTGGTAAAATTTCAGACTAGAGGATAAGGAAACTGATAAGCTGCTGCGTAATCTCGTTCCCAAATCTCTTGTGGACGAAGCCGAAGGCGAGATCTCGCTGTTCGCCTTCGGCTTCGTCCACAAGAGATCTGAGAACGAGATTAGCTGCTGCGTTATAAAGACAACATGTTTCCAGACCATGGTCAAACCTTGGTTTGTTCGTTTTACCAGAGGTAAAATTAAATGATTTTCCATGAGATCTGCAGATTCTTTGGGTCGTTATTTCCAAAAGAAGTATTTCTTTTCTTCTTGAGCTTTTACTTTTCTTTACTTTGTAATATTCAATTATAAGGCTTCAGCTAATATGAACAACTTGGGTTTTTTATAATAACTGACACGATGTTGCGGGTATGTACGACTGGTCAGCTGAACTAGGAAACAGAATTTGTCAATAGAGGTAAAAGTAAAACAGTGATCTCAGTTATTCATCTGCAAACCATCCTAGGTTATTGCAAACATATTTTGGAATTGAGAAGTGAACGTGCAATGTAATTGGCTGAAAAGCAACCTCAGAAGAGACTCGGAAGAGTTCCATGAGGTAGGGGTTTTGACTAAAGGAAATAGGAAGATTCTTTTCATGCTTGAAGGTTACAAAACAAATTCGAGGGAAATTTTTAAAAGGAAAACATCGGGCAATCAACCTCGTCTTGCAAGGAAAGATTGCGGGACTAACCTAAAGAGTGCCTTTGCAGGGGGGTAGGACTAGTTGTGGGAACCCCTTAGCTACTTTTGTCTGTAATATATAGCCTCGAAATAACCCATATTCGACAACGTTGGATATATCTTAAAATTCTAACGCTGCATCTCGGAGGTTTCTTTCAAAATTCAATGGGGTCTTCAATGTCTAGCCTTTTTTTTCTTTCAGGTCTCTTACCAAGATTTACACGTACAGACAAAGGAATCGCGGAAAATTTGCGATTTATCACAGAATATAATGTATTTTTTTAGATTTAGGGTCCCTCTGGATATCAGCCTTCCAGTTGAATGGGCCTCCCTAAAGAACCTGATCAATCTACTTTTGTCGCAGAAGCGTGACCAATAGAAAAGTTTTGGAAGAGGCGATCTCAAACTGCATGCGTTTTGGGTCAAATTTTTTTACGGTCAGATGACATGTATGAATTTTTTCCTCGTTAAATGGTTTTCAAAAAAAAAAACAAATGAAATAGACCAGTTTCGATATATTAGAATTCAGCCTAAAACAATAGACCTCAGTACGAGGCTCTGGGGAATAACTACAGAGTTTGTGGGGTTTATTCCCCAGAGCCTCGTGCTGAGGCCTATTGTGTTAGGCTGAATTTTAATATATCGAAATTGGTCTATTCTCTTACATATGTAAATTTGGTAAATCTGGTTTGTTTGCTTGGTAGCCTGGCATATAGTCAGTTTATATACTTGACAGTCCGGTGAACAAAAACGCGGGAAAGATAACAGCTTTGTGATTGGCTAAAATACTGGTAATGTGTTTCCAGTCTTTCTTGTTATTGTTGGTACGCCTCTCACTTGTCCTGTTCGTCGTAAACATTTCGTAAATGAAATTTTGCTGGTATAGTACGATCAGTTTAAATCTAGGACGAAGATGTGGCGCCTTTCGAAAGCTTTGAAGGCAGCCAGATTAGGAGCACTGAATCGCTCGTCTTCTTGTCTGTGGAACAGCACTCGTCACGAATCAAGCACTTCCAAAGATTCGGACGTGAGGGCTGAAGTTCCTTACAAGACTCTACAGGTAATTAATGCCATGCAATCGTTGAAACTATTCCATTGGTGGACAATTTTTCGCAAAATTGAAGTCCTTCGTCGCTCGGTATTTTCGTCCGCCATATTGAATACTCTACGTTTAAAACATTTTCCGCTGGCCGACATACCCGACAGTATAAATTCCGAATTAAGTGCGACACAAGTGTGACGTATGAATCCATAGTCGCATTTCTGTCGCACTTAATTGAATTGAATTCGACACGGCAGAAATGCAACGTATGAACTAGGCCTCAATTACGCATGTGTGAAGGTTAAGAAGTCGCAGAAAATTAAGCTTTATATTTAAGCTTAGTTAACCTTAAACTTGTTGTCGCTTATTGTGGGTAAAATTGGATCATCACAAGTATTATTTAAGACACAAAATCCAGTTACCAACTAGTCTTGACTACAACAAAAAGTTGAGGGAAAAACTAGACAGCTAAAGAAAATTAAAACTGAGTTCAGTGCTTCACATACCCCCTCCTCCTTCCCCTTTTGTGTGTGTGTGTGTGTGTGTGTGTGTGTGTGTGTGAAGGAGGGGGTATAGCTTGGGGGAACTCCCATGTAAAAAGGATGAGGATGCTACTCATACCTTGTAGGGTTTGTAAAGTGGATTTGGTACCTCCTGGGGCGTCTGCCTCAAAATATCGTACAGCAGGAGCTTTCATGGAACCGTTTAGGGTATCGAGCCGCAAAAGGGAATTTGAGCACTTTTTACTGGTCTGTGAAGCATTGTATGAGATGAGTGGAGGAAAACAGTTTACTGTGAATGCACAATGCTCCATAGAGGAGCAAAGGGGATAAGAGTACATGTTAGTAAGAGATACATTGTAAATTTGAATTCCATGTTATTAGAACTTCATACAATGTCTTAGTTGATTAGACAGGTATAGAGTGCTCATATACTCAACTACATTGAGTTTGAGCTACCGATAGGTATGTAATGTCCCAGGGCTATTTTGGTCTGAAATTTGGTCATAGATTTGTCATTTTGGTCTGAAATTGTGTACATGCATTACGCTTTTCACAATAGAATATAGCCATCTTTATATGTACTTATAAGAAAAGTGAAACACTAATAAAAATTTTGAGTTGTATTTTGGCATCAGACGGATGACAAACAAGCTCCGGATACTGTCCCAGCAGAAGCTGATGTGGTCATTATTGGTGGAGGATCTGTAGGAGCAAGTACTCTCTATCACCTGACCAAACTTGGTGTCAACAATGCTGTCTTGTTGGAACGTGACCAGTTGACATCTGGAACAACCTGGCATAGTGCAGGTCTGGTATGGAGGTTGAGACCTAGTGATGTAGAAGTGGAACTGCTTGCACACACAAGAGAACTTGCAAGAGATGTTTTGGACAAAGAGACAGGATTATGGGCTGGATGGAATGAAAATGGAGGCTTGTTTATTGCCAATAACAAAGAAAGACTAGATGAGTACAAGAGGTTGATGACAGTAAGTTATCTTGTGGTGGTAGTACCCACTATATTCATTGCATGGATGAAGTCCAGGCTCCTTTAAGCAGATGCCCTTGGGACAAGGTTTAAGTACTCATTTTGCATTTTTATACTGAAAATAGCACCAGAAATAAGTGTTCACTGCTAGTGTACATGTGTTGAACTCTGGATTGGAGTAGAAATTGGTACCAGACAATTTAAACTGTCTGTGTATTAGAGCGGTTTTCAATTGAGTGTCGTAAAACCAAAACCAATCCAATTACTTACGTTTAGACTCCCAATCTCAAGCCATAGTTAAACCAAAACCAAGACCAATGAAAGTAATTGCCTGTGATTACTCTCAACACTCAATTGAAAACTGCTCTATATAACAAAGATAATTTAAATGTGGATTATTCTTGAGAGTTAACTAGTTATTTTTTAGGTAGGTCCACTACTTCAGCTGTACATGTATGGTTACCATATATAGTTTGACCTACCTAGTTAATAAAGTATGTAAACCATGCTCATTAATCAAATTTAACTTTACTGGACAGCTTGGGAAGGTATATGGTGTGGAGTCATTTGTTCTGGGACCCAAAGAATCCAAAGAATTGTATCCATTGTTAAATGTGGATGACTTGTATGGAACACTGCACAGTCCTGGTGATGGGACCATTGATCCTGCTAGCTGGGCCACCACACTTTCAAGAGCAGCTATAATGAATGGTGGCAAGGTATGAGTTATTAGTTTGAGCATTTCCCTCCTTTTATAAAATAACAGAGATCTACCATTATCGAGATTGATGTGTTTCTGCATATGTAAACTAGCTAATTAAATTATTATTGTAACTGTATATGTGATTGGTCTTGAACTCAACAAGGCGTAAGATGGTCTCATTATTCAATAGATCTAGAATGTAATAAATTCCATCTTTTGCATGATTAATCAACAATTTGGCCTAAATTTCAATTTTTGCAAATTCATTCATCAACTTCAATTACTGACGTAAATTCTGGTGATTAAATCATTTGACAAGTCCTTTATTACAGGTATGTTGGACCAGCCATTACAAAATAAATGGTAATATTTACTATGGATATTATACTTGTAGATCCTAGGTTAGAAGAAACATATTTTTGCAACAAGAAATGCTACTTTGTTGCTTCCCATTTTCACATCTGCAGTCAATGTTATAAACACAATCATGTTGACCTCTAGGTATTTGAGAACTGTCCAGTTACAGGAATTCAGACTGAAGTCAATGACCTTGGAATTAAGCGTGTCTCAGCTGTGCAAACTCCTAGTGGTACCATCAAAACAAACAATGTTGTCAACTGTGCTGGGGTGTGGTCACCTTATATTGGGGGATTGTGCGGTGTCAGTGTTCCTCTGGTTGCCATGTACCATGCTTACATTGTAACGGAGAGGATTGAGGGAATACAGAACATGCCCAACGTGAGAGATCATGATGCGTCAGTTTATCTCAAACTCCAAGGTGATGGACTTTCTGTTGGAGGCTATGAATATAATCCAATATTCTGGGATGAGGTAAGGAAGTTTGGTGTAAATAGCACTAAGAACTAATTAATTATTAACTTTTGATTATCTGGAAACCTTAGCACAATGCAAGCAGTCTCAATTTTCTCTCAGATCCTCTGAAAATCAATGATGCAAAATAAGGAGGTAAGGGAAGGAAAGAGAAGAGAGAATAAGTTCTCATTATTCTTAGAAGAACCATTTCTGAGAATTAGAAAATATTTTGATGCTGATTGGTCAGTTTTGAAGTGCTTAGACATGCAAATTATTTCTGATTCCTTGTGTCATTATACGTCAGTCTGAGTAATTTTGTTTCTGAAAAAATGAAATAAAATAAAATAAAAATCAGCTTACATGTACCTCTACAATTCTCTGCTGTTATATTCTCAGGTCAGTAATAAATTTGCATTTTCCCTCTTTGATCTGGACTGGGATGTATTCAGTGCTCACATAGAAGGCGCATGTAATAGAGTACCAGTAATAGCAGAAACTGGTGTCAAATCAACTGTGTGTGGACCAGAATCATTCACAGCCGATCATAAACCATTGATGGGTGAAGCTCCAGAGCTTCGTGGCTTTTATCATGGCTGTGGATTTAACTCATCAGGTATTATGCTTGCGGGAGGGTGCGGTCGAGAGTTGGCACAGTGGGTGGTTCATGGCCACCCAGAACTGGACATGTATGGATATGATATCAGGTGAGGATAACTGCAGGCTATCACATTGGACCCTGACTTTTGATTAATGCTGTGGTAATCATAGTCTGCGTAGCAGGTGTTTCCATAGGGTTTGGGAGCAAAGACAGACCGAGGAACGGGATTTTCGGTGTTTTGCCTGCGTGGAAAGTGGGATGAGAGCCAAAACAAGAAAGCCCTGATTTTTTTCAGGCTTCTTCTTTCCAGTTGCTTAAATTGGAAAATTTACTGCGATGATCATACTTCACTTTCNTCAATTAATTGACCTCGCTCCCAATGTGTGGCTTCATAGCTCAGTTGGTAGAGCATCGCACCGGTATCGCGGAGGTCACGGGTTCGAATCCCGTTGAACCCCTGATTTTTTTCAGGCTTCTTCTTTCCAGTTGCTTAAATTGGAAAATTTACTGCGATGATCATACTTCACTTTCATCTACTACCGCAGTTCAAATATGAATTATTTCATATATACTTCACTTGATCAAGGTCCTTAACGAGTTCCACTCCTGAATATTTATTTTGTTTACGCTGTTTATTTATGGTGCATTTCTCCTTTGCGCGGGACCTCCTCCGATTTTTTTCTCTTTGGACTCGTTGAAGAACGCCGTCTAATTATTGACTTCATTAGGAGCCTAGGAAGCTTAGGCCCGATCGTCCACACTACACCGGAGCAATTTCAAAACGCAACAATCACCGGTCGTTTTATATCTTTGTTTGAGGAAATCTCGGCCAGGGAAATCACCTTGCTCTCCTGATCCTATCGTGCTCGAAAAGGTCCGTTTTAAAATGTTTTCCGTCCGAAAATTCAAAGCCGGCGTTTTCAAATTCCTCTGGTGTGAAGAGCGTTTTCGAAAAGCTCCGTTTTCGTGATGGATTATTCTGGACCGTAGGCCTAACTGTAGAAATAAAGCTGTATGCGTTTTTAAATTCCTCCGGCGTAATGTGGACTGAGTCTGGAGCAAACCACGACGTCAATCAGCATCACCAAACAAAAGGTTTAATGTGCAAAACAAAGGCTGCACAACTGTGTTCAGCAAACCTTTGTACATTTCATCTGCCGTCCTCTGCAAAACAACAACGCAAAATGACCGCCAACGCGAACGATGAGTCGAACTGCTAATCAGTTTTCGTATCTCCATTTAGAATTACATTTTTAGCCTGAGCGAGCTTTTAGAGCCATAGGCATCCTGGGCCAATTCAGTTTTACAAGGCGTTGTCCTTGGCGTCGCCGTTGTCATTGTAAAGATCCCTATATTTGCATCTCGGATTCTGGAATATCGATACATTTGTTTAAGGTGGGGTCTATCATCCTCTTTGCTCATGTTTTATCCCAAGACCAATCGAACGCAGGTGAGAGTATCGTGTAAAAAGCGTAAAAAATCACATAAATTGCAGCTCTTTGTCAAGGTTCTTTTTAATTCAGCGATAAAGTTGCCGAGCCTTTCGGTAGGAAGTTTTTCCCTCCTGCTGAAACAACCTCGTTTACGTTACTTCGCCGATGCAATACCTTTTCATCTTCCCTATTACTACACGGCAATCGTTTGCATCTTCTTCTTCAGTATAGCTTAACGCTTTGAACACTTAAAGGCTATCGTCATCAATAACGTCCTTGAACATAGTGACTTGATACTCGGGGCTTTCCTGCTCCAAAACAAGTAATTATTACAGCATTTCTCTTTCCATAGCTTCCAGTTCTCGGGGATCTCGCTACTTAATTGACCTCAAATGTAAATGTTGCGGAGGCAATGATATCTGGTGGAATAACATTGCAATTTGTGATGCGTTAGGCAACGAGGAATCGGAAGTTGTTTTCGTTCGTAGGCATTCGTAGACGGTAGACGTTGTCGACGAATTTGAACTACCCTTTCGCTGCAACATGAAATACAGTAGATGGCAGAGAGAGCCTTAAACGAACGTTATCAATCAAGGCTTAATCTGGCTACTGTAACTCAAGATACACAAGGTGAACGCGTATTTTAATATATAAC